TGACACAGAGAGAGAGATGTTGGAGCTCTTCACACTTGGCGTTAGAGGTGAGGATGGAGGCAGCTTGAGGGGGAAGGTGGCGGGTGTTGTGCGGATGATGGAGAACAGTGCTCTTTGGTTGTTTTTGGCCTCCAAAATGGTTTTGGAGTAAAAGACAGTTTTCGCCTGTGTGAGAGAGAGGCAATAGTTGCGGAGACCCTCGAGCCACAGCTGGTGGTGGATTGTGAGGCCAGGTTTATACCATCTGCGCTCGAAACACCAGGTTTTAGTTTTGAGTAAGTGGGTAGAATTGAAGCCAGCCCTGGATTTCAGGGGGGCCAAGGGAGTTGAGGCCCTGAAATTGTGGAGCACTCTTCTTCCTCTCTCTCCCCTTTTTCAAGTCTCGCCTTCCTTTTTGACAGTGCTTACGTTTACCCCCCCACTCCCTACTCGAAGTCAGGCTCCACCACTTGAGCGCTCTGAGATGTTACCATGTGTGTAGGGTGCTATATAAGTGCAAATTGTTGTTGTTGTTTTAGGCTCTAAGTTGGGAAGGGTAAGGATGTGGTTAAGGGAAGGTGTTTTGCCTTTTGGAGGTGGGATATGCAGCTGTGTCAGGAAGAGTGGGCGATGTGCAATTCAGGGGCTGCTTTGGGACAACCATTGCCGAGAGCCACGATGGAGGATGCCCAAGCTGGAGCAGAGGGAGGCAGTGACAGGGTCCAGGAGAGAGAGAGGCAAGGAGGGCAGAGAGAGAGGATTGAATGAGAGTAGTGGAGTGTAGGGAGTAGAAGGGGAATATTTTCAGGTGGGGACAACTCAGTCGGGGCAACAGCCAAAACGTACATGCGGAGACCCTGAGCGAGGTCCTCGTTCAGCGGGATGTGGTCAGCCCACATGCATGGCAGGGGGCTAGGGCACACAGCACACAGGCATGAAGGGGCGCTAGGGCACACAGCACACAGGTCTGAGGGGGCGCTACGGCACACAGCACACAGGCATTGCCGGGGCTGGGGAGACAGCAGAGAGGCATGGCGAGGGCTAGGGGAGATAGCAACAGAGGCATGGCAGGGCCTAGGATGGACAGCACTCAAGCATGGCGGTTACTAGGGGAGACCGCACAGAGGGAAGACAGAGGGCTGGCTCTCATGGTCTTGTTGGACCAAAGCCAGAGAGGGAGGTGGTGGTGAATAAGGGTGGGGTAAGGGTGGAGGACAGGGAAGAGGTGAATAGAAATGGTGAAAGAATACTTAGCCTGTGCAGCGATTTGAAAAAACGGTGCGCAGAAGTTATGTCAGTGAGTTCACGCAGGTGATTTAGACCGTTACTCCAGGCAGGAGATTTCAAAATGGCATCTTGGCGCTTGGAAACTCCTCACCTGAAAACATTAAGTCCTCGGCCCCCGCACCGGTCACTGCCTCGCACACGGCCTCGGCACCTCCGAGGTCACTGACTATTTGCTCAACTGAGGCCTCTGCTCTGGCCACTTGGTCTTCCCCCCACACACATCTGTCCATACACACACACCTGTCACCACGCACCCCTGTCCCCCCCCCCACACACCTGTCCCACATCCACCTGACCCCACATCTATCCCCACTTACACCTGTCCCTTACACCCACTTGTCCCCAACACCTGCACTTACCATACTTGTTCCAGTCCCCACATCTGTCCTCCCCACAACTCCACATACCTGTTTCCCACACACCTGTCCGCCATCAGACACACTTGTGCACGTGAATCCCAGGCCGGGAGGCAGGGAGCAAGCTAAGGAAAGCAACAGACTGCCTTGCACAGTGTTTGAGTGTCGCTGACTGCCTCACATTGCGTCAACCCATACTAGCCATAACCCGGTAGTCATAAGCAAACTGGCAGTGATCAGCCTGTTACAACAACAACAAGATTATATTTGTATAGCGCCTTTCATGTTGGAAGGACGTCCCAAGGCGTTGGATCAAGTACAGCATTTCAGACCCGAGCTGTCTATGTGATCAGCCTTTGAAGGTTTAATGGACCCTGGACTGAATCAAGACAGACACAATGTGAGCAGTTTAATAGGTTTACTTTGGAATAAATGGCACAACACAGTTGTAATAATCTGGTTGACACAACTGTGGGGTGTGGTTCAAGGCAACTGGAGTGAAGGTTAAGAGGAGACTTGATAGAAGTTTTCAAAATTATGAGGGGATTCAATAGGTTGAAGAAGAAGAAGAAGAAAGTATTTCCATTGGCGGGTGGGTCGGTAACCCGAGGGCACCGATTTAAAATAGTTGTTAAAAGAAACAAGAGGGGAGTTGAGGAGAATTTTTTCACAGTGAGTTTTTTGGATCTGGAATGCATTACCTGAAAGGGTGGTGGAAGCCGATTTGATAACAATTTTTAAAATAGAAGTAGATAATCATTTTGGGAAGACACGTTTGCAGGGTTATGGGGAGAAAGGAGAGTGGGATTGATTTGGAATAGTTCTTTTCAAAGAGCCGGCACAGGCACGATGGGCCTGCTTCTGTGCTGTATAATTCTATGATTCTGTATATTGGACCTGACATTTATCATAAGCCTCCTTTTTCTGTTTCATTTTAATCCCAATTTCTTTAGTCATCCAGGGATCTTTGGATGCCCTACCTATCCCCTTTGTGGGAATGTATTTGTTCTGTCCCCAAACAATCTCCCCCTTGAAAGCTCCCTATTGCTTGTTTACCATTCTACCTACTAATCTTTCTTTCCAGTCCACCTTGGCTAAATCCCTTTTGAATTTGCCTTCTCCAGTTGAGTATCTTCAACTTTGATTCACCTATCCCTTTCCATAACTACTCTAAATCTGATGATATTGTGATCACTGTTGTCCAGATGCTCCCCCACTGAAACGCGCTCCACTTGCCCCACTTCATTCCCCAGAATGAGATCCAGCACTGCTTCCTTCCTCGTTGGGCTGGAAACATACTGATCAAGAAAGTTTTCCTGTCACATTTCCGGAATTCCCCCTCCGTGCCCTTTACACTGTTATTTTGCCAGTCTATGTTAGGATAATTGAAGTTCCGTATTATCACTACTCTATTGGTTTTACATCTTTCAGAAATGTGCTTGCAGATTTGCTCTTCTATTTGGTGGTCTGTTGTATACACCCAGCAGTGTAACAGCTCAGCTTTTGCTCCTTAACGCTAACCAAATAGATTCTGCTTTTGAACCCACAAGCACATCAAGCGTGGAGTCCTGCAGCTCAGTGGTTAGAGCACTCGCTTTGCAATGAGATGAGTTCAATTCCAGACAGGGCGAAACATTGGGCAAGTTTCCTTACTCCACACAGAGCCTAATAATAATCCCTCCAAAACAAAACAATAATAAATTGGTCATTTTCAATGTACGACTGTTTGTGGGACATTGCTGTGCGCAATTGGCTGCCGCGTTCGCCCACAAATATATACAGTCAATTCACTTTACAGTGTGTTCTGTGAAGCGCTTTGGGACGTCCTCCCGACGTGAAAAGCGCTATATCAAATGCAAGGATTATTATTATTATTATTCCTTTCCAAGGCTGTAACCGTGTCTTTGATCAATATTGCCAACCCCCTCCTTTTTTTCCTTCCCTATCACTCCTAAATAGATTGTTGCCAGGAATGTTCAGCTCCCATTCCTGTCCTTGTTTGAGCCAGGTCTCCATTATTGCCGCTACATCATAACCTCATGTGGCAACTTGAGCCTGCAGCTCACAATCTTATTTGGCATGCTCTGTGAATTTACGCACATGCACTCCAACACCGTTTTAGTCTGTTTTGCATTTCTCCCCTATCTGATGCCTCCTTTTTCTGGATTACATTTTTCCATTGTTATTTGTCTCTCTATGTACCTGGTTTCTCCTCTCTGATGCTACATCCTGGCTCCTTTCCCCCTCCAAATTAGTTTAAATCCTTCCCCAGAGCACTAGTTAACCTCCCTGCGAGGACATTGCCTTTGCCCAAGTCATGTGTGTTGGAGTCAGAAAGACAAATCAGTTTACCATTATCAGGTTCGGATGATCAGTTCAGTACTTCAGTTTCATCAATGTCCATATCGCAAGGGATTCTGGATTCCACACACCCCAAACAGCCACTTCAGGCTATTATCCCCCAGACTGTCTGTGTAATCAGCCTGTAACCCCCACACTGTGTGTTCAGCCTATTGGGATTTCTGATCCCGAGGTTCGAATAATGACCTAACAAATCCGGGTGTAACAGATTTGTATCAATCAAAGTAACACATACAAAACTAGTAAAATAATGCTGCCACTACAAGTAACAGAACTTGTACTACCAGTTTTAGAGCAGTCAGTCAGTTACGATGGTTTCAACACACCTTCTCTCCGATGGTTCGGCTGCCCTCTTTGTCTGGCTGGATCTGCTGTCTTACTTGCCTAAAGTCAGGGTAGTTATACTTTTTCCACCTAGGTATCTTCCCCCCTTCTTCTCCAATCAAGCATCTTAGCACATATCCAACATACTCGACCCTTGCACATCCTGGTACCCATATCTTCTAGATATGCAGACCCTTTTGAGACAAAGCAGCTTGCTCATTATTGTTCAACACATGACATCTTGCTTCTCCCTTCCAAAGCCGGAGCCTGTCTGGTATAAACATTTAACGTGATCGGCATGTGTTCAAAGAATACTGAGCAGCTTTACTTAGGTGCCCTCATGGAATGTAAATTTCTTGGGCACTTCTTGAAGCTTGTTCTATGCCTTCTCTCACCATCACAACTGACTGACCATTGGCCTTTCAGAACATCGATCGCTTATTCTGCCAATTCCTAAAATGTTAGTAACACAGTTTCTAATTACGACTAACAGTTTCTTTCTCCCCTTGTTTCCAACCGTCATGCATATATGGGTATTGATACACATATATATATATTCACTATTAATTCTTCTATTGTTCTTCATACAGACTGTATCAAAATCAACCTTTTCTAACAAGCCTACTGTATTAATATGGTCAATTGAGGATACATAGTGTTAAATGTGGCTGCAACAAACAGTCTGAACACTGATTAATTGAAATAACTTGGGTTTATTTCAGGAGAGTTGTGTAAAACAAAGACAGCTTTTCGCGAATGAAGATGTGAGGAATTAAATTACTCAAAAGAAAAATCAAAGTACAAATCTTTTAACTCCAAAATTATGACAAGTGAAAGGAGCTGGAGTTGCGTGTAGTTTGGTTAATTTCCTGGAGGCTGCCTTGTTAATAATCCAGCGCACAGATTAATGCCACTCCTTGCTTGATCCAGTGTCTCTGAAGCTGTGAGGTTGGCAATTCCACAGCTATCACATAGTTGGTGGAGTGTCCTGTGGTGGACAGCGTCCCTGTAACCAGCATTTGGTGCAGTTAGTGACCAGACAAACTCACTAACACAACTGCTCAGCCTGCTACTGAAGCTTCAAGGGAAAACAATCGCGCAGGGAAAGCTTGGGGAGTCAGTGTGGCCTGGGCAAGGACAGGAACTAAACCTAGAACAAGGTGACATAAAACAAAGACTTCAACAAACACTTTAGGAAAAAGACATTGATAAAAATGTGGGGATTGTGAGATGCAAGCAGTGGCAGTCTGGCTCCCTGAAAGGTAAGAGGGGAGCTGAGGGCTGGTGTTGGGCGATGATTGCATTTCGTAGCTGTCACTCACTCAGATGTGGTTGTTATGTACTGAGGGCCAATCACAGGGGCAGTACACTATACTGTACTGGGTCTGCACCACGGGAAGTCACTGTAAGACATCACTGGTGCCAGGAGCAATGCAGTTTAGTTTAGTGAATATGAGAAGATAAAATGGATTATTAGGAACAGAGGAATGAGGGGCTGAAACCATCTGTGTCACCTGAGGCCCAACAGCTGGCCTGATGTGATTTGAGTTTGGGTTTGAATATCAGAACCAAACGTGGACAGACAGACAGATAATTGTCTGAGTGCATTTTAAAACCACCACCACCACCACCACCACAACAGGAAACATGCACAAAGAGGCTAACTGCTCCAAGGAACTTTACTATCCAATTTCTGTACAGAGACTATTTGGGATAATGTTCAGGCCATGAGATGTTTGGTGCATTCACACATGTGTGGTGTGTGAGGTGTGGAGCTCTTACACTGGCTTGCACACTGGTAACATGCTTTTGAAATAAAGGAAGGAATAGTGAGAATACTGTGGTGTTCTCTCTGCACATTCCAACATGATATGGCTCAGTGAAAGACTTGGAAAATGAGCTTCACTCTAACTGATGCTCAAGTGAGAATACTCACACTCAACCAGTTATATCACAATAATTTCCTGCACTTCCTCGCACTCCCAATGTTAAATGTAGTCCTGTATAGTATTGTGAGCAAAGCCTTTACATGGGCCTATTTAGTCTCCAGGTTTAAGGGAAGGCTTTAACTAGGGAAATAAATTACCCTCTTTGTCAGCAGACAGTGACAACCCTGGAAAAAGCAGCATGGTACCTGGCTGCAAATTGGCTTTTGATTTGCACAACAATCAAGTTGTGCATCAATAATAATAATAAAGATCCTGGTATTTGATATAGCGGCCTATCACATAGTTGAGACAACAACAACTTGCATTTATATAGTAGCCTTATATAGTGGCAGCGTCCTGGAGTGCTTTGTCCCGGAGACATGTCAAAGCGCTTCATAGAATATACTGTAAAGTGGATTTACTGTGTATTTTGTGGGCGAATCAATTGAAGTGATATGATATCTGATTCATTACAAAACATGTCTGAAAATCTGACAGGACAGCTGATACCCATTCCATGCACACTGTGTGCCATGTGGGAACTCCAGGATGGTTCATGTGTTCTGGACAAACGTGAGTAGGAAGCTGCTTGAGCTTGAGTTCAGCATCGCTGAGCTTGAGGAGAGGCTACAGTCACTACATAGGATACGGGAGGCTGAAGAATTTATGGATCAAACTTTTCAGGAGGTGGTCACCCCACAGCCAGAGAGAGATCAGGAGGTGGTCACCCCACAGTCACACAGAGATCAGGAGGTGGTCACCCCACAGTCACACAGAGATCAGGAGGTGGTCACTCCACAGCCAGAGAGAGATCAGGAGGTGGTCACTCCACAGCCACAGAGAGATCAGGAGGTGGTCACTCCACAGCCAGAGAGATCAGGAGGTGGTCACTCCACAGCCACAGAAAGATCAGGAGGTGGTCACCCCACAGCCACAGAGAGATCAGGAGGTGGTCACTCCACAGCCACAGAGAGATCAGGAGGTGGTCACCCCAGCTACACAGAGGGCTCAGAAGAAGGGTGAGTGGGTGACCATCCGACATGGAGCAAAAAAAGAACAGGCAGTACAGAAATCCCCTAAGAGTGTGGCATTCACAAACCGGTTCTCGGTACTGGATTCCAGTGAGGAAGCCTCTGGTGACAAGAGTCAAAAGGTAATGGATGTTCAGGAGGACAAGGAGAAAAATGCCAACGCTGTTGTTATGAGGGATACAACAGTTAAAGGGATAGACACGTGTTTCTGCCATAAAAGACGGGACTCGCGCATGGTATGCTACCTCCCTGGGGCCAGGGTGCATGACGTCACGGAACAGGTGCAAAATATACTACAGGGAGAAGGGGAAAATCCAGAAGTTGTGATCCATATCAGGATCCGTGATGTAGGTGATAAAAGGCCTGAGATCCAACAGGGAGAATATCAGAAGCTTGGGAAGAAGCTAAAGAGCAGGACCTCAATGGTGGTGATCTCGAGATTACTCCCAATGCTTTATGCAAGTGAATACCAAACCAGGAAGATCAAACACATGAATGCCTGGTTGGAGAAATGTTGCAGGAAGAAGGGCTTCAGGTTTCTAAACCACTGGTACCACTTCTGGGGCAGATGGGACCTGTACACGAGGGATGGGTTACACCTGAGCAGGGCTGGGACCAATGTCACTGCAACAAGGATAACAAATGCTGTGGGGTAGCGTTTGAACTGATTTTGAGGGGGGATGGGGAGAATGTAGCATCAGGGAGGGGAAACGAGGTACATAGTGGACAAGGAGAGACAAATAGAAATGAAACCAGGAATAGTCCAGCAACAAGTGGAAAGAGACAGGGGAGAAATGTAGAGCGGATTAAGCCGGTCTTGGAGTGCATGTGTGTAAGTGCACGGAGAGTGACCAATAAGCTTGGTGAGCTGTGGCTCAATTTGCCACATGGGGCTATGAAGTGGTGGCAATTACGGAGACTTGGCTCAAGCAAAGACAGGAATGGGAGCTGAATATTCCTGGCTACAACCTATTCAGGAAGGATAGGGAAGGGAAAAAAGGAGGAGGGGTGGTTATATAATACAATACAAACAATAATAAATTGGTCATTTTCAATCCACGACTGTTTGTGGGACATTGCTGTGCGCAATTGGCTACTGCGTTTCGCCCATAAATATACGGTCAATTCACTTTACAGTATATTCTGTGAAGCGCTTTGAGACGTCTAGAAGACGTGAAAAGCGCTATATCAAATGCAAGGATTATTATTACTATTATTACTATTACTCATTAGGGACACGGTCACGGTCCTGGAAAAGGATGATATGTAGAGAGTCCAAAAACTGAATCTATTTGGTTAGAGTTAAGGAGCAGAAAAGGAGCTACAACAACAACAACTTTGATTTATATAGCGCCCTTCACGCCAGACGGTGTCTCAGAGCGCTTTACTGTAACGGATCCTGGGGCCAAGCCAGGGGGAGGGGTGGGAAGGTGACCAAAGGCGCAATCAAAAAGAAAGGTCTTCAGCAGAGACCTGAAAATGGGAAGGGAGGGAGCGAGACGAAGGGAGTGAGGAAGGCAGTTCCAGAACTTCGTGGCATAGCGGCTGAAGGCACGGCCACCGAGGGTGGAGTGGAGGACTCGGGGGACAAGGAGGAGGCCAGACCTGGAGGAACAAAGGCAATGGGTACTGTGCTGAGGAGAGTGGAGGTCAGAGAGGTAGGGGGGTGCAGAGGAATACAGGGACTTGAATACGAGGGTGAGGGTCTTGAAATCAATGCTCTCTGGGATAGGTAGCCAGTGCAGTCTGGCAAGGACTGGGGTTATCGGGGAGCGGAGTTTCATGCGGGTGAGAATGCGGGCGGCTGAGTTCTGAATGTGTTGGATTTTATGGATGGTAGTGGATGGGAGACTGGCGAGGAGGGCATTTTTTTGGGAGAGGTATTGGCGGAGACGGGCGAAGCGTCGGAGGTGGAAGAAAGCGGAGATGGTGAGGGACCGGATGCAGGGGAGGAAGGATAATTGGGGGTCGAACCTGACGCCTAGGTTGCGTATGGGTTCGGAGAGTTTTAGGGGGAGGTCGGGTAAGTAGAGGAGGTGAGAACCATGCGATTTTAGATGTTGAAGAGAGCCGAAGAGTATGGCTTCCGTCTTGTCAACGTTCAGCTGAAGGAAGTTTGCGCTCATCCAGCCCTGAGGTCGGACAGGCAGTCTGACAGAACATCAGGGGACTGGGGATTGCAAAGAGAGGTGGAAAAATAGAATTAGGGGTCGTACCCCATGTCTGCGGATGGCATCCCCAAGAAGGAGCATGTAGATCAGAAAGAGGAGGGGGCCAAGGATGGATCCTTGGGGTACCCCGCAGGTAACCGGGTGAGAGCGGGAGGAGAAGCCATTTATCCAGATGTACTGCTGGCAGTTTGTGGGGTAGGACTCGAACCAGGCAAGTGCGGTCCCACTGAGGTGGATGACGGAGGAAAGCGGTGGAGGAGGATGGCGTGATCGACTGTGTCGAACGCGGTGGAGAGGTCCAGGAGGACAAGGAGGCAGAGGGAGCCCTGGTCACAGATAGAGAGGATGTCATTTGTGACTTTCACAAGCGCAGTCTCTGTACTGTGGGCGGAAACCGGACTGGAGGGGTTCGAAGAGGGAGTGGGAGGAGAGGTGTGCGCGGAGTTCGTTGGCAACAACGCATTCTAGAACTTTTGAGAGGAAGGGCAGGTTAGAAATAGGGCGGTAACGGCTGGGGTTTGAGGGATCTAGGGAAGGTTTTTTCAGGATGGGGATGATGACAGCAGTTTTGAAGGAGGCAGGGACTGATCCGGAGGAGAAGGACTGGTTGATAATGTCAGCCAGTAGTGGGCAGAGGAGGGGGAGCTGGGTGACCACTTAGTTGGTGGGGAGGTGTTGAGGCAGCAGGTGGTGGGTTTCATGGAGGTGATGGTGGGTGAGAGGGAGGAGGGAGAGATAGGGAGGAAGGAATGTAGGATCGGGGTGGTGGTAGGAGCAGAATATGAGGAGGTGGTGGAAAAAAAAGGATTTTGGGATTGTGTTTAGCCTTCAAGATGATGTTGGAGTAGAAGGCCGTTTTTGCGCATCAAAGAACGGCGGTAGCTGTGGAGATCCTCGAGCCACAGTTGGTGGTGGACTGTCAGGCCAGTTTTCCGCCATCTTCGCTTGAGCAGACGGGTTTGGTTTTTTTTGGCGGTGGAGATGGTTGTTGTACCAGGGGGATCGGGTGGGTTTGGAGATGGTCCTGGATTTTAGGGGGACGAGGGAGTTGAAAGTGGAGGAGAGGCGATCATGGAGCAGCTGGATGGCAGCTTCAGGATCTCCGTGGTTGGAAGGCTAGAGGGATAGTATATTTGATGATGTGAGGGCCTTTGTGAGGCTCTCAGGGGCTAGCCTTTTCCAAGGGAGGTAGAGGATGGTTGAGGGCTTGGTGGAGGAGAGAGGGATGTGAGGAGAAGGAGGTGAAAAAGTGGTCCGAGATGGCCTTGTCCACTATGCTGAGGTCGGAAATGTCAAGGCCATGGGTGATGATGAGGTCAAGTGTATGACCACGGTTGTGGGTAGGTGAGTTTATATGGAGGGTAAGGTTTAGGGAGGAGAGGAGGGCAGTGAAATCGGCAAAAGTGGTGCAGGGGGAGTTCAGGTGGAGGTTGAAATCGCCCATTATGAGCAAGGGCTCGGAGCAGAGGGACAGGGAAGAGAGGAGAGTAGAGATGTCTGTGTGGAAGGAGCTGGGGGGCTTAGGGGGGTGGTAAACAAGGAGGATTTTCAAAGGGAGAGAGAGGTGGAAAAATGGTGTGGTGCTCGAAGGAGGGGAAGCAGCCAGAGGAGTAGGGGGTAAGACCAAAGGAGGCTTTGGAAATGAAGGCCACCCTGCAAGGTTTGGACAGGAGGTGTGGTGGAAGGGAAGCCTGGAGGGGAAGCTTCCACTGGGGGGATGGGGTCATTGAGGGAGAGCCAGGTTTCGGTGAGCCCAAGAATGTCGTGGTGCTCGTCCAGGATGAGGTCGTAGATGGTGAGGGCTTTATTTGAGAGCTGTTACTCTGTTAGGTATTTACTATAGACCTCCAAATAGTGGGAAGGAGATTTCGAGCAGATTTCGGAGAGATGCAAAACCAATAGAGTAGTGATAATGGGGGACTAACATATCCTAACATAGACTGGGAAACACACAGTGTAAAGGGCAAGGAACGGGAGGAATTCCTGGAATGTGTACAGGAGAACTTTCTGGATCAGCATGTTTCCAACCCAACGAGGAAGGAAGCAGTGCTGGATTTAGTTTAGTTTCCCACAAAGGGGAAAAGTAGGACAATCAAACCTCCCTGGATGACTAAGGAAATAAAATATAACAGAAAAAGGAGGCTTATGATAAATGTCAGGTCCAAAACATACAGGATAATCAAATGGAATATAGGAAGTACAGAGGAGAAGTGAAAAGGGAAATAAGAGGGGCGAAGAGACTGTAAAAAAGAAAAGATTAGCAGGAAACATAAAAGGGAACGTTAAGGTATTTTATAAGCATATCAAAAGTGAAAGGTAGGGTGGGTCCAATTAGGGACCCCAGTGGAAATCTTCTTGGTGAGGCAGAGATGTACTAAATAAGTATTTTGCAACTGTCTTCACAAAAGAAAATGATGTAACCAATGCCACAATATCGCAGGCGTGTGAACATAAATTGGATATGATAAAAATCAATAGAAAGGAGGTACTAAAAAGGCTGTTGGTGCTCAACACAGATAAGTCACCTGGTCCGGATGGGATGCATCCTAGGTTACTGAGGGAAGCAAGGGTGGAAATAGCGGAGACTCTGGCCACAATCTTTCAATCCTCTTTGGACACTGGAATGGTGCCAAAGAACTGGAAGGTTGCAAATGTTACGCCCCTGTACAAAAAGGGGCAGAAGGATAAACCTGAGAACTACAGGCCAGTCAGTCTAACATGAGTAGGAGGGAAACTTCTGGAGACTATAATCCGGGACAATATAAATTCTCACTTAGAAAAATATGGTTTAATAAAGGACAGTCAACACGGATTTGTTAAAGGCAGATTGTGTCTGACAAACCTAATAGAATTTTTGGATGAAGTGACTGAGAGGGTGGATGAAGGTAGTACAGTAGATGTAGTTTATCTAGATTTTCAAAAGGCATTTGACAAAGTGCCACATAAGAGACTTATAAACAAAATAGAAGCTCACGGTGTTGAAGGGACTGTGGCAACATGGACCCAGGACTGGCTGGGAGACAGAAAGCAGAGAGTGGTAGTAAACGGTTGCTTTTCTGACTGGAGGGAGGTGTGTAGTGGTATCCCTCAGGAGTTGGTATTGGGACCACTGCTCTTTCTGATTTATATTAATGATCTGGACCTGGAGCACAATTTCCAAATTTGCAGACGATACTAAGCTAGGAAAAGTAGTTAATGATGAGAAGGATAGCACCAGACACCAAGAGGACTTAGACAGATTGGTAAAATGGGCAGAAACGTGGCAGATGAGATTTAATATGGAGAAATGCGAAGTGTTGCATTTTGGAAGGAAGATTGAGAAGAGGCAGTTTAAGCTGATGGTACAATCTTAAAGGGGGCAAATGAACAGAGAGACCTGGGGTCCACATAAGCAAATCTCTGAAGGTGGCAGGACAGGTAGATAAAGCTGTTAAAAAAGCATTTGGGATACTAGGTTTTATAAATAGGGGTATAGAATACAAAAGTCAGGAGGTTATGTTGAATATTTATAAAATGCTGGTTAGGCCTCAGTTGGAGTATTGCATTCAGTTCTTGGCACATCACTTTAGGAAAGATGTTAGGGCATTGGAGAGGGTGCAAAGGAGGTTTACCAGGATGGTACCAGGAATGAAGGACCTTAGTTATGAGGAGAGGTTAGCGAAACTAGGATTATTCTCCCTGGAGCAGAGAAGATTAAGAGGGGATTTAATAGAGGTTTTCAAGATCAAGAGAGGATTTGATAGGTTGAACCAGGAAAAACTGTTTCCATTGGCATGTGGGTCTGTAACCCGAGGACATAGATTTAAGATAGATGTTAAAAGAAACACTGGGGAGGTTAGGAAAACATTTTCACCCAGCGAGTTGTTCAGATCTTGAATACATTACCTGAAAGGATAGTGGAAGTCGATTCAATAACAACTTTTAAGAGAAAAGTAGATGGGTATTTGGGGAGGACAGGATTGCAGGGCTATGGAGAGAAAGCGGGTCAGTGGGATTGAGTTGAATTGCTCTTTTTGGAGCCGGTGCAGACACGATGGGCCGAATGGCCTCTTTCTGTGCTGTACGATTCTATGATTCTATTCTATATGGGGACAGAGAATCTCAAGCAGGTTGTGTCACAATGACACCCATTCCCTGACACAGTAAGGTGCCGGTGTGGAGGGGAGGGAAGGGGGGTTCTGTGACAGGGAATGGGTATCACTGTTTCACCAGTGACATCCCTGCTCCTCTGGATGCAGTATGGGCTCGTTGCCTCCTTACCTGCTCGTGTCAGAGTCTTGTAAATGGGGCAGATATAGATCCCAGTCTGAGGAGCTTTGCGGTTTGCCACAGGCAGTAACCAGATGACAGCCATCTCCGTGTACAGCTCCTTGGGCCGCGATTCACTGAGCTCTGCCTGTGCGGAATCCCAGCGCGCTCCCTCTAGGAACAGCCCGTGGATGTAACAGCCCATGCTCGGGCGTTTCTTCAGCTTCTCCAGCGGCTCTGACATCATCTGTGAGGGACATGGAGAGGCTCAGTGGCTGGCTTCAAACTACAGCTTTCCTCTTCAATCCCATCTCAGTCTGAAGTGAGTGACTTTCTGGGTAAGTGATTTTGAGATTGTCGCTGTGTCAGCCCCCACCAGACTGTGCAAGATGGGATCTAGGCTCCTCAAACACCTCATCATAAGCTCGTTTCAGTGAGTTAATTGAGAGGGCCTGCCCGTAGGGGTTGGGAACTGGTTGGGGGTAATAGTAGGATATTTCTGGTAACTAATAGCCGCAGACAGGGGCACTGCGTCCTGTAAAGGACAGAGTTGCTCTCAGAGACATTCTGTTGTTGAATTAGTTGGACATTTTGTGTCTATATAATTTTTCAGCACAATATATATTTCTTCAAAATTATATGAGTAATAATTAAGCCCATTGGCTGTCCATCCCTTACATTAAAGTCAAATGATATTGTATCGATGGAGACGACAGACCGCCTGGCAAAGTTCTGCAGTGTGCCGGTCAGGAAGGCCTGTGGGAAGAAGAAGCCGCTGATCCAGAAAACGGGCGGAATTCCGGCGTTGATCCACAACTGGATGAACTTGATTCTCTCCAGAAGATCCAACACCCAGGAGCTCAAGGGCTTCAGCGAGGGATAGGCCTGGAAAATACAGCAGTGAGCGGTCATTGGCTGCTCTCAGCAACAAGAAGAAATGGCTTTTACAAAGCGTCCCTCATGCAAGGTAGCGTCCCAGAATGTTTGACAGTGGCAGAGCACAACGTCGAGCCTAGGGGAGGGGGAGGTGACCGTAGGCATATTCGAAGAAGAAGGTCTTTAGGTTACAACCTGTGTTTACCAAGCGAGGTACAAAAGAGACTGATTTGATTGCTATTTTCTGAGGGTAATATTTCCTCTTAATTTTGATTCCCCTTCTATCACACGCGGAGTGAACCTCGGCTCAGTCTCACTGCTCTCATAGTGCTTACAGTAAGAGCAGCACAATGACCCTCAGATAGACACTGGCCTTGGCCGTCTCACCACCATGGTCAGTTTTTCAGCCATTCTGCCCTCACTCTCTAAAACTCCATCCTGGAGTCCCTCTATCCCTGTCTCTTTGACCGCGCTTTTGGTCATCATTCCCCTGCTCATCCTGTCAGGTCTCGCCTCCATTCAGGTGCCCAGCTGGCAACGTCAAGCACTTTGTGAATGTACTGTGGAAATGTAAATTTTGTTGTTTTGCACAGTCACATTATCGATCAATTTTCTGACCAAGCCACACTGCAGAGCCCGGCCCTATTCCTCAATGTATTTTAGAAACAAAAATCCAGTCCAGGGTTCTTTCTAGGCCCATTGCCCTACTCTTTTCCCAGCATGCCTGCTGATACTCGTTACTTCACTGCAACAAGCTGCTCGAATCCCGTCTCTGCTCGTTTCCTATCATATTTTTTTCAGGCGATAACTCCACCCGATCTAGCAGCCATCTCCGCTCCTTCAATCACAGGTGCGCAGTTGAACGCACCTGGCTCAAATCCATCAGCAGATTTGGATGAACCAAGACTCACAACTCCACCCTCAACTCAGCCAAATTGTCCTTCTACTCCAGGATCATCCTAGGCCAAGGACAATCCTCTTCTCTAGTACAGAGTAGTGGCCTTCGCCCACTTTCCCATGCCTTGCCCATCCTCTCCTCCAACTCTAAATGTGAGATGATGGACGTCCTCAGGTCCAAAATCAAGTGGATCAAATCTGCCCTTTCTACTCCCTCCTTACCCCCCACTCTGGCCTCCACCCAACTGTCCCTCCACAGCTTTAACTACATCTCTCCCTCTCCTTCATCACCAGTAGATGTAATATATTTAGATTTTAAAAAGTAATTTGACAAAGTGCCACACAAAAGGCTATTGCACAAGGTTAAGGCCCACGGGATTAATGGGAACACATTAGCATGGATGGAAGAATGGCTAATGGGTAGAAAACAGAGAGTAGGGATAAACGGGTCATTCTCGAATTGACAGGATGTGACTAGTGGAGTGCCACAAGGATCAGTGCTTGGGCATCAGCTATTTACAATTTACATCAATGATCTAGACAAGGACATTGAATGTAACGTATATAAATTTGTGGATGACACTAAACTTGGTGGGAGAGTAAGCTCTGAGGATGATGCAAAAAGATTGCAACGGGATATAGATGGTAGGGGAGTGGGCGAGTAGGTGGCAGATGGAATTTAATGTGGGGAAGTGTGAAGTTATTCATCTCGGTAGCAAAAATAGAAAAAACGATTATTTTCCAGAGGGGGAGAGATTAGATAGTGTTAGTGTTCAGAGGGATTTGGGTGTCCTTGTACACCAGTCTCAAAAAGTTAGTTTGCAGGTGCAGCAGCAACTAAGAAGGCCAAAGGCATGTTAGCGTTCATTGCAAAAGGTTTAGAGTACAAGAGTAGGGAAGTCTTGCTGCAACTGTATAGGGCCTTGGTGAGACCGCATCTAGAGTACTGTGTGCAGTTTTGGTCTCCTTATTTAATAAAGAACATACTTGCCTTAGAGGGGATGCAGTGTAGATTCACCAGGTTAGTTCCTGGGATGAGGCGACTGACCTATGGGGATAGGCTGAATAAACTAGGGCTGTATTCTCTAGAATACAGAAGAATTAGGGGGGATCTTATTGAAACATAAGATTCTTGAAGGGCTGGATAAAGTAGACACTGAGGGACTGTTTCCCCTGGTAGGAGAATCTATAACCAGGGGTCACAGTCTTAAAATTAAGGGTCAGTCTTTTAGAACAGAGTTGAGGAAACATTTCTTCACTCTGAAGGTAGTGAATTTATGGAATTTACTACCCCAGAAGGCTGTAGATGATCAGTCCTTGAACATCTTCAATGCTGAGACTGATAGATTTTTTAAAAATAGAGGGATTAGGGGATATGGGGATAGGGCAGGTAATTAGAGTTAGATCTCAAGATCAGCCATGATCTTATCGAATGGCGGGGCAGGCTCGAGGGGCCGAATGGCCTACTCCTGCTCCTAATTCTTATGTTCTTATCTCTCGAATGAAGCCTGCTCCCTCAATCTCATCCCCACTTCTCTCCTGATCGCCCAGCTCCACCTCCTTAGCCCCCAGCTAACAGACATCATCAACCTCTCTCTATCCACTATGCATTTTGGGAGGAAAAATGAGGAGAAGCAATTTAAGCTAGATGGTACAATCTTAAAAGGGATGAAAGAACAGAGACCTGGGGTTTCATATAAGTAAATCTTTGAAGGTGGCAGGACAGGTAGATAAAGCTGTTAAAAAAGCATACAGGATACTAGGCTTTATAAATAGGGGCTTAGAATACAAAAGTCAGAAAGTTGTGATAACCTTTATGAAACAATGGTTAGGCCTCAGCGAGAGACTGTGTTCAGTTCCGGGCACCACACTTTAGGAAGGATGTCAAGGCATTGGAGAGGGTGCATGAAAAGGTGGTGGAAGCCGATTCGATAACAGCTTTTAAGACAGAAGTAGATTTGGGGAGGACAAGTTTGCAGGAAGAGAATGGGGGAGAGGGATTGAATTGAATTGCATAGCTCTTTTCAAAGAGCTGGCACAGTTATGACGGGCCTCCTTCTGTGCTGTATAATTCTACGATTCTATGCGTGTGTGAGTTGTGTGCGTGTGAGGTGTGTGTGTGTGTGCAGTGGGGGCCTGTGGAGGTTAGTACCTTACTGTTCCAGAATTCAGGCACGGAGTTGTTGTACAGACTGTTGGACATGAGCTCGAGCTGTGAGGACATGACCACAAGACCCTTCAGCGCCTTTAGCAGGTCATCCAGACTCTTCACTATACAATCTACCAGCCGATTGTACCTGCACAGAGAGAAGCTTGTGTCACTTCTGCTCACGATGATTCCCCCATGCACGCACAGTGAGTCAGCTCAGCAATCTGCTCTGTTGGCCTCCTGTCAAGGCTGAGGCTGCGTTGTAGTGCTTCAGATGAGATGAGGGTGTTTGTGAGACATTGCTGTGCGCAAATTGGCTGTGTGCAGTGCCTGTGTGGGGTGCCCACCTGCCCAGGTGTCCCTACCTGATGACTTCCTGGATGAGCACTGTGTTCATGGACTCCTCGTACATCACTGGGTACCTGGCCACCACTGCCTGGATATCGATGAGAGATGGCAGCTTCTCCAGGATATTCACAGCCACTTCCTCCACCACCTACCAGGCAGCCAGCCATCAGCCCGTCAGAGTCAGTGTCAGCACACAGCATACAGCCTCAGCACACAGCATACAGCCTCAGCACACAGCATACAGCCTCAGCACACAGCATACAGCCTCAGCACACAGCATACAGCCTCAGCACACAGAGTCAGCACACACAGCAGCACAGCGTCAGCACACAGTGTCATCACACACAGCGCAGTGTCAGCACACACAGCACAGCGTCAGCACACACAGCACACAGCATCAACACACACAGCACACAGCGTCAGAACACACAGCACAGCGTCAGCACACCCAGCACAGCGTCAGCACACACAGCACAGCGTCAGCACACACAGCACAGCGTCAGCACACACAGCACAGCGTCAGCACACACAGCATCAGCACACACATTACAGCGTCAGCACACAGCACAGCGTCAGCACACACAGCACACAGCGTCAGCACACACAGCACACAGCGTCAGCACACACAACACACAGCGTCAGCACACACAGCACAGAGTCAGCACACACAGCACAGCGTCAGCACACACAGCACAGAGTCAGCACACACAGCACAGCGTCAGCACACACAGCACAGCGTCAGCACACACAGCACACAGCGTCAGCACACACAGCACACAGCGTCAGCACACACAGCACACAGCGTCAGCACACACAGCACACAGCGTCAGCACACACAGCACAGCGTCAGCACAGTGTCAGCTCACACAGCACACGGTGTCAGCACACAGAGCACACAGTGTCAGCACACGGTGTCAACACACACAGCAGTGTCAACACACACAGCAGTGTCAGCACATAGTGTCAGCACACAGTGTCATGTCAGCGTCTGCACACAGCGTCAGCGTCAGAGAGTACAGCCAACAACAACAACTTGCATTTATATTGCGCTCTTCCCAGCGTACCAGAGCACTTGACAGTGGTGAACTCTGACCTCGAGCCAGGAAGAGCGGAAGGTGACCATAATCATGATCAAAAAAGGTCTTTAGGCGGGATTTAAAAGTGGTGCACGAGTGGGCAAGGAAGAGGGTTTGAGGGAGTTCCAGAGTTTCAGGGTGTTGTGGCTGAAGGCACAGGCACCGATGGTGGAAAAGAGGGAACAAGGGACAAACAGGAGGAGTCAGCAGAGTGGAGGCAGCAGGTGGTAGAGTGGGGGATAAGCAAATTGGATAGGTAGAGAGGTGTGAGGGCATAAAGGATTTTGAAAATCAGTAAGACGATCTTGAAATCGATTCGTTCAGTAATTGGGAGCCACTGGGGCCTGGCAGCTCCACTCTAATGCCTTACCCCCACCCGCGGCACTGACCTCGTCATGACTCTTGCCGCTGCTGGTGGACGCCTTGGGCTGCAGCTGGAGAATGGTGTTGAGGAGGGAGAAAGTCTCATTCTGAGCAAAGGTGATATTGGCGTTCTCATGTAGCCCGAACATCTCTGGAGTGTCGTTAATCGGGAGCGACTTCATATAGTTCAGGTAACCCTGTGGGACACAGAAACTGAGACCCCTCACACACACCCTCTCGCACCCTCAAACACGCATCCTCACATAGCCCCTCACACATCCGCGCACACCCAGCCCCTCACCCACATGGCTGGGTGGGGGCCTGGGGGTTGTGCTGCTCTGGGAGCTGTGCTGGGAGCTTGGAATGGGTTGGGGTCGGGTGCTGTGCTGGGACAGGGTAGGGGCTGCTCTGGGGCTGGGGGCTGTGCTGGGCTGGAGTTGTGGCTAAGGCTGGAGTTGGTGCTGTGCTGGGATTGGACTGGGGCTATGCTTTAGGTTCGACTGGAGGCTGTGTGCTGGGTTGGAGGCTATTTTAGGCTTGGGACTATGTTAGGCTGGGGCTGGAGGCTCTGCTGGGGGCTAGGTTAGGCTGTGGGCTGTGCTGGATGATGGGCTGGAGGCTGGCTCTGGGGGCTGAATGCTATGCTGGGTTAGGCTCCATGACCCTATCACCCCCATCCTTACCCAACTCCACTGGCTTCCCATTACACAGAGGATACAGTTCAAGATCTTGCTCTCACCTTCAAAGCCCTCCATGGTTTTGCTCCCCACTACCTCTGAGACCCCCTAACCCCCTATCATCCTGCTTGCTCCCTCTGCTCAGTGGGCTCTGGCCTGCTTCACGTCCCCACCTCGCTCACACCACTATTGGCGGGCGGCCTTCTGCCACTCTGACCCTATCCTCTGGAACTCCATCCCGCAGTTCCTCCGCCTCACCCCCCCCCCCCCCCCCGCCTCCATCAAGAGCCATCTCAAGACCCTCCTCTTCGACTGTGCTTTCGATCTCCCTGCTTCCACCCCTGCCCTCCACCCCCCCCAATACCGACCCCCAGGTTGGGTCTGAAACTCTGTCTGTCCAGCGCCTTGGGACATCCTTCCAACGTGAAAGGTGCTTTACAAATGTAATTTTGGTGGTGTTATTTTATTGTTGGACTGGAGGCTATGTTTTGGGCTGGGGGCTGTTCTGGAGGCTGTGTGCTGTGCTGGGGGTTGTGTGTTGGGTTGGGGACTGTGCTGGGAGCTGGAGGCTGTGTTGGGGCTCTGCTGGGGGCTGGGAACTGTGTTGGGGGCCTTGGGTTGATGTGACTCACCTCCAGGTCTGTGGCCGTGCTGATCTGCTTATAGATCCCGGACTCTGAGTACGAGAAATTCTCCTCCAGAACATCAGGGGTATAAAAATCCTCCAAAATGTTCATTATACATCGTCGGTCCCAGTCGTCTGTGACTCTGCCGCCGTAGTTAATCTCCCCGGCTGTGTACTTCAGCACCTGGACACACACACGCAGCCTGTGACTTATTATTAATAATAATACCCTTCCTCCCTGTGCTGATCATGCCAAACCTGGCTGCTTTTGGGAAATGAAGAGTTTACAGAGACGTGATTTCAGGGAAAACTTGGTGAGATGTGAGAGTCGATCAGGAGAAAACCTTCAATAGAGCTATAAACTGTATAAACAGCCTCAGTGCAGCCTCTAATGAGAGGCTTTCCTTTATCTCTTCGGAGCAGGAGAGTGCTGAGCACTCACTCTCACAGCGCTCAGAATGGCGCTCAGGTTTGAGCAGCCGGAGAGGGAAGCAGGCAGGGGGCGGGGTAAGGTCAGGGAGATCTGATTTCTTTATAGTTGATCACTTTTTTTATTGAGACAAGACAAGCGAGAGGGCCTGGGTTCGATTGCCGGACGGAACGAAATGTTTGGCAATTTTCCTTACTCCACATACCTCTGTTTATGATTGGCGGATCGCTTTCCGGGGGTAAAAATCCCTACAAAAAAAAAGTGGTCCCTGAATCCACGTTTGTGGGACATCGCTATGCACAATTGGCTGCCTGTTTTGCCCACAAAATAGTGACTCCACTTTACAATATATTTCTGTGAAGCACTTTGAGACATCTCATTGACATAAGACACTGTATCAAATGCAAGAATTATTATTATTAATAGAATTTTATAAATAAAGGCAGGTCAAGTGTGGAGCAGGAGGAGGAGTGCATAGGGAGGGAGAGTGCAGGAGGAGAGAACGAGGGGAAAGTGGGCACTTAACCTGACTGGAAGCTCAGGAGAGGAGCAGCTGTGGGAGGAAAGAAAGGTGATTGAAAGCTCGGTCAAAGAGATAGGTCTTTAGGCAAGTTCTAAAGGTGATTCCAACATGGCTTATAGCTCAGCCATTGATGGTGAGGCAGGCAGTCTGGGGACATGCTGAGCAGAGGGAGCGGGTGGATTGGTAGGGTTGAAGGAGGTTACAGAGGTCAGGTGGACCAAAACCGTGGAGGGATTTAAAAGTGAGGATGAGGATCTTGAATAAGATCCTCTGGGGGTAGGAAGCCAGTGGAGCCTGTTGAGGTTGGAGGTAATCTGCTCGTGGAGCCTTGCGCAGGATAGGACATGAGCTGCAGCTTGTGGAGGGAAGCTGGGGAGTCCGGTGAGCAAAGAGTTGGCTTCGTCTAACCTGGATATGATGAATGGCCTAGGGGAGAGGCAGTGGCGTCCCTCAGGTTCTGTCCTTGGCTCCCTCCTTTTCAATATTTACATGCTCCCTGTTGGTGACATCATCCGTAGATATGGGGTCAACTTCTACATGTATGTGGACAACACCCAACTCTACCTCTCCGCCTCCTCCCTCGACTCCAGGACCACTGCTGTACTATTAGACTGTCTGTCGGACATCAAATCCTGGATGACAGCTAACTTCCTCCAGTTGAATGTCAACAAGACCGAGGCCCTCATGCCTGGCTCCCGTCAGCGCCTCCATACCTCGGGAGCTGACAGCATCACTCTTCATGGATGCAGTCTACACCTCACAAAGCCAATATAGAAACTCGGTGTTCTGTTCGACCCTCAACTGTTCTTCATTCCCCACATCCATGTCATGACTCGCTCAGCCATTCCCACCTCTGTAACATTGCTGGCTCCTCCACTGTCTCTCACTGCAGGCCGCCGAGACCCTCATCCACGCATTCATCACATCCCTTGTCGGCCTCTCCGACCCCTTGCTCCATAGGTTGCACATCATTCAGAATTCTGCAGCCCATGTCCTCTCCCCCACCGGGCTTTGCGACCCTATAACCCCCATCCTCGCCCAGCTCCACTGGTTCCCCATCACTCAGCGGATAGAGTTCAAGATCTTGGTCCTCACCTTCAAAGCCCTCCATGGCCTTGCTTCTCCCTACCTGTGTGACCCCTTACCATGCTGTCTGCTCCTGCCGCTCAGCGGGCTCCGGCCTGCTTTACATCCCGTCTTGCCTGCCCCACCATTGGCGGGCGGGCCTTCAGTTTCTCTGACGCCCCCCTCTCTGGAATTCCATCCCACAGTCCCTCTGTCTCACCCCCTCCTTTGCCACCTTCAACACCCTCCTCTTTGATGTTGCCTTTGGTCACCCTCCTACCTCTACCCGCCACCCTTCCTGATCCCAACTACCAGCTCGGATGTGGATCCTTAACTGTCCAGCGCTTTGGGACATCCTCCTGACATGAAAGACGCTATACAAATGTAATTTGTTGTTGTTGTGGAGGCAAGCAATGCTGCAGAGGTGGGGAAAAGCTGAGTGGTTCAGAGCACGATGTGGGGATTAAAGGACATTTGAGAGTCGAGCTACCAAGGTTCTTTAGGTGGAGACTGCTTTCATGCAAGTTAATCGCTGTCTAAATAATTGGTGAGTCCGTACTTAAGAGAACTGTGTCCAGTTCTGGTTGCTGCAGTACAAAAAGGATATGGGAGAAATTGAGAGGATACAGAGGAGGGCATCCAGAATGATTGAGGAAAGGTTGGGACTGGACTATGAGGAGCGATTAAGTAAATTGGGCATGTTTACGCTGGAAAAGAGAGGATTGAGAGGCGACATGATTGTGGTCTTTAAGATTCTAAAGGGGCTAGATAATGTAGATCATGACAGGCTGTTTCAACCAGTCCAGAACAGTAAAACCAGAAAACATGGCCTGTGGTTGAAGGGGGATAAATTCAGAACGAATCTATGGAAAGTACAGTGAGCTGAAAGTACAGTGAGCTCAGTGAGCCAGCCTGGTACAGGCTCCTTAGAGAGACGTTCGAAGCAGGAAGTGTTGATACCTTCAAACACAAAAAGATAGTTTTCTTTTTGGAAGAAAAAGAAAAGGTAGGTAGTTCGGGACATATGTGCATGCAACCGTTAGAAAGGTAGAAGGCAAACTAGATGGATTTTTTTTTGTTTAGCATTTCTTATATTCTTATGTTAATACTGTCAGTGTATGAGGTGAGCAGGCACAGACGGGAGCAAAGCAGGAGGGTCTCGGTCTTGTTGACATTCAACTGGGAAAGTTAGCTCTCACCCAGACTTGATATCTGACAGGATCAGGACAGTCGGAGTTAAGGTTGGAAGCAGAGAGATAGAGTTGAGTGTCATCTGCATACATGCCTACAGATGATATGCCCTAGTGGGAGCATGTAAATATTAAAGAGGGGACCGAGGATAGAGCCCTGAGGAACACCATACGTGATGTTGCGGAGGAGAAAATAATTATTATCCTTATATTTCATCCAGTGCTTTGCAGGATTTACTGAGTTTTGTGGATCAGTATGGCAGCCAAATTTGTGCATTTACAATATCACATAAACAACCATGGAGTGAGCGACCAAATTTTATCTGGGGGATTGTTGGCCAGGATGCCAGGAGAGACTCCCTTCACTTTTTGAATAGTGCAATGGGATCTTTAATAAACTACTGGTTTGAGGGATGGCACCGATAGTCAGAGTTCCCCTAATCCTGCACTGGAATGAGCGGACAGGTTCATAATTTAGTAGGTAGCAAAAGTAGGGAGGAACCAGATGATGGAGGATAGAGTGTGGGGGTGGCGGAGGCAGCACCTTGTAGGGGAGCTCGGTGTACTCCTCCAGGAACATTTTGAGCTGACTGATGCAGATCCGCAGGTCTCCGTCCGTGAATTCATACGGAATGTTGAAGCCGAGTGGCCCGAACTTGCGGCGTTCCAAGGTGATGCCATGAAATAGACATAATGAGAGCAGCAGAGCCTTGAAATTGGAGGTCTGCAACAAGTAGATCACCATTCAGCATACGCCTATCATCATGTATATTTATATTTACCATGTCACTATGCCGGGGTGGGGGGGGGGGTTCATTGTGCCTGGGTTGAGGGGTCACAGTGCCTTGTGGGGGTCACTATGCCTGGGGGGGTTCACTGTGCCTTGCGGGGGTCACTGTGCCTGGAGGGTCACTGTGCATGGTGGGAGTGGCGGGGGGTGTGTGGTCACTGTGCCTGGGGAAGGCAGGGGGAAGGGGGGGGGGGGGTCACTGTGTGTGGTGGGGAGAACACAGTGCCCAGAGGGGTGGGGGGGGGGTCACCGTGCCTGAGAGGTGGGGTCACTGTGCCAGTGGGATTACTGTCCCCGGGAGGGGGGGGGTCACTGTGCTGGGTGGGGGTGGGGTGTTCATTGTGTGTGTGGTGCTGCGCTATTTGTGTGGTGTTGTATGTATGGTGCTGTATGTGGTGCTGTGTGTGGTGTTGTGTGCGTGTGGTGCTCTGTGTATGTAGTGCTGTATGTGATGCTGTGTGTGGTTCTGTGTGTGTGTATGTGGTGCTGTATGTGTGTGGTGCTATGTTGCGTGTGTGTGTGGTGCTGTGTTGGACACTGTCAGTGTGGAGCCACGTGGTCACCTTAGTGCAGGAGTTGAGGAAGTCATCACTCAGACTGGTGTACGTCTTCAATAAGTTGGCTTTAATACCGCGGGGTGGCTCGATGGTCATTTTAGAGCCGTTCTGGAGGATGGAAACTGGGAATCTATTGCTGGGTAAACTGGTCAGCCAGACCCGGAAATCCCGATGCACCTGCAATGCAGAACATCTGTCACCGCAGGAGAGGACCGGGCCGAGGAGTGCTGTGCAGGGGGGTAGTGTGTGGTGGGGTGGGGGCTGTGGGGTAGTGCGGGGTGGGCATTAGTCTGGGACAGAGGGCTGGGGGGTAGCATGGGGTGGGGATGGTTAGTCTATGGGATAATATCACGCTCTGGAGGAACAGAAGCACCTTATCTGAGTCGATGGTTTCAATGAGTCTCTCCAGAGAGGGCATCCAGCTGGGCGACAGGTGACAATTCTGAAAGAAAACCCACTTGCCACGCTCCATTGAGTTATGCATCATGGCTTCCGCACGGGGACCCTGTTAATTAGAGAAATAGTGTCACGAGCAGCACCTCTTCCCAACAACATTCCTATCAATAAATTGTGAGTGTATACGTGTGAAGTGTGGCATGAGGTGTGTGCGTATGTGAGATGTGTGAGTCACGTGTGTGAGGTGTATTTGTGTGTATGTTAGGTGTGTGTATGTGAGGTGTGTTTGTGTGTGTGAGATGTGTATGTATGTGAGGTGTGTTTGTGTGTAGGTGAAGTATGTGTGAGGTGTGTGTATATGTGAAGTGGGTGTGTGTGTATGAGGTGTGTGAATGGGATTGAGTTGGATTGCTCTTTTCGGAGCTGGTGCAGACATGATGGGCCGAGTGGCCTCTTTCTATGCTGTATGATTCCATGATTCTATGTGTGTGTATATGTGAGGTGTGTATGAGATGTGTGTGTATGTGAGGTGTTTTTGTGTGTAGGTGAGGTGTGTGTGTGTGGTGTGTGTATGTGAGGTGTTTTTGTGTGTAGGTGAGGTGTGTGTGTGTGGTGTGTGTGCGGTGTGTGTATGTGAGGTGTGTGTGAGGTATGTATGAGGTGTGTGTGTATGTGGTGTGTGTGAGCTGTGGGTGTATGTGAGGTGTGTGAGGTATGTATGAGGTGTGTGTATGTGAGCTGTGTGTATGTGAGGTGTGTGTGTATGTGAGGTGTATGTGAAGTGTGTATGAGGTCTGTGTCTATTGAACTGTATGTGCATGTATGTGAGGTGTACATATGTGAGGTGTGTGTGAGTTGGAATGCTCTTTTCGGAGCCGGCGCAGACACGATGGGCCGAATGGCCTCTTTCGGTGCTGTATGATTCTATGTGCATAAGGTATGTATGTGAGGTGTTTGTGAGATGTGTATAGCAACAACCACAACTTGGATTTATATAGCGGCGTCTCAGAGCGCTTTACAGTAACGGATCCCGGGGCCAAGCCAGGGGGAGGGGGAGGAAGGTGACCAAAGGCGCGGTCGAAAAGAAAGGTGTTCAGCAGAGCCCTGAAAATGGGAAGGGAGTGAGCGAGATGAAGGGAGTGAGGAAGGGAGTTCTGGAGCCTCGGGGTGTAGTGGCTGAAGGCACGGCCACCGAGGGTGGAGCGGAGGACTCGGGGGATGAGGAGGAAGCCAGACCCAGAGGAATGAAGGCAACGGGTACTGTTATAAGGTGTGTGTGGTGTGTACTTGAGGTGTATGTATGTATATGTGAGGTGTGTGTATGTGAGGTGTGAAGACCTGGAGTTTCAGCTGCGGGAGATGGGATTTGAGTGCCATCTGTGTATGTGTGGAAGTTAACTCTTATTTCAAGGAGTCAGGGGCAGGCCCCACTCAGGGGGAAGGAGGAGGGGTCCACAGTGCAGAGGCCAAAGGGGAGTGAGGTGGCAGAGGGAGCCTTGCTCACAGAGAGAGAGAGAGAGAGACAGTGACCTTGATGAGGGCTGGCTGAGTGCTGTGGGTGGGATGGACAGCCTATCCCAATGGTTGCACACCGTATGTCCCCACGGTCTCTGTGTCACACGTAAAGGACCTTGGAGACAGTGTTTCTCATTCCTGGAGAAAAATAGGAATAATAGCGAGGAATAATGCTGTGTAACCGGCCCTGCCTGCAGGCCCAATGGCTGATTGTGTGTCAGAGCCTCAGTGTTAAGCTAATCAGGCCAGCGGTGTGTGAGATGCCCTGTGGAGGGAGCTTACCTGGCCCTGGCCCAGCGAGATGGCGCTCATTTTCTTTGAAAATTTCATTTCTTCGGCAAATTTATATAGGTCTGCGGCGGGGTCCGTTCCCGGGGATAGGACAAAGACCAACGGCACTGCAGGCCCCGACTCCTTAAACATGGAGGAGAGCTCCGAGGCCTGCAACACACGCACATCCTTCACTGACACAGGTCACTGCAGACTTGCGAGGCGTGTGAGGAGCACAGCGTGTGCGGTGCAGACGTGTGAGCAGAGTGTGTGAGGCGTGTGAGGTGCAGAGGTGTGTGAGGAGCACACAGTGTGTGAGGTGCAGACGTGTGCGAGGTGTGAGAGGTGCCGACGTGTGTGAGGCGTGTGAGGTGCAGACATGTGCGAGGCATATGAGGTGCGGACGTATGCGAGGCGTGTGAGGTGCAGACATGGGCAAGACATGTGAGCAGCGTGTGTGAGGCGTGTGAGGTGTAGACGTGTGTGAGGAGCACATAGTTTGCGAGCTGTGTGAGGTGCAGACCTGTGTGAGGCATGTGAGGTGCCGACGTATGTGAGGTGCAGACATGTGCGAGGCATGTGATGTGCAGACATGTGCGAGGCATGTGAGGTGCGGATGAGTGCGAGGCATGTGAAGTGTGAAACGCGTGCGAGGCATGTGAGGTGCGGACGTGTGCGAGGCGTGTGAAGTGTGAACGTGTGCGAGGCGTGTGAGGTGCAGACATGTGCGAGGCATGTGAGGTGCGGACGTGTGCGAGGCATGTGAGGTGCGGATGTGTTTGAGGCGTGTGCGGATGTGTGCAAGGTGCAGATGTATGCGAGGCGTGTGAGGTATGGACGTGTGCGAGGTGTGTGCGATGCAGACGTGTGCAAGGTGCAGATGCATGTGAGGTATGGACGTGTGCGAGGCATGTGAGGTGCGGACGTGTGCGAGGAGTGTGAGGTGCGGACGTGTGCGAGGCGTGTGAGTTGTGGACATGTGTGAGGTGTATGAGGTGCGGACGTGTGTGAGGTGCAGATATCTGTGAGATGAGAGCACTGACCTGAGGCTCGATGAATTTCTGTCCGAGGTTCAGAGCCACAAAGTCCTGCATGCCGTTGGTGACTTTATCGGCCCGGAGACAGCGCAGCACCAGCAGCCTCTGGAAGGCATCCAGCCTGGAACCCAGCACCCCTGGCAAAAGCATCCTGCAACACACCTGTTCCATTAGCTTTCAGTTACCCAGTCCAGGGGGACTCGGGCTCATTAAGGCCTGGTGTGACCACACACACAGTAACAGGAGCAGGCCATTCAGCCCTTTGAGCCAGTTCCCCCATTCTATGGCTGATCTATACCTCAACTCCATTTACGTGCCTTCGACACCGTCAACCACTCTATCCTCATCCACCGCCTCTCCTCTCACCTCAACCTTCATAACTCTGACCTTGACTGGTTCAGATCGTACCGCTCACACCGCCTGCACTTCATCTCCACAAACAGTTTCTCCTCCAGCCCCCGTACCATCTTGTGCAGTGTTCCTCAGGGCTCTGTCTTGGTCCCCTCCTCTTCAATATCTATATGCTTCCACTTGGTGACATCATCTGCAGACATGGGGTCAACTTGCACATGTATGCGGATGACACCCAACTGTAGCTCTCCGCTTCCATCCTGGACTCCAGGACCACTGCTGTCCTGACAGAATGTCCTGGATGAGAGCTAACTTTCTTCAGTTGAACGTCAACAAGACCGAGGCTCTCCTGATTGGTTCCCGTCAGCACCTCCTCACCTCAGGCGCTGACAGTATCACAATCCATGTATGCACACTCAACCTTACGAAGCCAATCTAGAACCTTGGCATCTTGTTTGACCCTCAACTATTCTTTCTACCCCACATCTCTGCCACAACCTGCTCTGCCTCCGCCTTGCCCCCCTTCAGGCCCATCTCAAGACCCTCCTCTTTGACCGTGCTTTCGATCACCCTGCTTCCCCCCACTGCCCTCCACCCTCCCCGATCCCGGTCCCCAGCTCTGACTGTCCAGCGCCTTGGGGACATCCTCCGGACTTTAAACAAGCTTTATAATGTAATTTGGTTGTTGTTGTTATGTGGAGGGAGGATGGGTAGAGGCCAGGGTGGGAGGGAGAGATGGGGAGGGTGTAGTAAACGGAAGGGCAGAGGCAGCTGAATGGATGCCCTGAACTTTGGATTCAAGGATTCAACCAAGGCTTCGGCCACGCTCCCTGCCCTTCAACCCTCCCAATCCCGACCCCCAGCTCAGATCCAAATCCCTGAGTGTCCAGCGCCTTCGGTCGTCCTCCCGACGTGAAATGTAATTTTGTATTGTAGTAGTTGATGGCTGAAATCACCTCCATTACCCCATATCCTTTATTCTGAAAGTCTATATAAACAACATCCATAGACACTCTGTTATCCACCATGTTAGTGATCTCCTCAAAAAATGCAACTAGATTTGTCAGACTTCAAAGAAGTCCATCATCTCCTCACATTTGGAGTTGGAGGAGAGGATGAGAGAGACATTGGAAGGTGGTTTATGGTTGAGGAGTTGGTTTAACATAACATATTAGGAGCAGGAGTAGGCCATTCGGTCCTTCGAGGCTGCCCCGCCATTCAATCATGGCTGATTTTCTAATCTAACTCCAGCTAATAACCTAACCCTGCCTTATCCCCATATCCTTTAATCTCTTTTGCAATAAGAAATCTATATCTCAGTCTTGAATATGTTCAAGGACTGAGCGTCAACAGTCCTTTGGGGTAGTGAGTTCCATACGTTCACCACCCTTTGAGTGAAGAAGTTCTTTCTCAACTCAGTGCGAAAGGGCTGCCTCTGATTTTAAGGTTGTGACCCCTGGTTTTAGTTTCTCCAACCAGGGGAAACAATCTCCCACTATCTACTCTATCATTCCCTTTGATGATCTTATAGGTTTCTATAAGATCCCCTCTAATTCTTCTATATTCTAGAGAATATAGGCCCAAATTGGTCAGCCTACCCTCGTAATTCAACGCCTTCATCCCTGGTACTAACCTAGTCAATCTACGCTGCATCCCCTCCAAGGCAAGTACATCCTTCTTTAACTAAGGTGACCAAAACTGTACACAGTATTCCAGGTGTGGTCTCACCAGGGCCCTATACAGTTGCAGCAAGACTTCCCTACTCTTATACTCTAATCCTTTCATAATGAATGCTAACATACCGTTCGCCTTCCTAATTGTTGCTGCACCTGCAGACTAACTTTCTGTGATTGGTGTACAAGGACACCCAAGTCCCTCTGGACGCTAACACATTCCAATCTCTCCCCTTCTAAAAAATAACCCGCTCTACTGTTTTTGCTACCTAGGTGGATGACTTCGCACTTCCCTACATTATACTTCATCTGCCACCTACCTGCCCAATCACCTAACCTATCTATGTCTCGCTGCATTTTTTTAATGTCGTCCTCTGTGTTGACACTTCCTCCTAGTTTTGTGTCATCCGCGAATTTAGATATATTAACTTCGATGTCCTCATCTAGATCGTTGATGTAGATGGTAAATAGCTGAGGCCCAAGGACTGATCCTTGTGGCACTCCATTAGTCACATCCCGCCAATCTGAAAAGGACCCGTTTATCCCTACTCTTTGTTTCCTACCCGTTAATCATTCCCCAATCCACGTTAATGCTCCCCCCAATTCCATGGGCCTTAACTTTTGGACTAACCTTTCATGCGGCATTTTATCGAATGCCTTCTGGAAGTCCAAATAGACCACATCCACTGATTCACCCTTATCCAGTTTACTGGAAATGTCCTAAAAAAACTCTGAGATTTGTCAAACATGACTTCCCTTTTGTAAAGCCATGTTGACTTGGCCTAATTATATTGTGCTCCCCTAAATACCGCACTACCACATCCTTAATCAATGATTCTAAAATTTTTCCTATCACTGATGTGAGACTAACTGGCCTATTGTTCCCCATCTTTTCCTTTCCACCTTTTTTAAATAGTGGTGTGACATTTGCGATCTTCCAATCCATGGGGACTGTTCCAGAATCCAAGGAATTTTGGAAGATGAAGCCTCCACTATCTCATAAGCTACCTCTTTTAAAACCCTGGGATGCAAGCCATCCGGACCAGGGGATTTGTCACTTTTTAGTGCTAACAGTTTCCCTAGCACCAATTCTCTACTAATGAAAATTTCCCTAAGTTGCTCCCTGTCCTTATCCCTTTGATGCATTTCTATTGTTGGCAGACTTGTTGTGTCTTCTAGGGTGAAGACAGATGCAAAGTACCCATTTAGGGACTCTGCCATGTTCTCCCGTCTCTGACTGAAGTGCACCTACATTTACCCTCACTAGCCTATTCCTCTTAATATACTTGTAAAAACTTTTACAATCAGACTTAATATTCCCCACGTAGCTTACCCTCATACCCCTTTTTCTCGCTCTTAATGAGTTTTTTAGTTTTATTTTGCTGGTTTCTTTCCTACATGCTCCACTGATTTCTTGATTGATACCCTGTGTTATATTGTGATCGCTGTTTGGGGGTCTATAAACCACTCCCATTAATATTTTCTGCCCTTTATTATTTTTTATTTCCACCCATATTGTCTCGACCTCCTGGTCATCGGATTTCAGATCCTTCCTCTCCACTGCTTTTATTTCATCCCTAATTAACAGGGTCAGCCCCCACCTCTTTTCCCACAGTGCCTATCTTTCCTGTAAACTGAGAACCCTGGAATATTTAACTCCCACCCTAGATCTCCTTGTAACCATGTTTCAGTGCTGGCTACTAGATCGTACCCATATGTGTCTATCTGTGCTTTTAATTCGTCAGTTGTTTTCCGAATGCTTCATGCATTTAGATATAACATTTTTAATTTCCTACCATTTCCTCTACTCTCTGATTCCTTACCTACTTTGCCAAGCTTCTTACCCCTAGTTAACATTTTCCTATTATCTGGCATGCTATTCTGCACTGTCATCTTTACTTTTTCTAATGCTAACTTATGTGCTGGAGAATATGAGGTTGTCCTGTAAGGTTGGCCTCCATGATGATTTTGGATTAGATGGACAACTTAGCTGCGGCGAGGTAGCTTTTGACTCAGTCCAGCCAGATTTAGGGATGGACAGTGAGATTGGAATGGACTACTCACACATAAGTACTTGTTTGTAATTAAGCTGTTGGGTTCCCTATCCCTAATCCTGTCCTAAACTCCAGGCTGCTCCACTGAGAGACTGAAGCACAGTATATTTACTCAGCCATTGTCCCATGTCCTCTCCTGTCACACAAGCAATGATTTAATGGAGCTGCTCCTCACAAGATCGGTTCGGATAAATCATAGAATCATACAGCACAAAAAGAGGCCATTCGGCCCATCGAGTCTGTGCCAGCTCTTTGAAAAGAACAATGTAATGTCAACCCCACTCCCCAGCCCTTTCCCCATAACCCTACAAACCCGTCCTCCTCAAATACCCGTCCACCGCGTTTTTAAAAGTTGTTATTGAATCGGCCTCGACCGCCCTTTCAGGCAATGCGTTCCAGATTCGAAAAACTCGCTGCGTGAAAAAATTTCTTCTCACCTCCCCTCTGCTTCTTTTAGAAACCATTTTAAATCTGTGACCTCGAGTTACCGACACACCGACCAGTGGAAACAGTTTTTCCCTTTCTAACCTATCAAATCCCCTCATGATTTTGAAGACCTCTATTAGGTCTCCTCGTAACCTTCTTTGCTCCAATGAGAATAATCCTCTCCTCTCTACCCTTTCCTCATAATCAAGGTCCCTCATTCCTGGTACCATTCTTGTAAATCTCCTCTGCACCCTTTCCAATGCCTTAACATCCTTCCTATAGTGCGGTGCCCAGAACTGGGCGCAGTATTCTAACTGAGGCCTAACCAGTGTTTTATATAAATTAATCATAACCTCTGACTCTTGTACTCTATGCCCCTATTTATAAAGCCTAGTATCCCATATGTCCTTTTTACAGCCTTATCTACCTGTCCTGCCACCTTCAAGGATTCATTTACCTGCACCCCCAGGTCTCTCTGTTCCGTCACCCCCCTTAACATTGTATTACCAGCCTGTATTGCCTCCCCTCATTCTTTCTACCAAAATGCATTACCTCGCATTTCTCCACATTGAAATTCATCTGACATGTGTCGCCCATTTTACCATTCTGTCTATGTCTTCCTGCAGTTGGCTCCTATCCTTCTCACTGTTTACCACCCGACCTAACTTTGTGTCGTCCGCAAACTTGGAAATGGTACTTGCTATACCCAAGTCCAGATCATTTATATATATTAAGAAGAACAGTGGTCCTAATGCCGATCCCTGGGGAACGCCACTGTACACTTCCCTCCAGTCAGAAAAGCAGCCGTTCACCACTCTCTGCTTTCTGGCTCCCAGCCGGTTCTGGATCCATGCTACCACTGTCCCTTTTATACCATGCGCTTCTACAACCTTCTCTGCTCCGACCCATCCCTCCAGAACACCCATTCTACTGTTCCCCCCATCACAGCATCAAGTTGCTTTTTAAATAAGTCTGGTGTCCAAGCCTCAACCACCTTATGTCTTCTTATTCTACTGTCTTAGTCTACAGTATTGATCTGGGTTTACTTTTTCAAATCAGTTTAAAATGTTGTACATCTCTATGAGGACACTTCTGAGTCATCTTCTCTCAAGACTGAAGAGCCCAAGCGTGTCTAATCATTGCTCGTAGCTCATTCCTCTATCCCTGGGATCAGCCTGGTTGCTCTTGGGCCAGACCAGAGCTGTGTGCAGTATTCAGGGTGTGGTCTGCCCACAGCAATATACAGTCTGAGCGCCTCCTGCTTTGGATGAGGGGAAAGTGGGCAATGGGAGGAACCAATGGCTGAAGGAGGAGGGGCACAGGGTATGTCTGTTGTAACAATGAATTACCTGTGAGGTTCAATACTATCGAAGAGAAACTGAAATTCTTGTAGGTTGTTTTGAAACTCGCTGGGAAAGTCAGAAAAGATTTGTAGATTGCCCAGTGTCTGGATTTCTCTCCACGCTCGTTGAGACAACCAGCTTGAGGCGGGGTTTGGGCCTGTCTTTTCAATACTTCCCCCAGTGAGCAGGAAACGCCATTCTTCCTGTGGGGATAACAATGCAGACACCATCTGAGCCACAGGACACCAAGCTATTCATATGCGTTACAGTAGGCTGCAGTCATAACAGCACTGACTTACTGAATTCAATGGGCTGATGATAACTAGGTTGCTTCAAAGGGAGATATGACTATTTATTGTTTGGAAGGAGCGACTATGGAAGTGCATTGGTTACAGATACGTTTTTACAGGTATTTTACACAATACATGTTTTTCACATTTTACTAATTCTACACTTCTTCATTGTGAGGTTTCGTGAAGGAGAGACGTACATGTCACAGCATTCATTATATACATGTCACAATCCCTGAAATGGGATTGAACCCACAAAATAGTCAATCCACTTTACAGTATTTCCTGTGACTTTCTTTGAGACGTCCTGATGACGTGATAGTACGCTATACAAAATGCAAGCATTATTATTAATCATTGTTATTATTGAACCCACAATGTCTCAAGAGACGAGTGTGAGAGACTAAGCCAGGGAGTGTTGTGAGATGAAGCTGTGTAAAACACTCGTTGTTCCTGATGCTCAATAAGTGATTGAGATATTGAAAAACTCCCACTTTGATTGACTCTCAATTACACTATTTTCGTTAATTTGTTTATGTAAGTTTGTGTCAATCACCACATTTTGTGTTACAAACCTATTAACTCTAATTATGTGTACCGCGTAACCCTTCGTGAGGGCCAGTGGACACGTAGAAACCACTGGATGAGGACACTGTGGTGTCAGAGGACATAATCCAAGGGGGAAAACCATCAGCAGAAGCAAAATGGGCTGTAAATTTGATTTGGTTTAACACCTGTGTATGCTGAGAGGAAGGAGCAACAGAACTAAAGCAACGGGCTAGCTTTGTTCATCATGCATCAAGTGCTCCAAGACACCTCCGGCATGAAGGGCGCTATATAAATGCAAGTTGTTGTTGTCACCTCCCGCTCCGACTTTCCAAATGCCCTCCTCGCCGGTCTCCGCAGCTCCACCATTCACAAAATATAGCTGATCCAAAATTACGGCACCCACATACTCACCCGTAATAAACTTCGTACCCCCTTCGTTCCTCTGGTTCCGGTCTGCTCCACATCCCCCGCCCTAACCGCCCTACTATCAGAGAGCGGGCCTTCAGCCTCTCAGCCCCGAGGCTCTGGAACTCCATCCCCCAGTGCCTTCACCGCTTCCTCCCTTTCCTCCTTCAAGGCCGGTCTCAAAACCTTTCTCTTTGACCGTGCCTTCAGCTCCCCTCTCGACTCTCTACCCCCTCCTCGCTCCCTCCCTTCCCTCCCCCCACCCTGACCATTTCCCCCCTGCTCAGGTCCTGACCCAACTGTACAGCGCCTTGGGACGTCCTCCCGACATGAAAGGCGCTCTATAAATGAAATCTTGTTGTTGTTGTTGTTGTACTGCTAGGTTATCAGAAGCGGAGTAAGGAAACTTGCCCAACATTTCACCCTGCCGGGAATTGAACTCAGGTCCTCTTGTTTGCAAGGCAAGTGCTCTAACCACTAAGCTACAGGACTCCACTGCATTGCTTTCCTTTCTCATCTTCAGATCGCGCCTAAAGACCTTCCTCTTTGATCATGTGTATGGTCATCTCTCCCCTACCCTCGGCTCGGCATCGTGCTCCACTCCACCACTGTCAAGTGCTCTGGGACGCTACCATGTGTAAAGGGTGCTATGTAAATGCAAGTTGTTGTTGTTACTGACCATGTCGATCTTTCCTTCGTTCATCATAATCCTCACACACACCAGGAATGCAAACATCAGTTTGTGCTTCTCAAACAGGCTCCTGCACACGTTACAATACAGGCTGAAGGTGAAGTACTCATTGATGAGATGGATCCTCTTCTCTACAGTGTCTGTGAGACAGTGAGATTCTTAGATTCTGGCAGTCAGTGAGAGAATCAACTGAATGCAATAGTGAGAAACTAAATGTACAAGAGAAATATGTGCAGCAAATAAGAACATAAGAATTTGCGAGGTAAAAGAAGACCAAGGTCCATCTAATTTACATATAGCCTTCTGTGCTGCAAATTTCTACTGTTCTAACATATTGTGCTGTACCATGGCACACTGTACTGTGCTGTACTGCACTGGATTGGGTTGTACTGTATTGTGCTGTACTGTGAGGTGTGTTTTTGCTGATAGTAAAGTCTGGGATAGGTAAGGTGGGGGAGAGCCGGGAGGTGCTGGCGGCAGGAAGTCAAGTACCTGCTTGCTCTGAATTAGCGATGCCTGACATGAAGATGTTGAGGAACCACTCAAGCGAGTACTGGTACATGGGGTCCACGTTGGCCAGATCAGACACACAGAAAAACAGAATCTGCGTGCGCACTGCAACAGGCACATACTGCAACCGTGTGGTGTCAATGTCCTTCTCTGTCTGCTCAGCTATCGTCACCTTCATCTGTGGCAGATCAGAGAGGAGGTTACTGCCACCTACGCAAGCCACTGTCAACCTCACACATTCACAGCACATTCCGGCTCTGAGTGAAGCTCTGTGTCTATGTTTGGGCTGCAGCAGGTCACTGTGTATTCAGACAGGAGCAGCGTGTGGAATTTCAGCCCCAAAGAGTCACTGCTTATCTCCCCCCAAGGATAGTCACTTGTTGGTCATTTGACTTCCGACAAGTGCGGATTTGAGCTCTCACTAGGTGGATGGCAGATACCAGGAATTCCCTGCAAGCTTCCCGGTGGGTAACACAGCTAGCATGAAATGTGTGAGAGCATTGACACCATGTCTGCAGCTCAGGCACACATCCCTTCCTATTGAGCAATGGTTCCACCAGTTGGAGGTGCGGAGTTTAAGCAGCAGCTACTTGGCTCTCTGCAGGCCAATCAAGGTGGATTCCAAAAGTTGGATGTACAAATGTGTGGTCACCAACTTGGACTCCAGGTAACGCCTTCCAGCAGCTGTCACCTTAAGTCTCAGAGTTTCCTCATCAGCTATCTGGCGGACAGATGTGCCTGTTGTGAAGCCAACCCCGTCCCCAGGGTGCTTAGAGACTGGTCAGTGTAGGCTGTAGCTCTCCCTCCCTGCAGCCGCTTCCTGTGTTTGCCACAAATCCACCTCACTGCTGATCCAGGAAATAGGTTGGAGAAAGCCTCTCTGCTATATCCCCAGATCCTCAGTACCTGTTGCTAATGATAAACAATGTGAGTGCTGAGCCCACTCTCATCACCACTTGAGCAGAGAGCCCAGCAGAGTGAAGAGGGAACTGAGTGAGCTGGAACAGAGTGAGAATTCTGGTAAGGAATTTGGTGAGAGTGGGAATTCGGTGCATGGGGGAAAGAAGTGCATAATTATAAAATATATAATATTTATATCAAAGTAATATAAGATATGTCTAGGAATATGGCAGGGCCCTGAGAGTTTGGCACTCACAAACCAGTTCTCTATATTGAATACTGGTCAGGGTGATGACACTTCTGGGGAGAGGAAGAGTCAAAAGCAAATGGATGCACAGTCGGACACAGAGTTTCAATCAGTTGTCATTGCGGACACAACAATGAAAGTTGCAGACAGGCGTTTCTGCAATCAAAAACGTGACTCTCACATGGTATGTTGCTTCCCTGGTGCCAGGGTTGAAGACATTATGAATTGGGTGCAATCTTTCTAAAGGGTGAAGGGGAACATCCAGAAGTAGTGGTTCATGTTGGGATCTATAACGTAAGGGAAAAGAGCTGAGGATCCTACAGGGAGAGTATCAGAAGTGAGCGAAAAAGCTAAAGAGTAGGACCTCAAAGGTGGTGATCTCTGGATTACTCCCAGTGCCTCGTGCAAGTGAGTGTCAAAACAGCAGATCAAACACACGAATGCATGGCTGGAGAAATGGTGCAGTAAGGCGGACTTCAGGTTCCTGAAACATTGGGACCAGTTCTGGGGCAAGTGGGACCTGTATAAAGTGGATGGGTTATACCTAACGGGGCTGGGACCAATGTCCTCGCAGGGAGATTAACTAGTGCTGTGGGGAAGGGTTTAAAATAATTTTGAGGGGAGAAAGGAATCAGGATGTAGCATTAGAGAGGACAAACAAGTTACATGGAGGGCTGGGAGAGACAAATAGCAATGTAACAAGGAGTAGTCCAGAAAAAGGGGGAATTAGAAGGTGGAGAAATGCAGAGCAGATTCAGTCGGTCTTGGAGTGCATGTGCGTAAATGCACGGACTGTGACAAATAAGATTGTGAACTGCAGGCTCAAGTTGCCATATGGGGTTATGATGTAGTGGAAATAACGGAGACCTGGCTCAAACAAGGGCAGGAATGGGAGCTGAATATTCCTGGCTACAATGTGTTCAGAAGGATAGGGAAGGAAAAAAAAAGATGTGTGGCAATATCGATTAAAGACACGGTTATGGCCCTGGAAAGGGTCGACATGCTTGAGTCTATTTGGTTAGAGTGAAGGAGCAGAAAGGAGCTGTTACTCTGTTGGGTGTATACTATAGACCACCAAATAGTGGGAAGGAGATAGATGAGCAAATCTGCAAGCAGATTTCAGAAAGACGCAAAACCAAAAGAGGAGTGAGAATGGGGGATTTCAATTATCCTAACATAGACTGGGAAAATAATAGTGTAAAGGACAAGGAAGGGGAAAAATTCCTGAAATGTGTGCAGGATAAGTTTCTGAATCAGTATGTTTCCAGCCCAATGAGGAAGGAAGCAGTGTTGGATCTAGTTCTGGGGAATGAAGTGGGGCAACTGGGGCAGGTTTCAGTAGGAGAGCATCTGGACAACAGTGATCACACCACCATTAGGTTCAGAGTACTTACGGGAAGGAGCATCTGGACAACAGTGATCACACCACCATTAGGTTCAGAGTACTTACGGGAAGGAACAAGGAACAATCAGTGGTGAAGATACTCAACTGGAAGAGGGCTAATTTCAATGAGTTGCAAAGGGGCCAGCCAAGGTAGACCGGATAGAAAGATTGGCAGGTAAAACAGCTAACGAGCAATGGGAAGCCTTCAAAGAGGAGATAGTTCAGGGATAGAACAAATACATTCCCACAAAGGGGAAGTTGGGCATCCAAACCTCCCTGGATGAATAAGGAAACTGGGATTAAAATAAAACAGAAACAGGAGGCTTATGATAAATGTCAGGTTCGAAATACAGAAGATAATCAAACAGAATATAGAAAGTACAGAGGAGAACTGAAAAAGGAAATAAGAGGAGCAAAGCGATTGTGTGAGAAAAGGGTAATGGGTAACATTAAAGGGAACCCTAAAGTATTTTATGAACATATAAAGAATAAAAGGTTAGTCAAAGGTAGGATGGGGTCAATTAGGGACCAAAGAGGAAATCTTGTGGAAGCAGAGGGCATAGCTGACATACTGAATGAGTACTTTGCTTCTGTCTTCACAAAAGAAGAGGATGCAGCCAATGCCACAGTATTGGAGGAGAGGGTAGAGAAATTGGACAGGATAAGAATAAACAAAAATAAATACTAAAAAGTTTGACAGTGCTCAAAGTAGATAAGTCACCCGGTTCTGACGGGATGCATTCTACAGTACTGAGGGAAGAAGGGGGGGAAATAAAAGAGGCTCTGGCCATAATCTTTCAATCCTCCTTGGACACCAGAATGGTGCTAGAAAACTGGAGGGTTGCAAATGTTACTCCCCTGTATGAAAAGGGGCAGAAGGATAAACCCGGGAACTACAGGCCAGTCAGCCTAATGTCAGTAGTGAGGAAACTTCCCAGCCAAGGTAAAACCTTGGGCAAGTTTCCTTACTCCACACGCCTGATAATAATTCCTCAAGAAAAAAAATTGGTCACTTCAATCCACAACTGTTTGTGGGACACTGCTGTATGCAATTGGCTGCTGCATTTTGCCCACAAATATACAGTCAATTCACTTTACAGTATATTCTGAGAAGCGCTTTGAGACGTCCAGAAGACGTCTTGCATATATCAAATGCAAGAATTATTATTATTATTACTTCTAGAGACTATAATCCAGGACAAAATTAATTTTCACTTAGAAAAATATGGCTTAATAAAGGACAGCCAAGACAGATTTGTTAAAGGCAAATCATGTCTAACAAACCTTGACAGAGTTTTTTGATTAAGTAATGGAGAGAGTGGATGAAGGTCGTGCAGTTGATGTAGTTTATATGGATTACATGGTGCCACATAAGAGACTTGTAAGCAAAATAGAAGCCCACGGTATTAAAGGGACAGTTGCAGCGGATACAGAACTGACTAGGAGACAGAAAGTAGACAGTGGTGGTGAACGGTTGTTTTCCTGACCGGAGGGAAGTGAGCAGTGGTGTCCCCCAGGGGTTGGTATTGGGACCTCTGCTGTTTTGATCCATAAATGACCTGGACTTGGGTGTAGGGAATACAATTTCCAAGTTTGCAGATGATACTAAGTTAGGAAAAGTAGTAAACAGTGAGGAGGATAGTAGTAGACTGCAAATGGACATAGACAGACTGGTAAAATGGGCAGACAGGGGGCAGATGAAGATTAATGTGGAGTAATGTGAAATGATGCATTTTGGGAGGAAGAATGAGGAGAGACAGTATACGCTGATGGTACAATCTTAAAGGGGTGAAGGAACAGAGAAACCTGAGGGTTCATATAGGTAAATCTTTGAAGGTGGCAGGACAGGTACACAAAGCTGTTAAAAAAGCAAACGGGATACTAGGCTTTACAAATAGGGGCATAGAATACAAAAGTCAGGAAGTTATGATGAACTTTTATAAAGGATGCAAAGGAGATTTACCAGGATGGTACCAGGAATGAGGGACTTCAGTTATGAGAGGCTGGAGCAGCTCGGATTATTCTCCTTGGAGCGGAGAAGGTTAACAGAAGACTTAATACGTTTTCAAGATAATGAGGGGATTCAATAGGGTGAACAAGGAGAAATTATTTCCACTGGTGGGTGGGTCGGTAACCCAAGGGCACCGATTTAAAATAGTTGTTAAAAGAAACAGAGGAGAGTAAAAACTTTTTTCACACAGCAAGTTTTTTGGATCTAGAATGCATTCCCTGATAGCGTGGTGGCAGCCGATTCAATACAACTTTTAAGAGAGTAGATAATTATTTGGGGAGAACAAGTTTGCAAGGCTATAGGGATTGATTTGGACGCTCTTTTCAAAGAGCCAGCACAGACACGATGGGCCGAATGGCCTCCTTCTGTGCTGTATAATTCTAAGATCACACATGCCTCATCACATCACATACGTGCCAATAATATCAAGAGTTAAAATATTATCATCTGATGGAAATGAAGTTGATACCAACCTTGATTTCTGCAGCTTTCACTTTGGAGGCTTCAAGGACTTTAATTAACTCCACATCATCCACAGGATTGCCCTCTGAAGAACTGAGGCGGTTCAGGATTTGATCCTCGATGTCGTTGAGTTCTTTTTTCATTTTAGCGTTGCTGATAATCAGCTGATTTTTAGCCTCCTCCAGATCTGGTCTCTCCTGAGCCACGACCCGTCCCAGGAGCTGATCTTCCAGACCACTGTGACATAGAGCGAGTTAGTACCTCAGCCTATTTCACCTGACAGGCATCCCGTGATCCAGCACCGGCAATAACACTACCATCAGACCTGATCCCATCTTTTTTGGGGGGGGACGGGGGGGTCGGCCATGTATTGATGTATTGATGAAATGGAATGGGCATTGTCTCCCTGGAGAGACATCCTGGTTAACTAATTGAGGAAAGTATTAGGTGCAGATTGGCAAGAGTCAAGGCTTGGGGATAAGTTGGGCTAACTGCTGAAGTCTGACCAGCCAAAACAGCATAGCTTTCCTTTGGTAACGTTATCTGGCAAGCTTTCCTGCTGCTTATCCAACTAGGACCACTTTAGGGCTTTGGTTTGCAGGGTAGGGTGATGGCGCTGGCAATGAGGCTATGGGTGGGATGCAGGGTAATCCCACCCACAGCTCCATCACCAGCCCAATTACTAGCCCCTTCACCATCCTCATCACTAGCCCCATCACCATCTCTGGCCCCAGATCTGGAAATAGGATTTGAGAATATTTCAGGAGATCGCTGCTGTTGCTCAGACTGATGAATTGAGAGAATCTGATGGAGAGAAACATGTCTCTGCCCCTCAATCTCTATACCCAGCCTTATCTTACCCTCACTCTTCCCCTTCTGGTCCTGGCCTCTTCCCTCCCAAGGCCCTGGCCTCTGCCCACCCCAGACCCTGGCCACAATAGCACACCGCACTGGACAAGAGGTAACATACCCTGCTCTATGCTGAGGTACAATGTTTTTTCTTTAATAATAACCCAAAGTAATTGCTACCCATGGATTTATCTGACACCGTCACTCGGAACACTCAGTGTCTCACCTTGGGGAAAGGGTGAAGTTAATGAGTGTAACACGTGTGGATATTTCAGGCGTGTAGTGAGGATTGGGCAGCTTGGTGGTGATGTACACCTTGAAGTCCTCGTGATAAGGGATGACTGTGTCTCCGAGCCGGATGACAGTTGTACCCTGCTGCTTATAGGTCTGCCGGGAGGAGGAACATTCATGTGGTCAGCACTGAGCCTCTACATCGCTACATCGTTCCTTGATTGTCATACATTAACCTCATCCCTTTCACCCTTTCATTCACAGAAAGGCTCATATAGGTTCGAACAGAAGGGATCCATAGCAAGAAACACAATGTCTCCTCACTGAAAAATGCAATACTCCTAGGCCCAGAATAGTGTCAACACAGCATTAGAAAACAGCAGAGAACTACACTTACAATGTAACACAGCTACACTGGACCATGTAACAGTTGTATATGGGTGGTTCCTGGGAGGGACTGATTTGGGGAACTGAGGATGTTCCAGGGATAAGAAATACAGCTATTGGGAAAGAGTAGACAGGTTGGTGCTTTTGTCCTAAGAGAGGAGACAACTGAGAGGGGGCCTGATCGAGAGGATTAAGATTATGAAAGGATTTAATAAGGTAGATGTTGATGTGCTGTTTCCAGGTGTAGATGAGATGAGGATATAAATCTAAGCTTGTCAGCAACAGATCTAACAGAGACTGGTGAAAATGTGGAACTCACTGCCGGGAGTTGTGGTTGGAGTATCATTATTAGCATTATTATATTCAAGAGGAAAGTTGATGAAGACATGAGGGAGAAGGGAATAGAAGGGCATTAGGTGAGAAGAATAGGAGTGGAGGGAGCTCATGTGGATGCATAACCAGCATTGACGAATAGCCTGTTTCTGTGCAGTAATGTGTTATTCTGTGTAATTTGTTCCTATTTAACCTCCTCCCTTCTATTGTTTCTTTATTTTGATCTTCTTTAATTTAACTTCTCCCTTTGACCCAAGCTGGTGATTGGAATTAAGAGGAGTGAAGGGCAATGTGGGGTGGAGGTGGGAGGATGACCAAAAGCATGGTCATAGAGGAAGATCTTTGATGATGAGGAAGGACAGAGCAACAGAGCATCTGGACAAGTATGAGCTAATCAAAGAGAGTCAGCATAGATTTGTGAAGAGTAGGCCATGTCTGACAAATCTAGTTGAATTTTTTTAGGTCACTAACATGGTGGATAAGAGAGTGTCTGTGGACTTTCAGAAGTATTTGATTAGGTTCTGCACAAGAGATTATTAGCAAAAAAATGATTAACTTGGTAATTGGTTGGAATAAAGGAAACGTTCTCTGATTGGTGGGATTGACAAGTGATGTTCAGCTTTTCACTATATATATATATATACACACACACACGACTGGGATGAGGGAATAGAGAGTTGAATACCCAAATTTGCAATGACACAAAGCTGGAAACACAGTAAGTTGTGTGGATGGGAGTACAAAGTTACAAAGGGATGTAGATTGATTAAGTGAGTGGGCAAAATTCTGGTAGATGATGTTCAATGTAGGGAAGTGTGAGGTCATCCACTGTGTAATCCAAGAATGAAAAATTAGAATATTTTCTTAATGGTGAGAAACTAAGAACTGTGGCGGAGCAAAGAGATTTGGGAGTGCATGTACACAAATCATTTAAAAACTGGTTCACAGATAGGAAAAATAATCAAAAAGGCTAATGGAATGTTGGCCTTTGTCTTTAAGGGAACTGGAATGTAAATGATGCTTCAATTGTATACCCCTCGTTCAGGCTCCACCTGCAGTGCTGCGTTCAGTTATGGGCACCGCACCTCAGGAAGGATATATTGGCTCTGGAGGGTTTGCAGTGCAGATTCACCAGAATTATACCAGGTCTAAAAAGGGTTAGATTACGAGGATAGGTTACATAAACTTGGTCTGGATTTCCTTGATCTTAGAAGGTTGAGGGGTGAACAAATTGAGGTGTTTAAAATAATAGAAGGATACTACAGGGTAGACACAAAGAAAATATTTCCTCTGATATGGGAATCCAGAAGAAGGGGACATTTTCTTAAAATTAGAGCTAGGCCATTTAGGAGTGAAATCAAGAAGCATTTTTTTACACAAAGGGTAGTGGAAATCTGGAACTCTCTCCCCCAAAAGGTTGTGGATGCTGGATCAATTAAAATTTTCAAGACTGAGGTAGATAGATTTTTGTTAGGTCAGGGTATTAAAGGATATGGGGCAATGGAGGTGATTTCAGTCATGATCTAATACAATACAAAATTACATTTCACGTCGGGAGGACGACCGAAGGCGCTGGACACTCAGGGATTTGGATCTGAGCTGGGGGTCGGGATTGGGAGGGTTGAAGGGCAGGGAGCGTGGCCGAAATCTTGGTTGAATCCTTGAATCCAAAGTTCAGGGGATCCATTCAGCTGCCTCTGCCCTTCCGTTTACTACACCCTCCCCATCTCCTCCTCCCACCCTGGCCTCTACCCATCCTCCCTCCACATAACAACAACAACAAAATTACATTGTAAAGCTCTTTTTATGTCCGGAGGATGTCCCCAAGGCGCTGGACAGTCAGAGCTGGGGACCGGGATCGGGTAGGGTGGAGGGCAGTGGGGGGAAGCAGGGTGATCGAAAGCACGGTCAAAGAGATAGTCTTGAGATAGGCCTTGAAGGGAAGCAAGGCGGGGGACAAGGCGGAGGAAATGCTGGATGGAGTTCCAGAGGGTGGGGACATAGTGGCCCCTGCCTCGCCCGCCCCGCCCGCAAATGGAGGGGCGGGCGAGGTGGGGGCTGTGAAGCAGGCCGGAGCCCACTGAGCAGAGGGAGCGGGCAGGATGGTAGGGTGATGGGAGGTCACAGAGGTAGTAGGGGGCAGCAAGACCATGGAGGGCTTTGAAGGTGAGGACTAGGATCTTGAACTGTATCCTGTGTGTGATGGGAAGCCAGTGGAGTCGGGCGAGGCTGAGAGTAATAGGGTCACAGAGCCTGGTGCGGGAGAGGACACGGGCTGCAGAGTTCTGGATATGGAAGGAGGAGTTGGGGAGGCCGACAAGCAAGGAGTTTGTATAGTCAAGCCTCAATGTAATGAAAGCTTTTGGTGGCTGTGGTATGAGAGAGTGGCAGAGCCAGGCAATGTTGCGGAGGTGGGAGAAGGCAGAGAGGGTCATGGCAGAGATGTGGGGTAGAAAGAATAGTTGAGGGTCAAACAAGATGCCAAGGTTCTAGATTGGCTTCGTAAGGTTGAGTGTGCATACATGGATTGTGATACTGTCAGCGCCTGAGGTGAGGAGGTGCTGACGGGAACCAATCAGGAGAGCCTCGGTCTTGTTGACGTTCAACTGAAGAAAGTTAGCTCTCATCCAGGACATTCTGTCAGGACAGCAGTGGTCCTGGAGTCCAGGATGGAAGCGGAGAGCTACAGTTGGGTGTCATCCGCATACATGTGCAAGTTGACCCCATGTCTGCAGATGATGTCACCAAGTGGAAGCATATAGATATTGAAGAGGAGGGGACCAAGACAGAGCCCTGAGGAACACTGCACAAGATGGTACGGGGGCTGGAGGAGAAACTGTTGTGGAGATGAAGTGCAGGCGGTGTGAGCGGTACGATCTGAACCAGTCAAGGACAGAGTCATGAAGGTTGAGGTGAGAGGAGAGGCGGTGGATGAGGATAGAGTGGTTGACGGTGCTGAAGGCAGCAGAGAGGTCAAGGAGGCAGAGGGAGCCCTGATCGCAGATGGACAGAATGTCAATTGTCACTTTGACCAGGGCTGTTTCTGTGCTGTGAGTGGCACAGAAACCCGATTGGAAGTATGCGTGAAGGGAGTGGCGGGAGAGGAAGGAGCGAAGTCGGGAAGCAACAACTCGTTCCAGGACCTTGGAGAGGAAAGGGAGGTTGGAGATGGGGCGGTAGTTAGGGAGTAGAGATAGGTCCAGGGAGGATTTTTTTAATAGGAGTGATGATGGGGTGGGAACAGGAGCAGTGGACCGGGACAGGTTTATGATGTAACCTTCGAACCTATCTCCCACTCCTCTCTCACCACCACTATAACCCGCATGAACCCAACCACCTGCTCCCTCGACCCCATCCCTCCCCCTCTCATTACCTCCCAGTTCCACCTCCTTGCCCCTCTACTCACAGACATCATAGTTGGGAAACCCAATTCCCACATGGACATGCCTTTGGAAAATGTTGGGAGTCATAGTTGCATGGCATCCCACAGGTAATCTGGGCATCAACTCCAACATGTCCATCAGCTCCACCAGCCACAAGCACTCTGTCAATCTCCCTCTCTCTCTGTCTGCCTCTCTGCCTGTCTGTCTCACTGCCTGTCTGGGCAGTGTGTGACTATGTACAATGTGTGGTTGTGTCCAGTATGTGGCTGTGTCCAGTATGTGGCTGTGTACAGTGACCCCTGAACCTGACTGTCCAGCGCCTTGGGACGTCCTCCCAACATGAAAGGCGCTCTATAAATGTAATTTTTGGTTGTTGTTGTGTACAGGGCAGTGTATAGCCATGTACAGTGTGTGGCTGTGCATAGAGCTGTGTGAGGATATGTATAGTGCGACGCTAAGCTGTGTACAGAGCAACGTATGGCTGTGTACGGTATGTGACTGTGTATAGAGCAGTAAGTGGTGGTGTACAGTGGGAAGCTGTGTACAGGGCAGTGTGAGGCTGTGTACACTGTGTGGCTGGGTACAGTGTGAGGCTGTGTACCATGAGTGACTCTGTACAGTGTGTGGCTGTGTACAGGGCAATGTGTGGCGGTGTACAGTGTTTAGCTGTGTACAGTGTGAGATTGTGTACAGGGCAGTTTGTTGCTGTGTCCACTGTGTGGCTGTTTACAGTGTGAGGCTGTGTACCGTAAGTGGCTGTGTTCATGGCACTATGTGGCTGTGTACAGTGTGTGGCTGTGTACAGTGTGTGGCTGTGTGCAGTATGTGGCTGTGTACAGTATGTGGCTATGTACAGGGCAGTGTAAGGCTGTGTAGAATGTGTGTCTGTGTACAGGGCAGTGTGTGGCTGTGTACAGAGCAGTGCAACACTCGGTACAATGAGTGCCTGTGTATAGTGTGTGGCTGTGTACAGTTTGAGGTTGTGTACAGGGCAGTGTATGGCTGTGTAAAATGTGTGGCTGTGTACAGGGCAGCGTGTGGCTGTGTACAGAGCAGTGAAACGCTCTCTACAGTGTGTGCCTGTGTACAGTGTGTGGCTGTTTACAGTTTGAGGCTGTGTACAGTTTGAGGCTGTGTACAGGGCAGTATATGGCTGTGTATAGGGCAGTGTATGGCTGTGTACAGGGCAGTGTATGGTTGTGTAGAATGTGTGGCTGTGTACAGGGCAGTGTGTGGCTGTATACAGCGTATGGTTGTGTACGGCGTGTGGCTGTGTACGGTGTGTGGCTGTGTACAGGGCAGTGTACGACTGTACTAGGCAGTGTGCGGCTGTGCACAGAGCCGTGTGCAGCTGTGTACAGGGCAGTATACAACTGTGTACTAGGCAGTGTGCGGCTGTGGACAGAGCCGTGTGTGGCTGTGTACAGACCAGTGCAACGCTCTGTACAGTGTGTGCCTATGTACAGTGTGTGCCTGTGTACAGTTTGAGGCTGTGTACAGGGCAGCGTGTGGCTGCGTATAGTGTGAGGTCTGTACAGGGCAGTGCGTGGCTTTGTACAGTGTGCGGCTGTGTACAGTTTGAGGCTGTGTACAGAGCAGTGTAAGGCTGTGTACAGGGCAGTGTACGGCTGTGTACAGGGCAGTGTACGGCTGTGTACAGGGCAGTGTACGGCTGTGTACAGGGCAGTGTACGGCTGTGTACAGGGCAGTGTGTGGCTGTATACAAGGCAGTGTGTGGCTGTGTACAGTGTGTGGCTGTTTATGGCTGTGTACAGTGTGAGGTTGTGCCATTGCACTGTGTGGCTGTGTACAGTGTTTGCTGTGTAAAGCGTGTCTATGCACAGTGTGTGGTTATATACGATGTGTCGCTGTGGCCAGTGTGTGGCTGTGGACGGTGAGAGGCTGTGGACAGTGAGAGGCTGTGGACGGTGAGAGGCTGTGGACGGTGAGAGGCTGTGGACGAGTCTTTGTGCGGTGTGAGGCTGTGTGCGGTGTATGGCTGTGTACAGGGCAGTATATGGCTGTGTACAGGGCAATGTACGGCTGTGTACAGGGCAGTGTGTGGCTGCGTATAGTGTGAGGTTTTGTAGAGGGCAGTGTATGGCTGTGTACAGTGTATGGCTGTGTAAATTGTGTTTATGCACAGTGTGTGGCTATATACGGTGTGTGGCTATGGACGGTGTGAGGCTGTGGACGGTGTGAGGCTGTGGACGGTCTGAGGCTTTGGACGGTGTGAGGCTGTGGACGGTGTGAGGCTGTGGACGGTCTGAGGCTTTGGACGGTGTGAGGCTGTGGACGGTGTGAGGCTGCGTACAGGGCAGTGTACAACAACAACAATAACAAGATTTCATTTATAGAGCGCCTTTCACGTCGGGAGGACGTCCCAAGGCGCTGCACAGTTGGGTCAGGACCCGAGCAGGGGGGAAATGGTCAGGGTGAGGGGAGGGAAGGGAGGGAGCGAGGAGGGGGTAGAGAGTCGAGAGGGAAGCTGAAGGCTCGGTCAAAGAGAAAGGTCTTGAGACCGACCGGCCTTGAAGGAGGAAAGGGAGGAAGCGGCGAAGGCACTGGGGGATGGAGTTCCAGAGCCTCGGGGCTGAGAGGCTGAAGGCCCGGCCACCGATGGTAGGGCGGTTGGGGCGGGGGGTGTGGAGCAGACCGGAGCCAGAGGAACGGAGGGTACAGGCAGGTAGGTAGGGGGATAGTAGGTCGGAGAGGTAGGAGGGAGCAAGGCCGTGAATGGCCTTGTAGGTGAGGATGAGGATCTTGAATTCGATCCTCTGGGGGATGGGGAGCCAGTGGAGGTGAGCGAGGGTGGGAGTGATGTGGTCCCGAAGCCTGGTGCGGGACAGTACAGGAGCTGCAGAGTTCTGAATGACCTGCAGTGTGGAGGGAGGGCCGGGAAGGCCGGCGAGGAGAGAGTTCCCATAGACCAGCCTTGAGGTGATAAAGGCGTGGACCAGAGTTTCAGCAGCGTGAGGGGTGAGGTAGTGCCGTAGTCTGGCCATGTTCTGGAGGTGATGGAAGGCAGTGCCAGTTGTGGAGCGGATATGAGGAAGAAAGGACAGCTCAGGGTCGAACAGAACCCCGAGGTTCCTGATGGCTTTGAGAGGTGGAGAGTGCAGCCTTGGATGCTGATGCTGTCAGCGCCTGAGGTGCGGAGGCGCTGACGTGAGCCAATCAGGAGGGCCTCAGTTTTGCGCACGTTGAGCTGGAGAAAGTTACCTCTCGTCCAGGTCTCGATGTCGGACAGGCAGCTGTCAGGACATCGGTGGTCGTGGAGTTGAGAGTAGAGGAGGAAAGGTAGAGTTGGGTGTCATCCGCATACATGTGGAAGTTAACCCCATGTCTGCGGATGATGTCACCAAGGGGGAGCATGTAGAGGGTGAAGAGGAGGGGACCGAGGACAGAGCCCTGAGGGACACCACACAAGACAGAGGAAAAGCCGTTTGTGGAAACAAAATGGAGATGGTGGGAGAGGTAGGACCTAAATCACTCAAGGACAGGGCCTTGAAGGTTGAGGTGGGAGGACAAGTGGTGGAGGAGGATAGAGTGGTCGACCATATCGAATGCGGCCGATAGGTCGAGGAGGACGAGGAGGCAGAGGGAGCCCTGGTCCCAGATGTACGGCTGTATACAGGGCAGCGTGTGGTTGTGTACAGTGTGTGGCTGTGTACAGGGCAGTGTGTGACTGTGTACGGAGCAGTGCAACGCTCTGTACAGTCTGTGGCAGTGTACAGGGCAGTGCAATGCTCTGTACAATGTGTGCCTGTGTACAGTGTGTGGCTGTGTACAGTTTGAGGCTGTGTACAGTTTGCGGCCGTGTACAGAGCAGTGTAAAGCTGTGTACAGGGCAGAGTAAAGCTGTGTACAGGGCAGTGTAAGGCTGTATACAGCGTGTGGCTGTGTATGGTGTGTGGCTGTGTACAGGGCACATGCGGCTGTGTACAGTGTGTGGCTGTGTACATGCCAATATGTGGCTGTGTACAGTGTGTGACTGTGTACAGGGCAGTGTATGGCTGTGTACAGTGTGAGTCTGTGTACAGTGTGAGTCTGTGTACAGGCCAGTGTGTGGCTATGTACAGGGCATTGTGAGGCTGTTTACAGGGAGGAGTAAAGCTGTGTACAGGGCAGTGTAAGGCTGTGTACAGGCCAGTGTGTGGCTATGTACAGGGCATTGTGAGGCTGTTTACAGGGAGGAGTAAAGCTGTGTACAGGGCAGTGTAAGGCTGTGTACAGGCCAGTGTGTGGCTATGTACAGGGCATTGTGAGGCTGTTTACAGGGAGGTGTAAAGCTGTGTACAGGGCAGTGTAAGACTGTGTACAGGGCAGTGTGTGGATGTGAGAATGTGTGGCTGTGCACAGGGCAGTGTGTGGCTGTGTACAGAGTATGGTTGTGTACTGCGTGTGGCTGTGTACGGTGTGTGGCTGTGTACATGCCAATATGTGGCTGTGTACAGTGTGTGACTGTGTACAGGGCAGTGTACGGCTGTGTACAGTGCAAGTCTGTGTACAGGCCAGTGTGTGGCTATGTACAGGGCATTGTGAGGCTGTGTACAGGCAGTGTATCGCTGTGTAGAATGTGTGGCTGTGTACAGGCAGTGTTTGGTTATATACAGGGCATTGTGAGGCTGTGTACAGGGCAGTGTGTGGCTATGTCAGAGCATTGTGAAGCTGTGTGCAGGGCATTGTCAGGCTGTGTACAAGGCAGTGTTTGGCTGTGTACAGTGTGTGTCTGTGTACAGTGTGAGGCTATGTATAGTGGAGTCCTGTAGCTCAGTGGTTAGAGCACTCGCTTTGCAAGCGAGAGACCTGAGTTCAATTCCAGGCAGGGCGAAACCTTGGGCAAGTTTCCTTACTCCGCACGACTAATAATAATCCCTCCAAAACAAAAATACAATAAATTGGTCATTTTCAATCCACGACTGTCTGTGGGACACTGCTGTGCACAATTGGCTGTCGGGTTTCGTCCACAAATATATGGTCAATAATTCACTTTACAGTCTATTCTGTGAAGCGCTTTGAGAGTCGAGAAGACGTGAAAAGCGCTATATCAAATGCAAGGATTGTTAATATTATTACTACAGGGCAGTGTGAGTCTGTGTACAAGGCAGTGTGTGGTTGTGTACAGTGTGTGGCTGTGTACAGTGTGTGGCTGTGTACAGGGCAGAGTGTGGCTGTCTATAGGGAGCGTGTGGCTGTGTGCCGTGTGTGGCTGTGTGCCGTGTGTGGCTGTGTAGTATATCAGGCTGTGTACAGTACAGTGTATGGCTGTGAACAATGTGTGGTTCTGTACAGAGCAGGGTATGCCTATGTACAGGGCAGTGTGCGGCTGTGTACAGCGTGCGGCTGGGTACAGCGTGCAGGGCAGTGCGTGGTCTCTTGCTGCTGCATTTGCTGTACCTGTTTGAGCAGAATGGGCTCCAAGGCCGGATCCAGCTCCTCCCTCACATTTTCCAGCAGACACGGTTTTCCAAACCGGATGGAATTCTCCAGACTGCGCAAGAAGTCATGGTCAGACAACTTAAAAATGTCCAAGCCATTATCTTTCTCCTGTTAGACATAAAGTGTACCAGTCATTGCAAGAGCAGGCTGGTGTGTGGTAAGGTCAAGGGCCTGAAACCCTGGAGGGTGCCGGCTGGTGAGGGTCGCTGGCTGGGGAGTGCAGCTGGTGTGGGCTGCCAGCTAGTGAGGTGCAGTGGCTGGGGGGGATGCTGTGTGTGAGGGCACTAGTAGGGGTATTCTGTCTGCGGGAGAGCCGGATAGGGAGCTGCTGGCTGGGTGGGAGTGCTGGCTGGTGAGGGGTGCTGGCTGGGGAGGTGCTTGCTGGTGTGTGTGCTGGCTGGCATGACACTGGCTGGTGAGAGGTCCTGGCTGTGGGCGGCGTTGGCTGGCTAATGTTTGCTAATGTAAATTCATAGAATCAGAGAATTATACAGCACAGAATGAGACATTCGGTCCACAGCGGCGCTGGCTGGGGGGTGCCGCCGGCTGGGGAGGCGTCGGCTGGGGGGGGGTGTCGGCTGGGGGCAGACGCAGGGCAATAGAAAGAGAACAGCAATGTTGGGGCAAAATCAGGGCCACGGATATAACAGAGCAGGTTATAGAGAAGGACAAGAGGTGGAAGGAACAGATGGTTTGGTCTCTGGGACTATCTGTTTCCCTCCTAATTGACTCATTCTCACCAAGTTCTTTATCCATTTATTTGCTTGAGCTTGTGGGTCAATGAAGAGCGGCCAGCGCTGTGTGTACTGAGCGATGACCCCATTTTCCACCGACAGTGAATCGTTCGGGAGGCCTGCAATCTGGGAGAGCAGAGCCAGTCACACCTACACTCACGTTAAACAGCCATCTCTTCCTAATTATCCCGAAAATTTTTACGGATTGTAGGCCTAGTCTGCTGTCCTAACGGGAATAAATATCCTCCTTGGGGGAGGATATTTCTGAGGCTTCTCTTCAGAACCATAGAAAATTATAGCACAAAAGGCCATTTGGCCCATTGTTTCTGTGCTGCTCCTTTTTGTCCCATTTATCTGCCCTTTCCTAATATCACTGGAGCTGAATACCTTTTAAGTATTCTTAGGTATTAAATCTTGCCAGTGACAGACCCACCAAACTGCCGACACAAATCCAACTTTAACAAGTGGTCTTTGCAATTTGGTGCTAATGTAAATTCATAGAATCAGAGAATTATACAGCACAGAATGAGACATTCGGTCCATCGTGTTTGTGCTGGCTCTTTGAAAAGAGCTATCCAATTTAATCCCATTCCCCCGCGCTCTCCCCATAGCCCTGCAAACTTGTCCTCCACAAATAATTATCTACTTCTCTCAAAAGTTTTTAATCGAGTTATTGAAATTGCACCACAATTAATGTGAAAGAAAGCCTACCTGCCAGGAGCGAATGATGACAGGGTCTGCTAGTGTGGAGATCAGATTAGGTTCCTTAGTATGAGGAACACCAAAAACAATAAAATTCTGCAACCAATCATCAGTCATGGTTGTGCGATACTCTCCCTGGAGATTAATACAAGGTCAGGCAGTAAACAGCAAGAAGCAGAGCAAAAAGTTACAGAAGCCATATAAGATAATCTATACTAATAAAGATGAAGTGTGTGTCTGTGTATCTGACACTCACGCAATAACCGATTGACATAGACATGATTTATACCTCATGCGAAAAGTCTTGCAATTGGCAGTGTCATGAGCACTATCTCCTGAGCTCATCCTCATCCTCACCTACAAGGCTATTCACGGCCTTGCACCCTCCTACCTCTCCGACCTACTATCCCCCTACCTACCTGCCCGTACCCTCCATTCCTCTGGCTCCAGTCTGCTCCACACCCCCCGCCCCAACCGCCCTACCATCGGTGGCCGAGCTTTCAGCCTCTCAGCCCCTAGGCTCTGAAACTCCATCCCCCAGTGCCTTCGCCGCTTCCTCCCTTTCCTCCTTCAAGGCCGGTCTCAAGACCTTTCTCTTTGACGGTGCCTTCAGCTCCCCTCTCGACTCTCTACCCCCTCCTCGCTCCCTCCCTTCCCTCCCCTCACCCTGACCATTTCCCCCCTGCTTGGGTCCGGACCCAACTGTCCAGCGCCTTGGGACGTCCTCCCGACATGAAAGGCGCTCTATAAATGCAATCTTATTGTTGTTGTTGTTGAACTATATCAAAAAAACACTTTAATTAAGCCCCAAAATATGAAGTATGCATCGTATTCTGCAAATACGTAGCGACAGAGGAAAGCACACACTGTTCAGAGAGACACATCTATATTCTGCAACAACTGTATGGCACTTTTTTCGAGTTGTCATGGGATCTAGAGGCCTCCCATGTGGGATAGACAGAGAGAGATACTGAGTTAGTGAGAGAGCAGAGAGAATGAGAGAGACTGTGAGAGAGAGTATATTATAAAGTGTAGTGTGTTTTGTGGGAGAGACTGAGAGAGAGAGAGAGGAGGGGGAGACTGGGAGAGAGACTGTTAGCGAAAATATATTGAAGGAGTCCTCCCACTGAGTCCTCCGAAAAGGAGTCCTCCCACAGGAGTCGTCCCAGCTGAGTATAGATAAAAATGAAATGTCTGTCTATTTGTCAATCTACATTATATATTGGACATTTGGTTCAAGCTGCAACGGGTATAGCTAGTAAAATAATAATCGTTTATTTGATTTAGCACCTGTCACTTTGGGAGGATGTCAGTGCTGACACACACTGAGCCGGGCTGACACACATACCACACATGTCTTTTTGGTGCCTCACCCACTGGCTAGTCCAATTAGCAGCAATTGCATGGGCAGCTTTCAACCGTTTTTCTGTTGTGGTCATTATTATATGAAATGAGGGACTGTGCAGCACTGAGCTGCAGTCAATGGTTACGTTACTTACAGTGAATGTTCCCAGATAGGCCACGCAGCCAGCAGCTAGCAGCACGTCCCCTGACACGTTGTTCACCATGTACTCCAGATTGCGCACCGTGTCCTGCCAGCGCACCTTCTCATCTGACAGCCCGTTTATCAGCTGCCAGAAACAAAACACAACAGCTTAATTTGGCACCAGGCCACCAAATGTCAGAAACTCTTCAACCAAAGAAATGAATAAAATAGGATTTACTGTAAAGTGTAGTGACTGTGCACTTTATAGGTGAAATACGGCAGCCAGGTTCGGCAGAGCAACGTCCCACAAACAGCCATGGAGTGAGTGACCAAATTTATCTGGGGTATTGTTAGCCAGGACACTGGGAGAAACTCACCTCTTTTTGAACAATGCCGTGGGATTTTAAACGTCCACCTGAATAGGAGGCAGGGCCTCAGTTTAACGTCTCATGCAAAGGGTGACATCTCCAACAATGCAACACCCCACCAGGGTTGCACTGGAGTGTCAGCTTAGACTATGTGATTCCAAGTCCCCATGTGGCGCTTGAACCCACAACCTTATGACTCAGAGGTGGGAGTGCAAGAGACTGAATCGGGCTGATACACACTGAGCCTGGGCTGACACACACTGAGCCCGGGCTGACTTACACTGGTTTCACAACCTGGAAACGAACTTGCCATGATTTGTTCCTGTTGCCAGGACTCATGAGAAGCTGGCTTTCACCAGTAATGAATGATAGAAGTTCACAAACAAAAGATGCCATTCAGCCTATAATGCACTAGCCTAGAATCATAGAAATGCTGTACCCTGTCCAGCACCTTGGGACATCCTCCCAACGTGAAAAATCTTGTCTTAACATTCTCTGCTCCAAGGAGAATAATCCCAGCTTCTCCAGCCTCTCCTGATAACTGAAGTCTCTCATTCCTGGTACCATCCTGGTAAATCTCCTTTGCACCCTCTCCAATGTCTTGACATCCTTCCTAAAGTGTGGTGCCAGAACTGAACACAGTCTCTAGTTGAGGCCAAACTTTATAAAGGTTCATCATAACTTCCTGACTTTTGTATTCTATGCCCCTCTTTATAAAGCCTAGTATTCCGTATGCTGTTTTAACAGCTTTATCTACCTGTCCTGCCACCTTCAAAGATTTACTTGTATGAACCCCAGGTCTCTCTGTTCCTTCACCCTCTTTAGGATTCTACCATCAGCTTATATTGCCTCTCCTCATTCTTTCTCCCAAAATGCATCACGCATTTCTCCACATTAAACTTCATCTGCCACGTGTCTGCCCATTTTACCAGTCTGTCTATGTCTGTTTGCAGTCTACTACTATGCTCCTCACTTTTCCTAGTTTAGTATCATCTGCAAACTTGGAAATTGTACTCCCTATACCCAAGTCCAGGTCATTTATATAGATCAAAAACAACAGTGGTCCAAGTGCCAACCCTTGGGAGGCACCACTGCACACTTCCTTCCAGTCAGAAAAATAAGCGTTCACCACTGCTCTCTGCTTTCTGTCTCCCAGACAGTTCTGTATCCGCTGCCACTGTCCCTTTAATACCGTGGGCTTCTGCTTTGCTTACAAGTCTCTTATGTGGCACTTTTCAAACGCCTTTTGAAAATCCATATAAACTACATGAATGGCACTACCTTCATTCACCTTCTCTGTTCATCAAAAAACTATCAGGTTTGTTAGACATGATTTGCCTTTAACAAATCCATGTTGGCTGTCCTTTATTAAACCATGTTTTTCTAAGTGAAAATTTATTTGGTCCCGGATTATAATCTCTAGAAGTTTCCCCACTATTTGCGTTAGGCTGACTGGCCTGTAGTTCCCGGGTTTATCCTTCTAATAATAATAATACTTGCATTTGATATAGCGCTTTTCAAGTCGGGAGGACGTCCCAAAGCGCTTCACGGAACACACTGTAAAGTAAATTGACTGTATATTTGTGGGTGAACGCGGCAGCCAATTGCGCACAGCAATGTCCCGCAACCAGTCGTAGATTGAAAATGACCAATTTATTATTGTTTTTGGTTTTGGAGGGATTATTATTAGGCTCTGTGTGGAGTAAGGAAACTTGCCCAAGGTTTCGCCCTCTGCCTGGAATTGAACTCGGGTCTCTCACTTGCAAAGCGAGTACTCTAACCACTGAGCTACAGGACTTCTGTCCCTTTTTGTACAGGGGAGTAAGATTTGGAACCCTACAGTCCTCTGGCACCACCTCAGTGCCCAAGGAGGATTGAAAGAATGTGGCCAGAGCCTCCGTTATTTCCACCCTTATTTCCCTCAGTAATTTAGGGTGCATCCTGTCTGGACTAGATGATTTATCTACCTTGAGCATCGACAACTTCCTCTCGGTTTATTGTTATCTTATCTAATTTCTCCAGCCTCTCCTCCGATACTGTGGCATTGGCTGCGTCCTCTTCTTTTGTGAAGACAGATGAAAAGTACTCATTCAGTACGTCAGCCATGCCCTCTGCCTCCACAAGATTTTCCCTTTGGTCCCTATTTGGACCCACCCTACCTTTGGCTAACCTTTTATTGTTTATGTGTTCATAAAATTCCTTAGGGTTCCCTTTTATGTTATCCACTAATCTTTTCTCATACAATTTGCCCCTCATTTCAATTTTTAGTTCTCCTCTGTACTTTCTATATTCTATTTGATTATCTTCTGTATTTTGGACCTGACCACTTATCATAAACCTCCTTTTCTGTTTTATTTTAATCCCAATTTCCTTATTCATCCAGGGAGGTTTGGATGCCCTACCTTTGTATTTGTTCTGTCCCCAAACTATCTCCTCCTCCTATTGCTCGTTAGCTGTTTTACCTGTCAATCTTTCTTTCCAGTCCACTTTGGCTAGTTCTCTTTGTAACTGACTGAAATTAGCCGTCTTCCAGTTGAGTATCTTCACCTTTGATTGCTCCTTGTCCCTTTCCAATTACTCTAAACTTAATGATGTTGTGATCATTGTTGTCCAGATGCTCTCCTACTGAAACCTGCTCCACTTGCCCCACTTCATTCTCCAGAACTAGATCCAGCACTGCTTCCTTACTCGTTGGGCTGGAAATATACTAATCTAGAAAGTTCTCCTGCACACATTTCAGGCATCCTTTCCCCCTCCTTGCGCTTTACACTGTTATTTTGCCAGTCTATGTCAGGATAATTGAACTCCCCATTATCACTACCATATTAGTTTTGCATCTTTCTGAAATCTTCTTGCAGATTTGCTCATCTACCTCCTTCCCACTATTTGGTGGTCTATAGTATTCACCTAACAGAGTAACAGCTCCTTGTGTGCTCCTTAACTCTAACCAAATAGATTTTGTTTTTGGATCCTCTAACACATTGTTCCTTTCCAGGGCCGTAACCATTTCTTTAATCAATATTGCCATCCCACCCTCAATTTTTTTGTTCCCTATCCCTCCTGAATACATTGTAACCAGGAATATTCAGCTGCCACTCCTGCCCTTGTTTGAGCCAGGTCCGTTATCGCCACTACATCATAACACTATGTGGCAACTTGAGCCTACAGCTGGAGCTCACCAAATCTTATTTGTCACACTCCGTGCATGCACTCGAAGGCTGCCTGAGTCTGCTCTGCAGTCCTGTCTAAAACCCCGTTTTTCTTGACTACTCCTTGTTACATTGCTATTCGTCTCTCCCAGCCCGCCATGTAACTTATTTGTCCTCTCAAATGCCACATCCTGATTCCCCTCCCACCTCAAAATTAGTTTAAACCCTTCTCCACAGTACTAGTTAACCTCCCTCTGAGGACATTGCTCCCAGGCTGTTCAGGTGTAACCCATCCATCCACCTTGTACTGGTCCTACCTGCCGGAGAACTGGTCCTACTCTTCAGCTTTTTCCCTCGCTTCTGATATTCTCCCTGCAGGATCTCAGCCCTTTGTTCCCCTTTTTCATGGATCCCAACATGGACCACGACTTCTGGATGTTCCCCTTTCCCCTATAGAACGTTTTGCACCCGTTCCAACCCTGGCACCAGGGAGGCAACATACCATGCGAGAGTCGCGTCTTTGGTTGCAGAAACGCCTGTCTATTCCTTTCACCAATAAGGCCCCAACGACAATTGTATTGACACTCTTCCTTGTGTTCCCCTGTGCATCCATTTACTTTTGACTCCCCTCCCCAGAGATGTCATCACCCTCACCAGTATTCAGTACAGAGTACAGCACTTCCTACACACTTGTTTGTCTAGGGCACACAAAGCATCCTGGAGTTCCCACATGGCATGCAACCTGTCTCAACTGCCCTGCCATATTCCCAGGGATGTTTTATATTATTTTAATATAACCATGATATATTTTATAATTATGCACTTCTTTCCCCCTCTCACCAAATTCGTTAAGAGAATTCTCACTCTGTTCCAACTCACGGTACTGGGCTCTCATGTACTCTCTTGCACCAGGGTCCGTGAACCCCCACCCTCGCCCGGCTCCACTGGCTCCATATGCCAAAAGATTGAGTTCAAAATCCTCATGCTCACGTTCGATACCCTCCACGCATTTGCTCCTCCCTACCTCTGTGACCTGCTACCCACATATCAACCTGTCTACTCCCACTGCTCAGTGGGCTCCAACCTGCTCTATCATCGGAGGCTGGCCCTCTGCCTCCACCCACAATCCCTTTAAAACCTTACTTTAAACCCTTCCCCACAGCACTAGTTAAACTCCCTCTGAGGACATTGGTCCCAGCCTGTTCTGGTGTAACCCATCCACCTTGTACTAGTCCCACTTGCCCGAGAACTGAAGGCGCGGTTGAAGAGGAGGATCTTGAGACGAGCCTTGAAGGAGGCAAGGGAGGGGGTGAGTCAAAGGTTTTGACTCACCCCCTCCCTTGCCTCCTTCAAGGCCCGTCTCAAGATCCTCCTCTTCAACCATGCCTTCAGTCACCCTCCTACCCCCAACCCTCCCTGCCCTCCACCCCCCTACTCTGGTCCAAATCCCTGATGGTCCAGTGCCTTGGTACATCCTCCCGATGTGAAAGGCACTATACAATATAATTGTTGTAGTTGTCCCTCCAACCTTCTTTTCCCAAACCTTCTAGATTTGCCGTGAAGCAGCCAGTAACTCACTTTATCAGCGCGCACAAGCCGATGCTCACACTGCTCACACTTGTTCTCCAGCTCTTCCTTCTTGGACACACAGTCCAGGTACTTGGCCTCCAGGGCAGCGATGCCGTCCTCCACCCCCGCCAGCCGCGCCTTCGCTTCCTCCAATATCTGCTGCGTCACCGCCAGGTCCTCCTGAGCCTCCAGCAGCGCTTGCTGTGGAGAAGACAGAGGTCAGTGCCCGGAGCCCTGACCCTGTAGCCTCCCTAGAACCCCGCCCTGTACACCCCTAGAGCCTCGTCCTGTACCCCGCAGCCATACCACCGCCAATAGCCCCACCCCATTCACCCATCTCGTACCATCGGCCCCTGTACCTGCTCCGTACCCCCCCACCCACCCCCGGAGTCCTGCCCGCTGTACCTACCCGTTTGGGTTCCACGGCCTTGGCAATGAAGTGGTACTTGTGCATGGCTCTGACCCATTGGCAGATGGAGGTGCAGGCCTTGGAGACCTTGGCAATGGCGGCAGGCATGAAGTCCTCATTATCAATGTACGGCTGGATGAGCCGGATTACCGTGTCTGGGATGTTATCCTGCAGCCAGGAACAATAAAAGGAATGGAGCTAATCAGTGAGGTCATAGAACATTGAGTAAAGTGCTTCCCCCACAGCACACGGCACTGGAACACACACACTCGACACTGACATACTGACACTGAAACACTCTCACTGACACACACTTGTGTGTGATGCTGAAACAGTCACCTTGTCATATTTGAATAAACTATCCAAAAACTTGGCGGGGTCTTGTAGAAGGCCTTTTCCAGGTTCCCAATAGTCATCCACCTTTGTGCCTGGCTTTTCTCCTGGCACTTTCTTTGGTTTAATTCCCTTCATGATACAGACGGCCTCAATCACCAGTTTCACCCCCACAGGAGGCCTCTGCATGGCCCGCACCTGCCCAACAACAAGAACCTGAGTGACTCACTGGCCAGTTACCTCCACACACACCAACTAAGCAACATGTCAGGTAAGAGACGGGGCAGATTGTGGAGAGAGGACTCGAGGATGCAAAGGGCGGGGAGTGGCACTGACGCCAAACAGCGATGAATGATAGTTGTTTGTGGTTCTGTCTGTATTCAGAGTCAAGATTAAACAGGGCGATGGCACAGTGCAGGACATCTCAGCCCGAACACATCCACCACAACAATGTCCCGGCTGAGGGTAGTCAGAATGCTGGCAGAGCGCTGGGCTGTGCACAGTGTACGTAACCCCCCCCCACCTCACTGACATACTCACCTCAGTCACATCGTTTTTGTTGAGGGATTTCAGGCTGGCTAAGGCTGCATCTAAAGCAGGCAGAGCCTCATCCAAATCCTTCTGTGCATCATCGGCAATGGCCTGGGCTTTGTTTGCCTTTTCCATGGCCTTTGCCTCCTCCTCGCTGACGGATTTGCGTGTCTCCTCTGCTATAGCAGTGTCCACCTGTAATGCACAACACAAGAGCTTATTAACCAGTATTACTCAATAATCAGTCTGGTGTGGTTTCCCCAGGACTGTGCCTGAGTGACCTTCCCCAGCACGGCCACACCTGATCCTATCTTTAGCTTTGGCAATATTCAATCCAGCATGGGCAGCACTTCACAGGATTCACCAGAAATAATAATATATAATAATAATAATCCTTGCATTTGATATAGCGCTTTTCACGTCGGGAGGACGTCCCAAAGCGCTTCACAGAACACACTGTAAAGTGAATTGACTGTATACTTGTGGGCGAACGCGGCAGCCAATTGCGCACAGCAATGTCCCACAAACAGTCGTAGATTGAAAATGACCAATTTATCATTGTTTTTGGTTTTGGAGGGATTATTATTAGGCGTGTGGAGTAAGGAAACTTGCCCAAGGTTTCGCCCTGTCTGGAATTGAACTCAGGTCTCTCGCTTGCAAAGCGAGTGCTCTAACCACTGAGCTACAGAACAGAAAGTGCATTGACTGTTCTGTGGGCCAACTCGGCACCCAGTTCTGAACAGCAAAATCACATCAGAACATAAGAAATGCTAGACGATAAAAGAACAAGGTCTATCTAGTTCAACTTACACCTTCCTGGCGGTCGCATGCACATATGTCCCAAACTACCTATGTACTATATCCCATAATGTTATTTCCTAAAACTATCTAATCTGTGTTTGAAAGAATCAACACTTCCTGCTTCAACCGTCTCCCTTGGGAGCCTATTCCACAGGTTCACTATTCGCTCAATGAAATAGTGTTTGCGTAGATTTGTTCTGAATTTACCCCACTTCAATCGCAGGCTGTGTCCTCTGGTTTTACTATTCTGGACAAGTTGAAACAGCCTGCATGGTCTGCATTGTCTATCCCCTTTAGAATCTTAAAGACAGCAATCAAGTCGCCTCTCAATCTTCTCTTTTCCAGCGTGAACATTCCCAATTTACTTAGTCGCTCCTCATAGTCCAGTCCTTCCATTCTCTCATTCATTTTGATTCCCTTTCTCTGTATCTTCTTGATTTCTCTAATATTCTTTTTGTATTGCGGCGATCGGAACTGTACACAGTATTCTCCCGACGTGAAAGGCGCTGTACAAATGTAATCATTGTTGTTATATTTTAAGTATGGTCTCACCAATGATTTATACAATGGCAGGATTACCCACTCTTTTGGCTTGCTATGGAACTGTTGATGCATCCCAACATCTGGTTTGCTTTACTCAGAGCATTGTTGTGAGAGCTTCAATTTATTGTCAATGAGGACCCCCTCATTTATTTTCATGCATAGTATTTTTCTTCTGTTCAAATAATAGTCCTTTCCAGGATTTTTTGTCCCCATGTGAACAACTTTACATTTCTTCACATTGAATTTCATCTGTCACCGATCTGCCCAATTCCCAAGTAAGTTCAAATCCTCTTGTAACCTATCTTGTTCAGCTTTGCAGTCTACCACCTTCATTAGCTTGGTGTCAGCTGCAAATTTGGCCACTGTGCTTGCAATTCCTAGTTCAAGATTATTTACAAAAATATTAAACAAAATAGGTTCCAAGACATACCCTTGGGAACTCCACTGGTAAAATTTTCCCAGTCTGATGACATTCCTTGCACCACCACCCTCTGGGTTCTTCCGGTCAACCAATTGCATATCCATTGTAATATACCTACACTGATTCCCACTTTCTTTACTTTCAGTACCAGCCCCTCAAGAGGAACTGCATCAAAGGCCTTACTGAAATCCAGATATACAACATCCACAGCCTTACCCTTATCTAGCTCGCTTGGCACACCATCAAAGAAAATCAGTAAATTACGATTGGCAAGACCTCCCCTTCATGAATCCATACTGGCTTTCATTTAGGATTTTATTTCTGTCCAGATGTTCCATGATTTTATCCTTAACAAGAGTCTCCATAATTTTACCTACAATGGACGTCAAACTTACTGGCCTGTAGTTTTCTGGGTCACTTTTGTTATCTTTCTTAAAAATAGGAGTAACATTGGCTTTCGCCAGTCCCCTGACACCTCTCCAGTATTCAGTAATTTTTGAAAGATTTGTGCCAGCGTTTCGGCGACTTCCTCCCTTAATTTCTTAAGGATCCTCGATACAATTTATTCAGTCCCTGAGATTTATTTACTTGAAGTTTACCATCAACAATAAATGACCAATTTTATTTAGGGGACTGTCGGCTAGGACACCGGGAGAAACTCAGCACACACAACGGGGAAAGAATTGCAGATGTGGGTAGCATTGTGGGTCTGGGTGCCAGTTTGGGTGTGGGTGCCAGTGCGGGTGCAGTTGCCAGTGTGGGTGTCTCACCTTTATCTTCTCCATGGTAGTCACTGTGTCCTGAGCTGCCTCCTCCAGGAGCGGCCTCATTGACTCTAGCTCCTCCTGCATCTTGGCCACATCCTCTGAGGTTCGCAACAGCTGCAGCAACAGACAGCGTCACCTCAAGCTGTGTGTGTGACCAGTTTGGGTACCCAGTGTGGGTATCTCACCTTTATCTTCTCCATATTTCTCACCGTATCCTCAGCTGCCTCCCCCAGGACCGGCCTCATTGACTCCAAGCTGCATGTGTGACCCACAGGTCTGTGTGTGTGATCCTCAGGTCAGTGTGTGTGACCCTCAGGGCTGTGTGTGTGCCTTTCAGGCTTGGTGTGTGTGACCCTCAGGTCTGTGTGTGTGACTTTCAGGCCTGGCGTTCCAATGCAAAAGTGCTTGCGAATGAGTGCGTATGGGAATGGAAGCGCAAGGACCACAGTGTGGAGGGAATAACTGAGGCAGATATGTGGATAAGGCATAGATAATTGAGGAAGGGCACAGGTGAGTGCGGATGGACAGTGGCTGCTTAGACAGCAGCTGGCTGGTTTGTCAGTACGGGAGGAGTTACTGATCACTGACCTTGTCCAGGCCACTCTTCATCCTGTTCTTGCTGGTTCTCAGCTTTTGTTTCTTGACACCAATGAGCTTGGAGAAGAGGCTGAGCAGGTCCAAGTAGCTCTTGGGTGTGATGTAGTTGTAGCGGGAAAGCTCAGACAGGTACTGCAGTGATTTGATTGCCACAGTTTGGTGGATGTAGACACACATCTTCACCTGTGGAGGACAGATCCATTTTACACAAAGACTTTATTATGAAGAATGAGTTTTCATAAAACCTCACCAGTGCGTGTGTCACAGCCTCCTCGGCCCTCAGGTCCGGCAGCTCTTCCAGGAAGGTGTTGGCCACTGACTCCAGGGCCTCCGCTGGCCACTCATTAAACCAGTCAATGGTACAGCATGTGATCAAAGCCGGGAACTGGCGGAGACGAGCGCGGAATACCTCTCCAATTGGACTGAGTAATAGAAACACAATAACATTACATTGTGTGAGACCCCAGCACCATCACACTGCACACAGCCAGAAGGTCACTGATCTCATTCTGCCAGGATCCCCAGCCTACCTTCTTCCATAATACCTTAGCTCAGCAAGTGATTTCTTAAATGAGTCTATCGTCCTGGCCTCTGCCATGCTTCTCCTATCATGCAGTAAACACCTGCCACTGACTCCCTAAACTCCGTAACATCCCTCAGTGCTGGGACAGCCAGACCAGAGATAGGCTGCGATTCTAGAAGAATGACGTGCAACCTCTCTCCTCTCTGAATCTGCACAGACTGGATCTGAGCCCAGCAGCCCCCAGCTCAGCCCAACCCAACCCCCAGCACAGCCCAACCCCCACCCCTGCTTAGCCCCCATCACAGTCCAACCCCCATCACAGCCCAGCCCCCAATATAGACCAGCCACCAGCATAGCCCAGCCGCCAGCACAGCTCAGCCCCTAGCACAGCTCAACCCCCAGTCCAGCCCTCAGCACAGCCCAACCCCCAGCACAGCCCAACCCCCAGCACAACCAGCCCCCAGCACAGATCAAACCCCAGCCCAACCCCCACCACAGACCAGCCCCCAGCACAGCCCAACCCCCAGCACAGCCCAACCCCCAGCACAACCAGCCCCCAGCACAGATCAAACCCAGCCCAACCCCCACCACAGCCCAGCCCCCAGCACAGCCCAACCCCCACCACAGCCCAACCCCCACCACAGCCCAACCCCCACCACAGCCCAGCCACCCGGCACTGCCCAGCCCCCAGCACAGCCCAACCCCCAGCACAGCCCAGCACGACCAAGAGACCGACACACACACAGAGCCTCATACACTCAGGGTGCTGCCTGCATACCTCATGCACAGCACGGTGTGGATGTTACTGCGCACATGCTTGGTGTAGGCGGCCATCATGTTGGCTTTGGTTGGTTGCTGCCCCATGTCCTGCACAACAGGCTTCATTGCTGTGAAAATCGTCTCCTGCTCATCAAAGGCATATAAATTGGGCACATCGCCAGAGTTCAGGATGTTGTTAATATCCTCCAGAAAAGACTCGCTCTTAATCTACCAGAACAGCAAAGCATAGTTTTGTTAAAACAACAAAATACGTGAGAAAAATATTTTACTCGTGTCCTGGTGAAGAGCTGAGGGTGACGCAGCCCTGAGGCATTCAGTACTGCAGGGTCTGCAACTGTGCCGCTGTCTGTGTGTGTGTGTGACTACGTGTGTATGACTTAAATGAGCGTGTGTGAGACTGTACGCGTGTTTGACTGTACATGTGTGTGTGTGACTCTGTGCATATGTGACTGTACATGTGACTGTACGTGTGTGCCTGTTATGTATGTGTGTGACTGTATATGTGTTTGTGTGACTCTATGTGTGTGTGTGATGGTGTGCGTGTATGACTACATATATTTGTGTGTGTGACTGTATGTTTGTGACTGCACGTATGTGTGTACGCATGGATGGGGCCAGGGAAGGCTGTACTGAAAGGATGGTCCCCACCTAAACCGGAGAGGCACCCATGTCCTTGCAGAAAGTGTAAACAGATCAGGGTAGGTGGGGGGGATTTAAACTTCTTAGGAGTGTGGGAGTGGAAAATCCACAAGTGTGAGAACAAGATCAGCAGGACATATGGGCAGAGTTCAGGCAGTTTCCCAAATAAAAGTTGGCAGAAATGCACATGGAACAAGGAATGAAACAATCTCCCCTGAGGGAAGATGAGTTGGATAGCTCTTCCAAAGAGCTGGCATAGGCACGATGGGCTGAATGATCCTTCTGTGCTGTAATATTCTATGATTTAAGTGAGTTAGAAGCACAAATTCAGCTTAAAGGGTGTGATGTAGTATCCATTACAGAGACCTGACTACAAGCTGGGCAGGGCTGGTTGCTAAATATTGCTGGTTCTGGGAATCTTAGAAAAGGATGGAAAAACTGGGAGCAGTAGCAATATTGAGAAAAGACACAATTACAGCAATGGACAAAAAGGATTTCATTAAGTGTGATCAGGCCGTGGCAACACTATAGGTAGAATTAAGGAAGAGCAAAAGAAGCAACTCCTTGCTGGGAGTTGTCTGCAGACCTCCAGACAGTAGTGATGTAGTGGGGAGATGTATAAATACGGAAATCAGGGAACAATGCAGCAATGGGAGATTTTAATTTTCACATAGACTGAGAGAAGCAGAACAACTCAAATAGTAAAGGCAACACATTTCTGGAATGTATTCAGGGCAGTTTTCTACAAAAGTGTGTTTTAGAACTGACAAGCGACCAGCCCATATTAGATTAAGTGATAAATGAACCAGAATTACTCTAGTTAGGAGTAGTGAGCACAATATGATCAGTGGTATTCTGTAGCTTAGTGGTTAGAGCACTTGCCTCGCAAACGAGAGGACCTGGGTTCGATTCCTGTACAGGGTGAAACATTGGGCAAGTTTCCTTACATAACACCTCTGTTTACCAAGCAGTAAGTAGGTACCCGATTGTTACTCGATTGGTGGATTGCTTTTCTGGGGATAATAATCCCTTAAAAAACTTTGATCTCTCAATCCACTATTTGTGAGACACTGCTGTGCGCAATTGGCTGCTGCATTTCACCCACAAAATACAGTCAAATACAGTATATTCTATGAAGCGCTTTGCAGTGTCCCACAAACAGTTGTGGATTGAGTGACCAAATTATTATTGTTGTTTTTTTAAGGATTATTATCCCCAGGAAACAGATCTTCCAATCGACTAACAACCGTGTTCCTACTTACTGCTAGGTAAACAGAGGCGTGTGGAGTAAGGAAACTTGCCCACGATTTTGCTCTGCTAGGAATCAAACCCAGGTCTTTTGCTTGTGAAGCGAGGGCTCTAATCACCGAGCTACAGGACTCAACAGAATACATCATATAGAAAGGGCAGATTATGAGATCTACCAGCCAGGGGAAAAAAAGAGAAACAGATTTATCATGCAAACTTATTGAAGCCTTGGAATATGCATGATAGCCAGTTTGTACATCCTATAGAGCAGGAGGTGGACCCCATGTTTGTGTCCACGAGGAAACATTTAACTAGGGGCCAAAAAGCACAGGTAGATCAATTGGTATACTGATACTGGGATGTGTTTTGGACAGGCCAGGAAAGACTGACCTGGTAGAACATGTGGTAAATACCGAACTAGGCATGACAGTGAAGTCCTCCTCGAATCCCGGAGGCAAGGAAGGACATGGTGAGGAAGGAGCTGTAAGGCATGTTGGAGCTAGGAATCATCAAGAAGTCCAAAAGCGAGTTGTATAGCCCAATTCTCATGGTTAACTGCTGGTTAATGGAAATAACCCCCTTTTTTTGGGGGGGGGTAACCCACTAATCAGCAGTCAATTTCTGAGAACGGGGATGTCACCATGTAAAACAGTGTGGGGTGGATAAATTCCCAAAGTACTGCATTTTAGTCTAAAGTTGTACGTAAATGGTAAGCAACCAGTAAGTGGCATCCTGTAGCTTAGTTTTCGAGCACTCGTCTCGCAGCGTGTGGACCTGGGTTTGATTCCTGGGTAGGGTGAAACATTGGGCAAATTTCCTTACTCCACATGCCTTTGTTTACCTAGCAGTGAGTAGGAACCCAGTTGTTAGTCGATTGGCAGATCGCTTTTCCGGGGTTAATAGTCCCTTCAAATTTTTTTTCACAGAAATAATAATAAATTGTTCACTTCAATCCACGACTGTTTGTGGGACACTGCTGTGCGCAAATGTAAGTATTATTATTATTATGGTGCCCAAACCGGATGGAACTAATCCAATTTTTGATTTTCGGAAAGTCAATACAATTTCAAAATTCAATGCATATCTGATTCCCTGGGTAGATGAGTTGTTGGACCAATTGGGGTCCGCCAAATGTAATTATACGCTGGACTTGATAAACAGGTATTGGCAAATTCCTTTGGCTGAGCACTTGAAAGAAAAGACTGCTGTTGGGCTAAGCCACCTCACTACAATGCCCTTTGGACTCCATGGAGCTGGCCACACCTTTCAGCGCTTTTTGGACTGGGTGTTGTGCCCCAACAGGTATATGCCGCAGCCTATTTAGATGACATTGTGATCTATAGTTCAACCTGGGATTGCCATCTGTGCCAGGTGGCTTCGGTTCTGGATTCCCTAATGGTGATCCACCTAACAGCGCACCCAAGCAAATGCGCCCTTGGGAAATCCAAAACCAAGTACTTGGGATATTCCCTGGGGAATAGTCAACTGAAGCCTTTAGCTAGCAAAATGGAGGCTCTATTACAGTGTCCCATGCCCCTCCAAAAACACAGGAACGGTCTTTTTGGGGGCTAGCCAGCTACTACCAGAGGTTTATACCTCATTTTTCTACCTGGCTGCCTCGCTAACTGATCTGACAAAAAAGCTCAGCCCAAAATAGGGGAAATGGTCACAGGGGTGTCAGGGGGCCCTGTTCTGTAAAGTTTATGTTTTCGCTAAAAGCATTAGCCAGTGTGAGTGCCGTTAGTAATTAGCGATTGCGCTCGGGGAAACTTGGAAAGTGCCAAAGTTCGGTTATAAATATATTGAATAACCCTTTAATTAATTTTTTTATGATTTAAAGTTGTTTTAGATACTTGGGACGTCCTCCCGACGTGAAAGGTGCTATACAAATGTAATCTTGTTGTTTTTGTTGTTATGGTGTCATCAAGTCTGACTCTAAAGTCAATTGCAACAATTGGCGGGGTAACTGACTCTATAATTTGCATAAGTGGATAGGAGGGTGTACTGTTTCCCTATTGAGTCACTTGAAGGATGATCTTGATTGGACCATTAAAAAGGCATTAATTACATCAAGTAATTGGTGCTATACAATTACCTAATTCGGGGAGGGGGTCAATACCGATAAAATAATGAGCACTATATGCCCAGGATCGCTATTTTTACCTGATGACATTGAAAGGGATGTGCCCTGACTATTGATGAGGAGTAGTCCTCTAGGTCAGGGATTGGTTTTTCGTACACTTTACATTAACTTCATTACAACTGGCTGCTAGCATGTTTAGTTTAAGTATGATTAGTGTTTCTTATTTCATAGTTGTGTTTTTGATATGTACAGTGTCGTTTAAGATTTAATGCCTAGGGTTGTGAATTTCACTGAAACTACAATAAAATTCTGTTGAGTTTGCTTTCTCAAGCTTTCTGTATAAATCAAAGGAGGGAATACACAAACACGTTGAGCCTACGTCACAATCTGTTTAGAATAAAAGACTGATGACGGAAGCTTCCCAATTCGCTTTAATTTAAATACCAATTGGTTGTACCTGTCATCGTGGAAGAATTCATTAGTCGAGTTACACCTAGTTATAGGGACTTGCATTTATTAGTGAGGATTGAACACAGAGGCTACCCAGTACACTCTGCGAGGGAGAGCGAGCCATATCGTGGCTGTACATAAAGGGGTGTAAAACCGTCTCAAGTTCCAGGCCAAAAAATGTGAACATCAGTTTAGAGCTGGGGTCTAGTCAGAAGGAAGAGGAGTTTGGAGAAGACGGATATAAAAAGGTAGAGCTGTCTTTTCAAAATACTGGAAATTAGAAATATTCACAGAAGTAATTGGCACAATACAAAACTGGTACAATCCCCTAAAAGGCAAAACATCCTTAACTTGTGCAGAAAATAAACCATGGTCAACAAGTGAGGTTAGAGCGAAGGCTGACACAATGCCAAGGAGTATGGGAACCAGGCACTCGGAGAGCTACAAGCAGCAACAAAGCATCAAGAATTGCAAAAAAAAAGAAAAAAACACTTGGAAGAGATATCAAAGCAAACAGCAAAGATTTTTACAAATATATTAAGAGAAAAAGAGTGGGAAAGGGCATGTGGGCCCATTAAAGACAGATGCAGACGAGACTATAATGAACAATAAGGAAATGGTTAAATGAGGACTTTGTATCCGTGTTCACAATGACAACGAGCTAAGGAACTTGCTGTATATTGGAGTGTGAGCCTGGCTGGGCCTGAGCCTGCCTGGGCCTGAGCATGAGGTACCTGTGTGTCCACAAACAGGAAGGTGACCTGCAGGCTCTGGATGCCAGCTTTCATCAGGATGCCCTTCACGTCCTCACGCCACTCCGAGGGGCCATAGTTTTTGGAAAGTTCGATCTGAAAACATTCAAACTCTGCCCTGTGGACACATTCCCCATTTGCACATTTAACGTTGTAAATTGCACAGAACTGCAGACAAATCTTCACATCAGTCTAATTTCAGAGCCGTTTTTTTCCCCATTTATCTCAAATTAAGATGGAATTTTTCTGTAATTCTTCAAGATTTTGAATGTTCAACCTGACTGTATGGCAGCAAAAGCGGGAACGTGTGTGTCTGTAATTACACAGAGCTACACCCAGACTCTGTACATACTGCCCCCAGCATGGTACCCTTTTGTGTGGTATTCCCCACACAGTACTATCTGAGTGTGGGCCCTCCATCCCCAGCACAATCTCACAAACTGAATATTCTCACGGCACAGTTGAAAAAGAGTGGGAAAGGGCATGTGGGCCCATTAAAGATTAACACATTAATCCCGTGTTCTGTCCCAGCTGACAATGCCCCAGATAAAATCACTCATTCAGTTCACTGTATTTGTGGGATGTTTGCTATGTACAAAACATATCAGTAAAATAGAGTCACTCCATTTTGCAATGAGAGAAAGAGAGGGGGGTGACCATGCCCGCCCACCAATTGACGATTTGCTGTGGGCATGTAGCCTCATTAGGGAAAGCTGTGTGTGTGTGTGATCAGCCTGTACCACCAGCCCTGAAACACTGACACCAGCAATGTCCACACGCGCACACACGGACTGCGGGCACCGGGAACATACTTACATGTGTGCTGCCAGCTTGGTGAGGGACTGCCGGCCGCTACCACCCACGCCCAGCAGCAGGGCGTTGCCCATGGGCTGCCGCAGGATGCGGCTGATGCGGCAGATGTGCTGCACAGCGTCCATAAACAGCACCAGCTTCATCTTGGTCACACTGGTCTGATTGAAATCCTCCATGTACTCCTGGATCGTCTGCATCATCTACGAGAACCACAGGCATGGGACTCAACACACACTTCACATACAGGACACATGGTACACAGGACACACGCCACAAATGGCATACAGGGCACACGCCACATGAGCTGGCACCCTACCTCTCCATAGCAGCACGCAATTACCGCACATACTGCATCTACACACCACACGCACACACACACGTTGACTTCACAAACACACACAGTTGTGAACTGAGGCGGACTGTTACACAAGGGCTCCTCATTCTGCGAGAACGTGCTGCGTGCTGCGCCACGAGGAAACACGCTGCATCACCTTCCCCTTGTCTTCAATGTACTCGTACACCCGGTTATCGGCCCCGACAATCATGAAATCGCCGTAGAGAATCGGCAGCTCCGGTGCCACCTCAGCAAATGTGGTGCCAAACTCCGTCATCTTACTCTTCAGCAGCTCGTCAAACCAGAGCCGGTCGGCCTCGCTCACCAGCCGGTCCCGGAACACACGGCAGTTCTCGTGGTACCACAGCCGAAGCAGCAGCAGCTTGTCCTAAGCAAGAAAAATCACAATAGGCGACTGAATGGGAGCAAAATATACAATACAGCATGTGGGTACACACAGAGCGGAGGTGTACACTTAGGTCTAGATGTTGCGGAGGGCGAGCCTGGAAGGTTGGCTACCAGGCCAGTGGAAAAAGTCTGGAATGTGGTCTTGATAGGGGTTTTGATAAGAATCAACAGCAAGATGTTATTTCCACGAGTCGGTGAGTCAGTGACTAGCCAGTAACGAGGCATTAATTTAAGCTAGTTAATAAATAGGCAAATAGGGAGGTTAAGAGACATTTCACACAAGAGTTGTTAGGCTATGGAATGTTCTACCAAGAGCAGTGGTTGAGGCAGAATTCATATTGGCTTTCAAAAGGGAACTAGATAAATACCTAAAGAGGAGTCTAAAACAGGGATACGGGGAAAGGGCAGGGAAATAGGATGAATAGATTGCTCTTAAAGGAGCAGCACAGACACAATGGGCCAAATGACTTTCTTCTGTGCTGGAAATTTCCTTGGTTCTGTGTATATTTCTGAAGTGATAAAGCTGTGAATAAGAGTTTGGGCTGTGTTGGGAGGAGAAATCATTAGATGAAAGAAAGTGGAAAAGCTAGAGGAAAACCTCAGAGGACAATCAAGGAGTGGAGAACCACAGAGCCAACAGTGTCCAAGGGGGCAGAGATCCAGTCGTACCAGGAGGCAAAAAAGGGTCTGGTCACAGGTGGTCATCTGTGACTTTGACCAGGACTGTCTCAATGCTGTATTTGGGGCAGGAGCCAGATTGGAGAGACTCATGTAAAAAATTGTGTGACAGGAAAGAGCGAAGCTGAGAGGTCATGCATAAACTCATCATCATGTTTAAGGTATCCAAACCAACCTAAGATTTTCATGCATCCCACCTACACACGGAAATTTCAGATTGTTGGAATTGAATGCCCATTCTCTTCCTGGAGCAACACATCCTGCTTACTTAATTCCAGAAAGTATTAGGAGCAGGCTGGCAAGACCCCAACGTGTGCGATAGGGTATTGCTAGAGTTTAACCAGCTAAGACCGCATAGCTTGCTATTATTATCGCAAGCTTTCCCTTTGGCTTGCAGGATTAACAGAGCTGTGTGGGAGGATTCCCTGCCCTCAGTGACTGATCTGCTCTTCCAAGTCCTACTGATCAGCTGTGCAGCCATCAGAAACCGGACAACTGAGACCATCACAGAGGGCAGCTCGATTCCCACATTCTGTTGCCAGCATTTCGAGCTTTTCAGCTCCAAGGAGACCCTGCCTTCCTCCTTCACAAGAAGGATAATAATAATCCTTTTGATACAGCACCTTAACAAATTATTTTAAATTATTTTATCAAATTATTTTATTGGAGTCCTGTAGCTCAGTGGTTAAGAGCAAGTGAGAGACCTGGGTTCGATTCCCAGCAGGGTGAAACCTTGGGCAAGTTTCCTTACTCCACACGCCTGATAATAATCCCTCAAGAAAAAAAATATTAAAAATTGGTCACTTCAATCCACAACTGTTTGTAGGACACTGCTGTGCCCAATTGGCTGCCACGTTTTGCTCACAAATATACAGTCAATTCACTTTACAGTATATTCTGTGAAGCGCTTTGAGACGTCTAGAAGACGTGAAACACGCTATATCAAATGCAAGGATTATTATTATTATCACATCTTCGAGACGTCTCAAAGCACTTCACAGAATATACTGTAAAGTGAATTGACTGTGTATCTTGTGCACGAAACATGGCAGTCGTGGATTGAGTGACTAATTTTTTTTTAGTCACTAGTCACAGGATAGCCACCAGTTGGTCGTTCGATATCCGACAACCAGGAGTTTGAGCCCTCACTAGGTAGAAGGTAGGTACCCAGGAACTCCCTGTGAGCGTGCAAATGCGTGCAAGTACTGCTATCATCTTCCTGTCTGCAGCTCCGGCATACATCGTTTCCCATTGTGTGATGGTTCCACCAGTTGGAGGTGCAGAGTTTAAATCTCTGCAAGCCAATCAAGGTGGATTGCAGGTACTAGATGTACGAATATTCACAACATCGGTCTCCAGGTAACACCCCAAGCCTCAGAGATTCCTCATCAGCTATCTGGCGGACATCTGCCTTCAGTGTGGTGAGAGGACAGTGCCAGCCACCTTGATGTTCTCGAGGTCAAAGTCCAATGCTATGTACCAGACTTACTCAGCACCAGCTGCTTAATCCTGGTTCTCATGTGAGGGGTCTTGGCAAATAGACGTGTCCACTGTGAAACCTCCAGGGAGCTGTGACGGCCGGAGCCCTCACTCTCTGTAGCCGCTTCCCGTGTTTGCCACAAATCAACCTCACTGATTAAACCTGAATTTTGCAAATGGGTCCAGAGTGCCCTTTGCCCCTTCTGAGCGCAGTCCTTCAGAACAGTGTCCAGGGTGAAGTTGGTGTCCACCACCAACGACCCTGAGGTACCGATAAAAATCAACGATTGGTACTGATGCCTTGTATCTTCCAATCAATTCCCCTGATGTCTTCCCTTGGGCCGTGCAGAACCATGATTCAGCACTTGGGGGCGCACAACACCATGGCCCACAGGTTGGCCCAGTGTTCAAGATGGCGGGTGCAGTCCCCCCGGTGAGTCCGACAGCAGCACAATATCATCTGCAAACAGAAGGGCTGACATCCTATCAAAGAGAGGCCTGGAACAGATACACCAAATCCTTCCCCCTCGATGCCATTCAACACATCACTGATGAACATATCGATCAGGGTGGGTGACAATGGGCAGCTTTGCCTTACCCCCTTTTCCAGAGGGATGGGCTCAGTAAGTCCACATTGACCCTTACACGGGTCTTGGAGGCTGGAATTTTTCATCATGTGGCACTGGGTCGAAAGCCTTGCAAAATGTTGTAAATGGGCTTCCCCTTAGCCTCATGATGTTCTGCAATCTCATACAGAGCCACAATCTGTCCCACACATTCCTCATGAGAACGGAACCCAGCCTGTGCCTTCCTGATCAAACAATGAGCCTCCAATGGGTGTGATAGGATCCCGCTTCAGGGATGAGTGCCTTGCAGGCTGTAGCTTCAGTATCTTACGACCTCAGTTGAAGAAGCAAGAATGTCTGTGGCTACATCGTCACTCGACAATCAGACAGGTAAAGGTGAGAGATCATAGAATCAAGAAATTTACAGCACAGAAGGAGGCCATTCGGCCCATCGTGTCTGTTCCAGCTCTTTGAAAAGAGCTATCCAAATCAATCCCACTCCCCCGCTCTCTCCCATAGCCCTGCAATGTGTGTATGTTCAAACAATGTGTTCCAGATCCGAACAACTCACTGTGTGAAAAAATTTCTCCTCACTTCCCCTCTGTTTCTTTTAACAACTATTTTAAATCAGTGCCCTTGGGTTACCTACCCACCCGCCAGTGGAAATAGTTTCTCCTTGTTCACCGTATCGAATCCCCTCATAATTTTGAAAACTTCTATTAAGTCTCTTCTTAACCTTCTCTGCTCCAAGGAGAATAATCCTAGCTTCTCTAGACTCTCCTGATAACTGAAGTCCATAATTCGAGGTTACCATCCTAGTAAATCTCCTTTGCACCCTCTCCAACGCTTTGACATCCTTGAGATAGTGGAAAGTTGCGAGGTGTCCAGTGAAAGGGGGATGAGAGAGAGGTTGATGATGTCACTGGCACATGGCGGGAGGTGATAGTTGGGTGGATAGGAGCTGTGGGAATAGATTGGATGGGTTTACGGAAGAGATGGGGAAAGATGGGGAAGACATGGGCGGGGTTGAGGGTGCAGAGGAAGGAGGAGGCAGAGGCACAGAACAGATCATTTTAATTTTAGATTGAAAGTCCACGAGCACTTTCGGAGTTTGAAGGTGCCCCCACCCTTCAGAACTCCTTCCCACAGTCCCTTTGCCTCGCCCCCTCCCTTGCCTCTTTCAAAGCACATCTCACTACCCTCCTCTTCGACAGCGCCTTCGGTTACCGTCTTACCCCTCCCTGCCTTCACCCCTCAGCTTGGGTACAAATCCTTGACGGTCCAGCACTTTGGGACATCCTCCCGATGTGAAAGGTGCTATACAGATATAATTTGTTGTTGTTGAGAACGAAGGGAGTGCTGGAGGAGGAGAGGAGGCTGGGAGTAGGAATTGGCCCTGGAGGGTTTGGTCCTGAAGCCAGAGTAGAACCATGTGTGTTTGTGTTCTCACGCTGGGAGGTGACTGTTGTGAGGACAGGAAGCGATTTGAAATTTCGTTAGGTGAGGATGCTAATTGTAGGAACACCAACTTGCACTTACATAGCGCCCTGCACGCAGGGTAGCATCTCAGAGCGCTTAACAGTGGCAGAGCCCGACTCCGAGTTGGGGGCAGGGGTGATGACTGTAAGCATGGTCGAAGGGGAAGGTTTTCAGGCGGCACTTGAAAAAGGGGAAAGGGCAAGGCGGAAGGATTGAGGGAAGAGTGTTCCAGAGTTTTGGGGCGTAATGGCTGAAAGCGTGACTTCTGATGGTGGGGGCGGAGGGTGCGAGGACAAGCAGGAGGTTGTTGGCAGTCGACCGTAGGCGCTGGGTGGTGGATTGGGAAGTGAGGAGGCTGGAGAGGTGCCAGGGAGTGAATAGATTTGAACACGAGTGTGAGGATCTTGAAGTCGTGTGATAGGGAACCAGTGGAGCTAGGCCAGCGCTAGTGAGATGGGGGTACGGAGTTTGGTCCGGGTCAGTATGTAGGAGGCAGATTCTGAATGAGCTGCATCTTGTGAATGGTGAGGCTGGGGAGACCGGCAAGGAGTAATTGAGGAATCCAAGCGGGAGGTGACAAACACATGCACCAGAGTTTCGACAGCATTTGGGGTAAGTTATGTTTGGAGGCAGTTGGTTCTGGACGATGAAAAGTAGATTTGTGTGTCATCCGCATACGTGTAGAAGTTTACCCCATGTCTGCGGATGCTATCACCCAGAGGGAGCATATAGAGAAGGAAAAGTAGAGGGTCAAGGATGGAGCCCTGTGTTACCCCGAGCGGGAGTGAGGAGAAACCATTTGCTGGGATGAAATGGATACGGTTGGTTAAGTAGGACTCACTCGAACCATGCGAGTGCAGTTCCACTAAGGTGGATGAAGAAGGAGAGGCGGTGGAGGAGGATGGCGTGGTCGACTGTGGTGAAAGCGACAGAGAGATCCAGGAGGACGAGGAGGTAGAGGGAGCCTTGGTCACAGATAGAAAGAAAGTCGTTTGTGACTTTGGCAAGTGCTGTCTCTGTGGGGTGGGCAGGGGCTAAAACCAGGAGGTGCTTGAGCCACAACCCACATACCCTGGCGGTGAATCGTGAGGCCGGATTTCTGCCATCTGCACTCAAGCGTCTGGTGTGTGTTTTGAGTGAGCGGAGATAATAATAATAAATAATAATAATCCTTGCATTTGATATAGCACTTTTCACGTCTTCTAGACGTCTCAAAGCGCTTCACAGAATATGCTGTAAAGTGAATTGACTGTATATTGATGACTGGTTTACCAGGGGGAGCGAATGGGTTTGGAAACAACCCTAGATTTCAAAAATTGAAGATTGTGGAGAGCAGCTCCTCAGCAATTCAGCAGCTCAATAATGCAGTGAAACCTGAGCAGTGAAGCAGCAGAGGTGGTGGCGTGTTTGTGAGAGAGGATTTTTCTCCAAGGACGAATGAAAGAAATGCACAATCTTAGCCAGGCTTGTGTCCCACAGTACATGACTAACACAGTACTGTGGGAAATGCCTGGATATGTTTTGTCCTGGAGGATGAGAGCTATGTGGGGAATCTGAAAGGGAGCTGACTGGAGATGAGCACCTGAGTTTTAGAGCTGTCAGCCATGAGCATTCCCTGGAAAACCTTGGATAGGTCACGGAGGTTGAAAGTGTAGTGTGACTTGGCCGGAGTGGGCAGCAGTTGGGATGTGATGGTAGAGTACACTTTAATTGTTGCATTGACAAGAGGCTCATTCAGAGACTGTATATCTTCCTTATTCTCTGTAATAAAACATCAAAATGTCACCGTCAACCTAGCCTCTCCCAACCTCACACACCTACCCTCACACACTTCCGCTCACAGGCCTAACCTCACACACTGACCTCACGCACCTGTCCTCACACACTCGCCCTCACACATCCAAACAGACATTTGCACTACCTGACCTAAGTGACCAATTTAATATCACCTTTGCTACATGTACATTGAATCCTGACCCCATAATTTCGAATGAAAGTTCTCCCACACCGGGACCAGTTTTGTGCTGCACACTTTGAGATCCCAACATTCACACCTGCAGCTTCAATAAACCCCCAAACAACTGACCCAGCCAGCTGCCGAGGATGGTAGAGAAGATCTTCAGTTTGCTGCTGTTCTCCATTTCAGTGAAGGACAAGTAGTTAAAGTGACGGGTGAAGCGGGCAGTAATTGGGTTCCTACCTCCCCCTGGAGGACCCATCGCGCACACAAAGTTAATATCCAGCAGTTGTTTAAAGCTTCCTGTAGATAAAGAACCCAGACATCAGAGGCACCATCACATGCAGCCCTCCCCTTGCTCAGCCCCACCCCGTTCCATTCCCACCTCACCACCCCCATCTCACCAGCCCCCACTTCACCCAGCACCCACCTTGCCCACCAGCTCTCACCTTGCCAGCCCCCACCTCACCCAGCCCCCACCTCACCAAGCACCCACCAGCCCCACCACTCCCACCAGCTCCCAACTTGCCAGCCCCCACCTCGCCCAGCCCCCACCTCACCCAGCCCCCTCCACGGCCAGCACCCACCACCTCGCTAACCCTCACATCACCCAGCACCCACCAGTCCCCACCTCGCCCACCAGCCCCCACCTCGCCAATTTCCACCTCACCCAGCCCCCACCTCGTCCAGCCCGCACCTCCCCAGCCCGCACTTCCCCGGCCCCCACCTCACCAGCCCCCACCTCCCCCAGCCCCCACCTCCCCCAGCCCCCACCTCCCCAGCCAACACTTCCCCGGCCCCCACCTCACCAGCCCCCACCTCACCCAGCACCCACCACCCCTCACCTCGCTAGCCCCCACTTCACCCAGCACCCACCAGTCCCCACCTCACCAGTCCCCACCTCACCCAGCCCCCACCTTATTCAGCCCCTACTTCACCAGCCCACCCTCACCAGCCCCCACATTACCAGACTCCATCTCACCAGCCCCCTCATCCAGCCCCCTCAGTTAGCCACCTCGCCCGGCCCCCACTCACCCAGATGTTGTTCCTATATTCATTTCGAGAAAGGCAACCAAACTAAACCTGGCAACAATAGAGCCATTAGCCTGAGCTCAATAATAGGAAAAATGATCGAGTCAGTCATCAAAAAGGAAGTGGAAGATTACTTATATAAAAATAATCTAATAATTGATAGTCAACATTGGTTAAGAAAGGTTAAGTTTTGTCTCACCATGTTCATATACTTTATTGAGGAGGTGACAGCCCGGATTGACGGGCTATATTGGGAAGCTATATGATGTATTATATTCCATGCACAGGCAACATATTATTCAGATCCTGCCGCTCGTATCCTCTTCCACATTAAGCTCCATGAGCCAATCACCCCATCCTCGTCCAGCTTCACTGGCTCCCCATTTCTCAGAGGATTGAGTTGTAGGTCCTCATCCTCACTTTCAAAGCCCTCCATGGACTTGCTCCTCCCTACCTGTGCGATCCACTGACACTTTACCAATCTTCCCACTCTCACGCACTTGCCTGTTCCACGTTCCCCGCTCTGCCCACTACACCATTCAGGCTTTCTGCCGCCACCCTCTGGAACTCCATCCCGGAGACCCACCACCTCATCCCCTCCCTTGCCTCCTTCAATGCCCATCTCAAGACTTTCCTCTTCAACTGTGCCTTTGGTCATCCTCCCACACCCATCCCCCTTGGCCCCCACCCCTCTAGATTCCAACTCCCAGCTAAGGTGCAAACCTTCGACTGCAGTGCCTTGGGATGTCATCACAATGTGAATGGCACTATGTAAATGCAATCTGTTTTTGTTGTATATCTAGACTTCCAAAAGGTCCAAGAGGAGACTCCTCCACAAACTAGTCACTGGATATCAAGGGCAAAGGTAACAATGGTGGGAGGTACTCAGTTGGTGCCCCGGGGTCTGTACTGGTACACTTCAGTTCCTTGTATGTTAATGGCCTGGATTTGCAGACCTAGTGTAAGATAGAGCCATTTGTATTTGCAGATGACACCAAGTTGGGGAGAACTGTGGAATCAAAGAAGCCAGGAATGGTCCTACAAAGAAAGCTTGATAGGCTATGCACATGGTCTTGTAACTAGCAAATGAAGATTATTACTGATAAATACATATAGGATAAAATATAGGATCCAAAAATAGACAACAAGTACTCTATGGATGGGACAGAACTTGCCAAGGGGGAAGCTGGAAGAGATCTCAGAGTATTAGTCGACTCGTCATTCACTATGTCAAACAGTGTAAGGCAGCAATAAACAAGGCAAACAGAATGATGGGCTATGTTGCTAATCAGCGAGTTTAGATGCCCAGATGTCACACTGTTCAGTGCCCTGGTCAGTTCGCACTGCAGACTACTCTGGTCGAAACAAGATTTTGTTTACACAGAGGGTAATCAATGACTGGAACAGGTTGCCAGGGAGGGTGGTTGAAGCCAGGACATGAAAAAGCAGTTTGATGCTGTGATGGGGTCGTGGTAAATTAGGTGTTCTGGGGCCAGAGACCTTCTTCATCCAAACCAATCTTGTTCAGCAGCTTAATGTGCTGTGGTCAGCTTTTACTTGGGAAGTGGGGTGATCAGAAACAGATGAGTTCCCAGATCAAAAATGTCCAAAGCAGTGCTGGAACTGTGCTCAGTGTATAAGATGAGGTGCAAAATACAGGAGAAGAACACCAGACGTTACCTATCTGCTTCCTGTCGTACCAGCCGCCATGATCCATCCATTGCCGCAGAATCTCAATGGGGGGCTGAGCTCCGTACGTATCCAGGGCCGGCATATTCAGGTCATCGATGAAAAATATAAAATACTTGCTAAGCGGTGGCCCAAACACACCTTTCCGTCTAAGAACAGAAATATTAATCATAAGAACATAAGGAGAACACACAAGATCAGATTGTAACATCAGAGAGCAAGGGTGAGGGAGAGGAGAGCTTCAAACCTACCTCTCCAGCTACTGCACTTAGACTTAGGTGATAGCACTACGCTCTGATGCACAATGCATGCCTGAGAAAAGATAACATCTTGTGTCTGACAAAAGCTGGCAGTGTCTGAGAGAGCTTGGTCTGTAAGCTCCTCCCTGCTCATTCAAGGTGTATCTCTGGGATTCAGATTTGGGTAATACTCGCCTGTCTGTGACAAGGTGAAGCTCTGTGATGAGCACTGATCTCAGGAAGGCTTATGATTTGGGGAGTAAGCTGGCGATGTGAGACAGCTGAGGATACGGGCAGCGAATGAGATAGCAAAACAAACTACAGTGGAAGCCAGTTAGGCCAGACAGATTGAGGACAGAGCAGTGTGTGCGGAGGTGGTAGTGTGTGCGGAGGTGGCAGTGTGTGCGGAGGTGGCAGTGTGTGCGGGTTTGGTAGTGTGTGCGGTGGGGGGGTAACACTGTGCGGGGAGGGCAGAGTGTGTGGGAAGGGCAATGTGTGTGAGGAGGGCAGTGTGTGTGTGGAGGGCAGTGTGTGTGTGGAGGGCAGTGTGTGTGAGGAGGGCAGTGTGTGTGGGGTAGGCAGTGTGTGTGTGGAGTGCAGTGTGTGTTTGGGTGGGGCAGTGTATGTGTGGGTGGAGGAGTGTGTGGGTGGAGGAGTGTGTGTGGGAGTCAGTGTGGGAGGGGGTGGCAGTCTGTGTGGGGGGCAGCATGTGTGGGGGGGCAGCACGCGTGGGGGCAGCACGCGTGGGGGGGTAGCACGCGTGGGGGGCAGCACGCGTGGGGGGCAGCACGCGTGGGGGGGCAGCACGCGTGGGGGGGCAGTTTGTGTGTGGAGGGCAGCGTGTGTGTGGGGGGCAGCATGTGTGGGGGGTGAAGCATGTGTGGGGGGGCAGTTTGTGTGTGGAGGGCAGTGTGTGTGTGGGGGGGTGCGGTGTATGTGTGTGGGGGCAGTCTGTGCGGGCAGGGACAGTGAGGGTGGGTGTGTTTGGGGGGGCACTGTGTGCAGGGGGGCAGTGTGAGTGGAGGGGCAGTGTGAGTGGGGGGGCAGTGTGTGGGGGAGGACGTTTGTGTGGGGCGGCCAGTGTGTGTGGGGGGGGCAGTGTGTAGGGGGAGGACGTTTGTGTGGGGGGGGCAGTGTGTGGGGGGGGCAGTGAGAGTGGGTGTGTTTGGAGGGAACTATGTGTGTGGGGGGCAGTGTGTGTGTGGGGCACACAGAAGGTCGAGAGGGGAGCTGAAGGAGGAAAGGGAGGAAGCGGCGAAGGCACTGGGGGATAGAGTTCCAGAGCCTAGGGGCTGAGAGGCTGAAGGCCCGGCCACCGATGGTAGGGCGATTGGGGCGGGGGACGTGGAGCAGACCGGAGCCGGAGGAACGGAGGGTACGGGCAGGTAGGTAGGGGGATAGTAGGTTGGAGAGGTAGGAGGGAGCAAGGCCGTGAATGGCCTTGTAGGTGAGGATGAGGATCTTGAAATCAATCCTCTGGGGGATGGGGAGCCAGTGGAGGCGAGCGAGGGTGGGAGTGATGTGGTCCCGAAGCCTGGTGCGGGACAGTACACGAGCTGCAGAGTTCTGAATGACCTGCAGCTTGTGGAGGGAGGTGGCGGGAAGGCCGGCGAGGAGAGAGTTCCCATAGTCCAGCCTTGAGGTGACAAAGGCGTGAACCAGGGTTTCAGCAGCGTGAGGGGTGAGGTACTGCCGTAGTCTGGCGATGTTCCGGAGGTGATGGAAGGCGGTGCCAGTTGTGGTGCGGATGTGAGGGAGAAAGGACAGCTCAGGGTCGAACAAAACGCCGAGGTTCCTGACTGGCTTTGAGAGGTGGAGAGTGCAGCCTTGGATGCTGATGGTGTCGGCGCCTGAGGTGCGGAGGCGCTGACGTGAGCCAATCAGGAGGGCCTCGGTTTTTCGCACGTTGAGCTGAAGAAAGTTGTCTCTCGTCCAGGACTCGATGTCGGACAGGCAGCTGTCAGGACATCGGTGGTCGTGGAGTTGAGAGTAGAGGAGGAAAGGTAGAGTTGGGTGTCATCCGCATACATGTGGAAGTTAACCCATGTCTGCGGATGATGTCACCAAGGGGGAGCATATAGAGGGTGAAGAGGAGGGGACCGAGGACAGAGCCCTGAGGGACACCACATGAGACAGTGCGGGGGGTGGAGGAGAAGCCATTCGTCGAGACAAAGTGAAGACGGTGAGAAAGGTACGACCTAAACCACTCAAGGACAGTGCCTTGAAGGTTGAGGTGGGAGGACAAGCGGTGGAGTAGGATAGCGTGGTCGACCGTATCGAATGCTGCCGATAGGTCGAGGAGGACGAGGAGGCAGAGGGAGCCCTGGTCACAGATGGTCAGGATATCATTGGTGACCTTGACCAGGGCAGTTTCTGTGCTATGGGCAGCACGGAAACCTGACTGAAGGGGTTCGAAGAGTGAATGGGTGGAAAGGAAAGAGCGCAGTTGGGAGGCGACAACTCTTTCCAGGACCTTGGAGAGAAAGGGGAGGTTGGAGATGGGCCGGTAGCTTGATAGCTGCGACGCATCAAGGGAGGGTTTTTTCAGGGTGGGCGTGATGGTGGCAGTTTTTAAGGGAATGGAGACAGAGCCAGAGGAGAGGGACAGGTTTACGATGTCGGTGATTTGTGGGGCAAGAAAGTGGAGCTGGGAGATAAGGAGTGGAGTGGGGATGGGGTCAAGGGAGCAGGTGGTTGGTTTTAGGGATAGGATGCGTTTGGTGACAGAGGGTGGGGAAACGGGTACAAAAGTGAGTAGGGGAGGATGGGTAGCAGTCGGAGTGTGGGAGTGAGGGCAGTGAGAGTGGGTGTTTTTGGGGGCACTGTGTGTGTGGGGGGGGGGCAGTGTGTGCGGGTGGGCAGAGTATGGGGCGGGGCAGTGAGTGTGTGGAGGCCAGCGTGTGTGTGTGTGGGGGGGGGTGGGCAGTGTGTGTGGGGGGTAGCAGTGTGTGTGAGGGGGGCAGTGTGTGCGGTGTTGGCAGTGTGTGTGGGTGGGCCGGGTGTGTTTGGGGGAGCACTGAGTGTGGGGGGGCAGTGTGTTGGGGGGGGGGGGCAGTGTGTGTGGGGGGCAGTGTGTGTGGGGGGCAGTGAGTGTGGGGGGCAGTGAGTGTGGGGGGCAGTGAGTGTGGGGGCTGCAGTGTGTGCCGTGTTGGCAGTGTGTGTGGGGGGCAGTGTGTGGGGGAGGGCAGTGTGTGCGGGAGTGGCAATGTGTGGGGGGGGGCAATGTTTGTGGGGGAGGGGGCAGTGTGAGAGGGGGTGGCAGTGTGTGTGGGGGGCAGTGTGTGGGGGGGGCAGGGGTGGGGGGGCAGTGTGTGTGGAGTGGGGGGCAGTGTGTGCGATGTTGGCAGTGTGTGTGGGGGTGTGGGGGTATGGGGTGGGGGGGGGGGGAGTATGTGCGTTTGTGGGGGGGCAGTGTGTGTGTGGGGGCAGTTTGTGCGGGTGGGGCAGTGTGTGTGTGTGGGCAGTATGGATGTGTGTGGCAGTGTGTGTGGGTGTGCCGGGTGTGTTTGAGGGAGCACTGAGTGTGGGGCCGCAGTCTGTTGGGGGTGGCAGTTTGTGTGGGGGGGCAGTGTGTGTAGTGGGGGGCAGTGTGTGTGGGGGGGGCAGTGTGTGTGGGGGGGGGCAGTATGCGTATTTGTGGTGGGTGCAGTGTGTGTGTGTGTGTGGAGGCCAGCGTGTGTGAGGGGGGGTGTGCGGTGTATGTGTGGGGCAGTGTGTGTGGGGGGGCAGTGTGTGTATGGGGGCAGTGTGTGTGTGGGGGGCAGTGTGGTATGTGGGGCAGCGTGGTGTGTGGAGAAAAGTGTATGCAGGCGGGGGCAGTGAGAGTGGGTGTTTTTGGGGGCACTGTGTGTGTGGGGGGGGCAGTGTGTGCGGGTGGGCAGATTATGGGGCGGGGCAGTGTGTGCGGTGGGGGGCAGCGAGAGTGAGTGTGTTTGGGGGCCAGTGTGTGTGTGGGGAGGCAGTCTATATGTGGGGCAATGTGTGTGGGGGGGGCAATGTGTGTGGGGGCAGTATGTGTGTGGGGGGCAGTGTGGTGTGTGGGGTAGTGTGCGTGTGGGGCAGTGTGCGTGTGGGGCAGTGTGCGTGTGGGGCAGTGTGCGTGTGGAGGACAGTGTGTGCAGGCGGGAGCAGTGAGAGTGGGTGTTTACAGTAACAGATCTGGGGCCAGGGGGAGGGGGGGGGGAAGGTGACCAAAGGCGCGGTCGAAAAGAAAGGTCTTCAGCCGAGACCTGAAAATAGGAAGAGAGGGGGCGAGGCGAAGGGAGTGAGGAAGGGAGTTCCAAAGCCTCAGGGCATAGTGGCTGAGTGCACAGCCACCGAGGTTGGAGCGGAGGATTTGGGGGACAAGGAGGAGGCCAGACCCGGTGGAACGAAGGCAACGGGCACTGTTTCGAGGAGAGGTAGGGTGTTGCAGAGGAGTGGAGGAATTTGAAGACAATGGTGAGGATCTTGAAGTCGATCCTCTCTGGGACAGGCAAACAGTGCAGTCTGGGTTGGAGGAGGGCGTTTGAATAATCCAGCTGAGGTGACAAAGGCATGGACCAGGGTTTCGGCGGCTTTTGGAGTGAGGTATTGGCAGAGACGGGCGATGCGTCGGAGGTGGAAGAAAGCGGTGCTGGTGAGGGACCAGATGTGGGGGAGGAAGGATAATTGGAGGTCGAACCTGACGCCTAGGTTGCATATGGGTTCGGAGAGTTTTAGTGGGAGGTCGGGTAGGTGGAGGAGGTGAGAACCGTGTAACTTTAGACACTGACGAGAGCCAAAGAGTATGGCTTCCATCTTGTCAACTTCAGCTGAAGGAAGCTTGCGCTCATCCAGCCCCTGTCTGACAGGCAGCTGACTGAACATCAGGGGACTGGGGGTCGCAAAGAGAGGTGGAAAAATAGAGTGGGGTGTCGTCCGTGTACATGTGGAAGTGTACCCCATGTCTGCGGATGACATCCCCAAGAGGGTGCATGTAGATCAGAAAGAGGAGGGGGCCAAGGATGGATCCTTGGGGTACCCCACAGGTAACCAGGTGAGAGCGGGAGGAAAAGCCGTTTGTACTGATGTACTGCTGGCGGTTTGTGAGGTAGGACTCGAACCAGGAGAGAGCGGTCCCACTGAGGTGGATGACAGAGGAAAAGCGGTGGAGGAGGATGGCGCGATCGATTGTCGAACGCGGCGGAGAGGTTCAGGAGGACAAGGAGGCAGAGGGAGCCCTGGTCACAGATAGAGAGGATGTCGTTTGTGACTTTCACAAGCGCAGTCTCTGTACTGTGGGCGGAAACCGGACTGGAGGGATTCGAAGAGGCAGTGGGAGGAGAGGTGCGCACATAGTTGGTTTGGAACAACGCGTTCTAAGACTTTTGCAAGGAATGGCAGGTTTGAAATAGGGCACTAGTGGCTGGGGTTTGAGGGATCTAGGGAAGGTTTTTTGAGGAGAGGGGTGATGACAGCAGTTTTGAGGGGGCAGGAACTGATCCAGAGGAGAGGGACTGGTTGATGACGTCAGCCAGTAGTGGGCAGAGGGGGGGGAGCTGGGTGACCAGCAAATTGGTGGGGAGGGGGTCGAGGCAGCAGGTGGTGGGTTTCATCGAGGTGTTGGTGGATGAGAGGGAGGAGGGAGAGATGGGGAGGAAGGAATGTAGGATAGAGGTCGCAATACGAGCTGAAGATGGGGAGGGTGAGGGGGATGGAAAGGGTGTGGTGGTGGGTGACAAGAGGCAGGTGGATGGGGCTGCCTGGCGGATGTTCAGTATTTTAGTTGAAAAGAAGTCCATGACCCCCTCGCACTTGGCATTTGATACAAAGATTGAGGAGGCCTGAGGGGGTGCACGGAGGAGGCAGTGGGTGGTGGAAAAAAGGACTTTGGATTTGCTTTTTGACTCCAATATGATGTTGGAATAGAAGGCCGTTTCTGCATGGTAGCTGTGGAGATCCTCGAGCCACAGTTGCTGGTGGACTGTCAGGTCAGTTTTCCGCCATCTGCGCTCGAGCAGCTGGGTTTGGGTTTTTAGGCAGCCAAGATGGTTGTTATACCAGGGGAATCGGGTGGGTTTGGAGATGGTCCCGGATTTCAGGGGGACGAGTGAGTTGAAGGTGGAGGAGAGGCGATCATAGACCAGCTGGACGGCTGCTTCAGGATCTCCCCGGGTGGAAGGCCAGAGGGATAGTATATTTGATGATGTGAGGGTCTTTGTGAGGGTCTCAGGGGGTAGGAGGAGAGAGGGACGTGAGAGGAGAAGGAGATGAGGAAGTGGTCCAAGATGGCCTTGTCCACTATACTAAGGTCGCAAATGTCAAGGGCGTGGATGATTATGAGGGCATGGTCTCATATGGGAAGGGTGAGGTTTAGGGAGAGGAGGGCAGTGAAATCAGAGGAAGGCGTGCAGGCGGAGTTTAGGTGGAGGTTGAAATCGCCCATTATGAGCAGGCGCTCGGAACAGAGGGACAAGGAAGAGAGGAGAGTAGAGATGTCTGTGTGGAAGGAGTTGGGGGGCTTAGGGGTGCGGTAGACCAGGAGGATTTTCAGTGGGAGACAGCGATGGAAGAGGGTGAGGTGCTCGAAGGAGGGGAAGCAGCCAGAGGAGTAGGGGGTAAGACCAAGGGAGGCTTTGGAAATGAAGGCCACCCCACCACCACGTTGGTTTCGACAGGAGGTGTGGTGGAAGGTTTAGCCTGGAGGGGAGGCTTCCACTAGGGGGATGGGGTCATTGGGGGAGAGGCAAGTTTCGGTGAGCCCAAGAATGTTGTGGTGCTCGTCCAGGATGAGGTCGTGGATGGTGAGGGCTTTATGTGAGAGGGAACGGACGTTTTGGAGGGAAATGCGAATGGGTTTGCTGGAGGGAGGAGAGAGAGAGATCCGGAAAGGATTTTTGGGTGTACAGGAGAGATGGTTGTGGAGAGTGGTATGAGTGGAGAGTTGGGGAGGGTACGTATGAGGGACGGGGAAGTTGGGTTTGCCTTAAGGAGGCGGTTTGAGCGGAGGGAGTGAGTGATGGGACACGTGGGGTTGCTGCTCTGGGACAGCCAGTGCTGGGAGCCACGATGGGCCCCAGCAGAGGATGCCCAGGCTGGAGCAGAGGGAAGTGGTGATGGGGTCAAGGAGAGAGAGAAGGCGGGGAGGGCGGTGGGAGAGAAGGACAGTGGGGGAGTAGCAAATAGAGTGAGGTGTGAGGAGAGACATTGAGAGTGGATGGGGAGGCTCTGGTCGGGGCGGCAGCCTAAACACGCACTCAGAGACCGGGAGCGAGCAATCAGCGGGACAGCATCAGCCCTTAGGCTGTGTGGTCACGGCTGGGAGGCAGTGACGGGGCTGCCAAGACATTGTTGTTGTGGCTGTTTAGCGTTGTGAATCGCCCCCCCACCCCCGCACCCCCCGAGTGTTTATGTGGAGCAGTGTGTGTGGGGGGGGCAGCGTGTATGGAAGGAGGCAGTGTGTGTGGGGGCAGTGTGTGGGGGAGGACGTTTGTATGGGGCGGGCAGTTTGTGTGGGGGGGGGCAGTGTGTGGGGGGGTAGCTGTGCATGTTGCTGGGACAGTGTATGTGTGTGTGTTGGGGGGCCATTGTGTGTGGAGGGGCATTGTGTGTGGGGGGACAGTGTGGGGGGGGGGTAGTGTGTGGGGGGGCAGTGTGTGTGTTGGGGGCCTGTGTGTGTGTTGGGGGCCTGTGTGTGTGTTGGGGCCTGAGTGTGTGCGGGGCAGTGTGCATGGGGGGGCAGTGTGTGCGGAGGGTCAGGGTGTGTGCGTTGGGGGACAGTGTGTGTGTGCTTTGGGGAGGCAGTGTGTGTGTGTGGGGGGCAGTGTGTGGATGTGGGGCAGTGTGTGAGTGGGGACCCTTGTGTGTGTGTGAAAGTGTGTTTGTGTGGAGGGCAGTGTATGTGTGTGTGTGTGGAGGGCAGTGTATGTGGGGGACAGTATGTGTGTGCGGAGGGTAGTGTGTGTTTGGAGGGGGAGGTATCTGCCTGTGAGCTCACCTTTTATCTACTTTGCTGTCAATGAAGTCCTGAGTCTGGTTAGCTGATGTCCGAGCTGAGAAGATGAGGAAGTGGGAGATGTATTCCAGCGGCATCTTCTTAAGCAGCTTGTCTGAGATGTTCAGTGTCTTCCCAGTCCCTGTTGGCCCCACACACAGCACCTGGAAACACAGCAATACAGCTCACTGGGCAAGCTGCCCACCCAGCCACACACTGGCCCCCACCCCACCCCAAACACACAGCCCCCCACCACACACACACTGCCCCCCACCACCACATACACTGTCCCCCCACACACACACTACACACACACACTGCCCACCACCCCACACACACTACACCCCCACCCCATACACACACACTGTCCACCCCACAAACACACTGCCCCCCACACACACTGCCAACCCCCCCCCACACATACTGGTCCTCACACACACACTGCCCCCCCCCCCCCACACTGCCCCCCTACCCAGACACACTGGCCCTGACACACACTGCCCCCCACACACACTGTCCCCCCAAAATACACAGAGCCCTCCACCCACACACTGCCCCCCACTCACACTGCACCCTCACACACTGTGCCCCCCCACACACACTGCCCCCCGACACAGCTAAACTGCTGCCCCCCACACACATATACTGCTCATCCCTCCCCTCACATTGCTCCCACTTCACACTGCCTTACACTGATTACCCATTCCCTGCCACACTGCTCCGCTCCTCACTCAGTGAAACACTCAGACCACTGGGCTTCAGCCTCCAGCAGGTGTCTTACCCAACCTTCAAATGCGGGTTCACCTCTGCTCCCAGCTGTTCTTGCACAGCTAGCTCTACATGTGGTCTGCACAGTAACACTTGCCTCAGCGCTCTATCCAGCAACCTGGAGAGCCCCAGAAGCGTGCGCGTGGTTTATCTTTAGCAGAAAGGGGAGTTATACAAAGCTGGGTTGGTTTGCACAGAGCTAGGGCCAAGGATACAAACAGAGGCTTCTCTGCTCAGTGGGTAAATCAGTCCATCAGTGGAAAGAATTGCAAGTCTGTCCATCGTAGTGCTAATCAACTCCTGATAGAAATGGTGATTAGCAGAGAGATCCTAGCCTGCCTGCTGTCACCAGCTTCTTGCCAACACTATTGTATACTTCACACATGGACTGTAATTAACAGCTGGTGGAGACTGACAGTGAAAGTACCGGCTTCTTGTTGCTCAGGAGCATCATTAGGACATGGGAGGTGCGGATGGTGTCCTGCGTGGGAACGATGATGTCAGAGTAGTTGGTGTCCGGGGTGATAGTTACACTTGGTGATGATTTTGTCCACTTCACCCACTGGATCTGCAACACAAGAGGCACGTGACAGCCCCGCTGGCCGAGCTCCCCACATGATTGCTCTCATCCCATCCCACTGCACCTTTCCTATCATGTCCGCACTGGGGCCAGCTTTAAAGAACAGAAGGCCATGCAGCCCATCATGTGAAATATCTGTCTAGTGCTCTCATAAGCTAATATGGATTCGGCCTTGAGCAGGGCATTCCATAGCCAATCAGCTACCTGCAAAAACATTCTCATGTCCACCTTTGCTCCTTCCCCTCAGCTATTCCAGTGAAACACCAATCTGTACCTTAATCAGCAGTTAGAAAGTTCTCCCAGTTGATCTGTCTTCTTGCCAGCTTTCTACCTGTTTTATGTGCACTGCTTCTTCTCCTTGAAATTTGCCCTTTTCCAGTCAACAGTTGAACTGTTCCCTCTTTTTCATTGTTTACATCAGGGATGTCCAAACTTTTGGCTGCTGCAGGCCGGATTCCCTATTTGAGAAAGGTCCATGGGCCATATCCAATCCAAGACCATTTCCAACATCCCAACTTTCACTCCCTCACTCCCTGGTGAATGTCCTCCTAGGGCGGTGGCAGGAGCTAGCAGATTGGGGCACACAGCGCAGAAAGTGGAAAAAGTACCGACCGTTACTGCAGTCTGTCAGGAAGACAAGCGAGTCTCTTATCAACCGGGCCCTTAGCAACTGCATCGGCTCCTGTCACAGCAGATGGTGACCTGCGCGGCTAATTGGGAGAGAAAGGGATTGCGAGTGGGGGAGAGGGGCAGAGAGAGCGGGAAGAGGAGAGAGAGGTGCGGGGGAGAGCTGGACCTGCTCTCTCTCTCACACACATACACTCTCTCTCAATTACTCTCTCTCTTTTCCCTCTCACACTCCACCTGCGCCCCCCCCTCCTCCCTCTCACACACTCTCCCTCTCTCAATTATAGAATCATAGAATTGTACAGCACAGAAGGAGACCATTCGGCCCATCGTGTCTGTGCCAGCTCTTTTAAAAAAGCTTCCAAATCAATCCAACTCCCCCACTCTCTTCCCATAGCCCTGAAAACGTATCCCCCCAAATAATTATCCTCTCTTAAAAGTTCTGATCGAATCGTCTTCCACCATCCTTTCAGGCAATGCATTGCAGATCAGAACAATTCCCTGTTAGATAACAGGTACTACTAATGAGCCATTTGGTGAGCAAAGAAACTAAGCCTAAAGTGAGAGCATTGTCTCCAGGCAATAGCCCCAACTATTTAGCAGCAGCTGCACACCTCTATAAATCTCTCAACGCAGAAGTGTGTTCACAAACCCAGACTTCAGCTTAAACTTCCCACAACCTGGAAAAAGGAGATTTACCAGGATGGTACCAGGAATGAGGGACTTCAGTTATCAGGAGAGGCTAGAGATGCTAGGATTATTCTCCTTGGAGCAGAGAAGGTTAAGGGGAGATTTAACAGAGGTGTTCAAAATTATGAGGATATTCGATAGAGTGAACAGGGATAAACTATTTCCACTGACGGGTGGGTCCAGTGGATACAGATTTAAAATAGTTGCCAAAAGAACCAGAGGGGAGGTGAGGAGAAATGTTTTCACACAGCGTGTTTTTCGGATCTGGAATGCATTGCCTGAAAGGCTGGTGGAAGCCAATTCGCTAACAATTTTCAGGAGAGTAGATAGATAGATATTCGAGGACGACAAATTTACAGGGCTTTGGGAAGAGAGGGAAGTAGTAGGATTAATTTGGACAGCTCTTTCAAAGAGCCGGGACGCACACGATAGGCTTAGAAAGGTAATCTTCCATATCCTTTCTAATGATTGATTCCATAATTTTTCCTACTGTTGAGCTCTGGCTCAGTCGTTGCTAGGTGTTGTCTTGTCAGCTTGTGAACATGTGAACAACATCTGCTGCTTCCAGTTTGTTGGACCCTCCCTCATAACGTGTTGTCAGTGCGCACAATCATATGCCTTGTCCCCAGAAGTCCCCTGGCTACAGTCCTTTGTTAGTTTTAAACCCTTTACGTCCATCCAGAATCTGAGCCTCCCTTATATACTGGACCTTAAACAATGTTTGCTGGGTGTGGGAGTAGGATTTTAGTAGTTATTTAATATGGTTGCTGTCTCTAGTTCAATCTCTTTTCCCCCCCATTTAAATCTGTTTTAAGTAGTTTTAACATTTTCCATGACTACCTTCTTACTGTTGCAATGTTGAAAGAATTTGGCAGTTATGTTTTACACTTGTTGCTGTGGCCTTTTCCAGTTCTCTCTTGGTTTCCCTAATCTCTATTTTATCCTCTTTGTGTACAGTCTTGCGTTCAGCCCAATGGTCACCATCTCCTTTCTCCTTACGAGCTTTATAAAGTTTCCTTTTCTTGTTTATCTTTTTATTTTCCTATTGATCAATTTCGGTGTATATTTGTTTATTTTGCACTTGGGTATATACTTGGTCTGCGGGCAACAACAACAAGATTACATTTGTATAGCGCCTTTCACTTCGGGAGGTGCTGGACAGTGCACAATGTCCATGTATCCTTAACTAATCTGTCCTTGAGCATTGCCTCCCAGTCTGACTCTGAGTTAAGCCTTGCACCCTGATGTTTGCCTGCCTAACATTCTACAGGTGAATTTGGTTACATGATGGTGCTGTTTCCCCATGTCACACTGAATGTCTCTTACTTCTTGAATGATATCCTCGTCATCATCTGCCTTGCTTATGATTCCAGCTTCGTCCAGTCTGTAGTCAAACACCAGGCCCTCCTCAGGGAAGCACAGCTCAATCTACCCCAAAACAGTGTTTCACATCAAGTTAATTTTCAGAAATGTCAACATTAGCAAATCACATAAGGTTTGACACAGGCCCATCCCCAGAGACAATCTCTGTGGGCAGATCAGCATGGGTTTACTCGGCCTCCTCTCACTGCACTTGCAGTCGTTGAAAGTTTTTTATGGCTGATGACAGTGAGTCGCTGCATAGACGTTGCTCCCACACCCTCTGCACCTCTGCTCTCTCCTCTCCCTTCAGCTCATCTCCCCACTTCATCAATTTAACATATTAAACAAATAAATGGTGAGGTTAGGAGAAACGTTTTCATGCACAGAGTAGTTAGGATGGGGAATGCCCTGCCTGAAGCAGTACTTAAGGCAGAATCCATATTTGCCAGCAAGAAGGAACAAGACAAATACCTTAACAAGAGTTAGCTACAGGAGTGTGGGGTTCACTTCACGTAATGTCAATGTCAACATTAGCAAGTCACCTAAGGTTTGACATTTCATGCTGTTTTAACTTAAAGAGGACTGAAAGGATTGCTCTTAAAAGAGCAGTACAGACCCAATGGGTTTTCTGTGCTGTAAATTTCTGTGATTGTGTCTTGCCTTCCCTTATCCCCTTATCTTATCTCCCATTCTCTCCTCTTTCATCTCTTCAGGCTAGTAAATCATTGGTGAGAAAACTGCTGGAATTGATTTTAAGGCAAAAATTAATAACAACAACTTGCAGCCTCCACGCCAGGCAGCATCTCAGAGCGCCTAACAATGGTGGAGCCCAAGGCCGAGTTAGTGGAGGGGGAAGGTGAACCGGAGGCGTAGTCGAAAAGGAAGGTCTTCAGGCGCGACCTGAAAATGGGGAAGAAGGGGGTGAGGCGAAGGGGTTGAGGGAGGGAGTTCCAAAGTTTCGGGTGGAGCGGAGGTTTCGGGGGACGCAGAGGAGGCGTGGGGAGAGGAGGTTAGAATGATAGGGGGCTGCTAAGGAATGGAGGGATTTAAACACTAAAGTGAGGATCTTGAAGTCGATCCGTTTTGTGACAGGGAGCCAGTGGAGTTTGGCAAGAACTGGAGTAATTGGGGTACGAAGATAGTTGTGGGTGAGAATGCGGTGGCGGAATTTTGAATGAGCTGGATTTTGTGAATAGGGGAGGAGGGGAGACCGGTGAGGAGGGCATTACAGTAGTCCAGCCTAGAGGTGCCAAAGGCATGGACAAGGGCTTTGGCAGCTTTTGGGGTGAGGTATTGTCGGAGACAAGCAATATGGCGGAGGTGGAAGAAAGCGGTGCTGATCAGGGACCGGCTGTGGGAAAGGAAGGATAACTAGGGATCGAACCTGACGCCTAAGTTGCGCATGGGTTTAGAGAATTTTAAGGACAGGTCGGGTAGGTTGAGGAAGTCAGAACTGTGGGATAGAAGACGTCGATGGGAGCCAAATAGTATAGCTTGCGTCTTGTTGACATTTAACTGCAGAAAATTTGCGCGCATCCAGCTCCTGATGTCTGACAGGCAAGCTGACAGAACATCGGGGGACTGCGGGTCGCAGCTAGAGGTGGAAAAGTAAGAGTTGAGTGTCATCCTCATACATGTGGAAGTTAACCGATGACATCACCGAGAGGGAGCATATAGATGAGGAAGAGAAGAGGGCCAAGGATGGATCCTTGGAGTACCCCGCAGGTGACTGGGTGGAAGCGCGAAGGAAAGCCATTTGCAAAAATGTAGTGCTGGAGGTTTGTAAGGTAGGACTCGAACCAAGTGGATGATGGAGGAGAGGAGGTGAAGGAGGATGGTGTGATCGACTGTGTCCAAAGGGACGGAGAGGTCCAGGAGGACGAGAAGGCTGGTCACAGATAGAGAGGATATCGTTTGTGACCTTCATGAGCGCTGTCTCTGTACTGGGTTGAAACCGAACTGGAGGGGTTTGAATAAGGTGTGGAGGGAGAGGTGTGCGTGAAGTTGGTTGGCAACAATGCATTCCAGAGCTTTGGCAAGGAAGGGCAGGTTTGAGATAGGGCGTTAGTGGCTGAGGTTGGCGGGATCGAGGGTAGGTTTCTTAAGGAGGGGGGTGATGACTGTGGTTTTGAGGGTGAGTGGGACTGATTCTACTGATAGTGTCTGCCAGCAGTGGGCAGAGGAGGGGGAGCTGAGTGATCAGCAGTTGGTTGGCAGGGGATCGAGGCAGCAGGTGGTGGGTGTCATTGTGATGATGGTGGATGAGAGCGAGGAAGGGGAGATGGGGGCAAATGAATGTAGGATGGGGGCCGTGGTAGGAGCTGAGGATGGGGTGGGTGAAGGAGATGGAATGGGGCTGGTGGTAGGCGACACGGGGCAGAGGGATGAAGCAGCCAGGCAGATGTTGCCAATTTAATAATAATAATAATAATCCTTGCATTTGATACAGTGCTTTTCACGTCTTCTAGACATCTTAAAGCGCTTCACAGAATATGCTGTAAAGCGAATTGACCGTATACTTGTGGGCAAAACCCGGCAGCCAATTGCGCACAGCGGTGTCCCACAGACAGTCGTGGATTGAAAATGACCAATTAAATTTTTTTGTTTTGGAGGGATTAGGCGTGTGGAGTAAGGAAACTTGCCCAAGGTTTCCCCTGCCTGGAATTGAACCCAGGTCTCTTGCTTGCAAGACGAGTTCTCTAACCACTGAGCTACAGGAATCTGTGCTTGGGAGCTTGGGAGATGAGGGCCACCCCGCCGCCACGTTGGTTTGGCCAGGGGGTGTGGTGGAAGGTGTAGCCAGAAGGGGAGGCTTCCTTTAGAGGGAAGGAAGTCCATGACCTCTTTGCACTTGACTTTAGCTGTGATGATTGAGGGTGCTTGAGGTGGCGCATGGAGGAGGTGGTGGACGAATTGCTTTCCCTGTGGTACTCTTATTCCGCAAGGGAATATGCGACCGCTGAGAATTTTGCACTACAACCTTAAATATTTGCCACTGTTGGTCTACATTTTTACCTCTTAATCTTATTCTCCAGTCTATTTTACCTAAACCTTCCTCATACCTACAAAATTAGCCCTATTTAAATTCAGAATACTTGCCTCGGATTTAACTATATCCCTCTCTAACAATGCAGAATTCAATCATTTTGTGATCACTCTGCCCTAGAGAATTCTTAATACCTACACTGCCAACTAGCCCTGTTTCGTTACACAAAACAAGGTCTAGGATGGCCTGTCCCCTAGTTGGTTCCTCGGCATGCTGCTCTAGAAAGTTATCTCTCATACACTCAATGAACTCTTCTTCTGACCTACTTTTGCCGATTTGGTTTTCCCAATCTATGTGGAGATTGAAATCACCCACTATTATCGCTTTACCTTTCCTACATGCTCCACTGATTTCTTGATTGATACCCTGTGCTATATTGTGATCGCTGTTTGGGGGTCTATAAACCACTCCCATTAATATTTTCTGCCCTTTATTATTTTTTATTTCCACCCATATTGTCTCGACCTCCTGGTCATCGGATTTCAGATCCTTCCTCTCCACTGCTTTTATTTCATCCCTAATTAACAGGGCTACCCCCCACCTCTTTTCCCACAGTGCCTATCTTTCCTGTAAACTGAGAACCCTGGAATATTTAACTCCCACCCTAGATCTCCTTGTAACCATGTTTCAGTGATGGCTACTAGATCGTACCCATATGTGTCTATCTGTGCTTTTAATTCGTCAGTTTTATTCCGAATGCTTCATTTAGATATAACATTTTTAATTTCCTACCATTTCCTCTACTCTCTGATTCCTTACCTACTTTGCCAAGCTTCTTACCACTAGTTAACATATTCCTATTATCTGACATGCTATTCTGCACTGTCATCTTTACTTTTTCAAATGCTAACTTATGGTTACAAGTTTAAATTCCTATTTATTTCCCTGTTAATTCGGTTAGCTAGGACATTTGTCCCAGCCCGATTTAAATGCAGTCCTTTTCTCTGAAAGAGCTCTCTTTTCCTCCAATACTCGTGCCAATGGCCCATAAAAAGAAACCCCTGAGTTCCGCACCACTCTTTTAGCCATGCGTTCAAGTCCTTAATTTGTTTGTTCCTGTACCAATTGTCGTATGGTACAGGCAGTAGTCCCGATATTACCACCTTCGATGATCTCGACTTCAATTTGGACCCCAGCTCTTCGAATTCCCTTCTCAAGTCATCTTGGCCTACTCTACCAATGTCATTGGTACCTATGTGAAGTCCCACCAACAGATCCTTGCCCTCATATTTTAAATTATCCTCTAGCCATGCCGAGACATCCTTCACCCCGGCCCCAGGGAGGCAACAAAGCCTTTGGCTCTTCTGGTTGGTATTGCAGATGATTGTGTCTGTCTGCCTAATAGTCTCATCCCCAATGACGACAACCATCCGCTCTTTTGCCCCAGTGTTAGAGGTAGTTTTTCCTTCCACCTCACCGGCTTCCTTGTCGATACAAGTTCCAAGGATCTCATACCTGTTGTTGAAGGTTAATGTCGGATTTACTATCACTCTTTCCATTGTCCCCCTGGCCTCCTGACTGTCCATTGACCTATCCTGACCATAACCAATGCTGACTGTATATTCCCTCAGGGGAGTGACTGGCTCCAGGATGTAGCTCCCTTGCCCGCCTTTAGTCAACCGAAAACTTCGTCCCTCACTGCTCGCGACTCCCGCTCAGCTTACCTGGGTTTCTCGACACCCTGCCGCTCGCTAGCTCGTGACTCTAATAAGCATCTGAGTACAAAGATTGTGGAGTCCACTCCCAGAATAGGAACCCATAGTCTGGGCTGACATTTGGGGAGCACTGTATTGTTGGAAATACCGTCCTCTGGACGGAAAGTTAAACCAAGATCCCCTTTGCTGATGAATTCTAAAGATCCCATGTCATGACAAGCTGTGCAGAGGAGAGTAACAACAATAACAACAAAATTACATTTCTATAGCGCCTTTCAAAACAAGGATGATCCCAGTGTTGGAGGAATGAGCTATAAGCAACAATCAGACAAGCTGGAGCTCTTTCAACAACAAATTTACATTTATACAGCATTTCATGTCAACCTTGAAAAGATATATCTCACAGGGTATCTTAAAGAGTTATCTTAAATATGATTTAAATGGGATTGAGAATGTAAACTCAGCACAGTATTTTTGGATGCACCAAGGTAGTACGGAACCATAGACATTTACAGCACAGAAGGCAGGCAGCCCATCGTGCCGTGTTGCTCGGTGAAAGAGCAGTCCTTTACCTGCTCCCCACCTACGCACCTGACCCCTGCACTTTACTGTGTTTTCTATATTGTCATTCAGGAGGACGATAAAGATCCTGTAGCACTATACAAAAAGAAGAGTTTCTCCTGGGGTCCTGGCCAGCAATCCCCCAAATTAAATTGGTCATTCATTTCGTAGCTATTTGTGGGACATTGCTGTGTGCAAAATTGGCCACCGTGTTCACTCACAGAATACACATTATATCCTGTAATGCACTCTGAGATGTCTTCCTGACATGAGAGGCACTGTATTAAATGAAAGTATTATATATTTTTTTAATTTGGAATCAGTTAGATATTGGAGGAGGCTAGGGGAAAGAAGGCAGAAGAAACACAACAAGTTGCATTTATATAGCGTATTTCATGTTGGGAGGACTGCCCAAGGTATGGGACAGTCGAGGGTTTGCACCTGAGCTGGGGGCTCAATTCTGGAAGGGTGGGGGCCAAGGGTCTGTGGGCCAAGGGGCTGTAGGTGGGTAGATAACTGAAGGCTCTGTCAAAGATGAAAGTTTTGCGATAGTCTTTGAAGGAGGCAAGAGATGGAATTCCAGAAAGTGGGGGCAGAAAGGCTGTAAGCCTGACAGCTGATTATGTACATTAAATCCAAGCCTAGGTTTGCCATCCTGTGTGGCTAACAATGGTGTCTGACCCACTTCATTATTTACCTGTTTCAGATTTAGGAGGAACTTCACGCAGAGAAAAGTAAGAATGTGGGACTCGCTGCCTGAAGCGGAGGTTGAAGCATTTCAGGGGAAGCTGGACCTTCACTTTAGGGAGGGGGAATAGAAAGGTTTGGGTGGTTATAGTTGGGATAGTGGCCTCTTTCCATGTTGCGCAATTGTTGTAAATCAATGAAAAATAATCCAGAAACAAACTACTATCAATACTCACTTTCTCCAGCTCCATCTTTTCTCTCATCCACTTGCTGAAGAGAACCCAGCTTTCAGCATCACCGGTAGCACCAACACTCCAGACCAGCGAAAAAATGAACCAGGGCTCGATCAGATCCTCCACACGGTTCATCTTCTCATCCGGGAGACCCCTCTCACCCTGTTGGCAAACACCAGAGACCAGATTACTGGTGGTCATTGTGTTCTAAATGATACAATGGATGAGACTCCACATCTCGAGTTTAACATCTCTAACTGTCACCTCGTGTCACACCACGTTTCACAGTGACCTCTAGAGGCCTATGTGGGCCAAGCACAATACTGCCAGTGGCATCTCACAGCTATTACAGTCACAAGAAATAACACTGACACAAACTGACACTGGCACAAACACTGACATTAACACTGACACTAACAGTGACACTAACACTGACACTAACACTAATATTTACACTAACACAGACAGTGATACTAACACTGACAGTGACGCTGACATTGACACGAACACTGAGATTAGCACTAACACTGACAGTGACACCAACACTGACAGTGACACTAGAATCTAGTGTCTGTGCCGGCTCTTTGAAAAGAGCTTCCAAATTAATCCCACTCTCCCGCTCTCTCCCCATAGCGCTGCAAACTTATCCTCTCCAAATACTTATTACTTCTCTCTTAAAAGTTGTTATCGAATTGGCTTCCACCACCCTTTCAGGCAATGCATTCCAGATCCGAACAACTCACGGTGTGAAAAAATTTCTCTTCACCTCTCCTCTATTTTTTTTAACAACTATTTTAAGTCGGTGCCCTCGGGTTATTGACCCACATCCAGTGGAAATAGTTTCTTCTTGTTCACCCTATCATGCTCAGGCTCAGGATGTTTCCTGTTCCTGGATGCCAACTTACTGTTTGAACAACTTCAGGCAGGGCCAGGGAGAATCACATCAAATCACTTGTCTGAATGACCTTAAGAAATGACTAACTGACCTCTTTTCCTATGAAGGGGTTGAATAAGCAGTCAATGAGCTTGAGGAGGCTGAAGGTAAGGTTGCTGTCCACTGACGTAATCACCTCCCTCACTGACATCCGCACAAACTTAATGGAATCCTGTAATGAAGGAAGATTGCACCTGAATCTGAAATTGCTTCACAGTGACACCCCTTTACCATAGTGACAATGTGACATTGTCTGATCCATTTGATGCCTGAAGATGGGAGGGATTACTGACCAAGTTGACACCAAAGTGTGTGAGCAGGAGAAGTCCATTGCCCAACCTGTATCCCCAAAAGCTCCACACCTCCCAGCAGTTTTTATAAGCTCACTTAGTGAATTTGAATGGTGGCTTTTTACCTTATTGGTGCTGGGTCTGAATCCAACCAAAGGGTACATAAGTACATACAAATTGCTGATGAAAGAAGACCAAGGTCCACCCAGTTCACCTTCCACTATCCTGGCAGTCACATGCACATGGCATGTCCCAAATTATATACAGTACTGTATCCCAAGATATTATTTCCTAAAAGAAATCTATCTAATTTGCTTTTGAAAGAATCAACATTTCTGCTTACACTGTCTCCCTAGGAAGCATGTTCCATACGCTTACCACATGCTCACTGAAGTAGTGTTTAATAATAATCCTTGGATTTGGTATAGCGCTTTATCACATCTTCAAGACGTCTCAAAGCATTTCACAGAATATACTGTAAAGTGAATTGACTCTATATTTTGTGGGTGAAACGCGGCTGCCAATTGTGCACAACAGTGTCCCACAAACAGTCGTGGATTCAGTGGTCTATAGTTTCCCATCTTTTCTCTCCCACCCTTCTTAAATAGTGGTGTTACATTTGCAATCTTCCAATCAATGGGAACCGTTCCAGAATCCAGAGAATTTTGGAAGATCAAAGACAAGCCATCCACTATCTCGGTAGCCACCTCTTTTAAAACCCTAGGATGTAGGCCATCAGGTCCAGGGGATTTATCAGTTTTAAGAACTGACAATTTACCTAAAACCATTTCTTTACTGATATTAATTTCCCCAAGTTGCTCGCTAACATCTTGGTTTCCCCTCTATTCTCGGTAGGTTTTCAGTGAAGACAGTGAAGATGAAGACAGTAGCAAAGTACTTGTTTAATGACTCTGCTATGTCTTTGTCCCCTACTATAATTCCCCCCCATCTCTGCCTCTAACGGACCCACATTTACCTTTGACAGCCTCTTCCTCTTTACATATTTGTAAAAACTCTTGCAGTCTGTCTTTATGTTCTTCGCTAGTTTGCCCTCATATTCCATTTTCTCCCTCTTAATCACATTTTTGGTTCTCCTTTGTTGATCCCTAAAGCTCTCCCTATCCTCGGGTTTACTACTCATCTTAGCCGTTTTATAGGCTTCTTGCTTTAACTTCATACTTTCCCTAACTGCGCTAGTTAGCCACGGTTGGGCCACCTTTCCCGTGGCATTCTTGTTCCTCAAAGGAATACGTGCTCGCTGGGAATTTTGCACCATCTCCTTAAACGTCTGCCATTGCTGGTCTACTGTCAAAACCTTAAGTCTAATTTCCCAGTTTATTTTAGCTAAATCCTCTCTCATACCAGCAAAGTTGGCTCTGCTTAAATTTAAGACCTTTGCTTCGGACTTAACTACTTCTCTCTCTAACTTGATGCTAAATTCCATATTATGATCACTTTGCCCTAGAGGAGCCTTAAGTTCCAGTTTGCTGATCAGCACTGCTTCATTGCACAAAACAAGGTTATCATGATCTACGTTATTTAGTCCCTTTAGAATCTGAATAACATTCCTCTGTCCCTGCCCCCTGCTGTGTGTGACTCAATAGTTTCAAGCAGCTTGTGGTGATCATGAGCCCACAGCAATTTGACTCAGTGCTACACAATAGCCTTACTGGGGCCTGGGGCAGCATGCCCAGAATTCAGAGCTGAATATATCAGGATTTTTCAAGGGAACAATGATACATCATTATTAACGTAAGGCTCAATCTTAGTGGTTGAAAAGAGTGTAGTCAGCAGATTGAATAACTGTGGGAAGATCTACAGAAGAAGAAGGGATGTAAAACACTGTTTTACCAAACACTGATTGTCCAGTAATTTTGTTGTTGTTTTAGACATTTCCTGATGACCCTGATAAACTAGAGGAATGTAATGGTGGATACACACGGGACGTGACTGTAAGGACAGACATGCTACTTTTCAGTTTAAATTGGTTAAAAAAAATTAGATGAGCTTTCTCCAAATGACTATTCAATTCTCTCCAAATCAAGGAAAATGTATTCCCATCATATCTTTCCTCGCCGAATTCTGCACAAGAATGGAAGATGTAGGGAGATAGGACAATTCCTTTTTTGTCAGCTGGGTGGACACCCATCACTGTGCTTAAAGAGTAGCCAAACCAGACTGAGAATTCATGTCAATCTAATCCATGTCATCATCAAATGGAAATGTAATGGAATGTGCACTCTCTCCCCAGAGAAAAACAAATAGCTTATCTAAACCTGGAGACTATTGTTGGGTAACTGTTGGGAGTCTAACCAGCTAAAACTGCATAGCTTGCCATTGAGTGCACTGACTAGCAAGTTTAGAATTGTTTTTACAGAATGGAAGATGTAAGCTTTGTTGCAAAAAGTCAAAAAAAAACAAAAGGTAAAATAAACATCAGTTGAAAATTACTAAAAACAAAAGTGGAAACCTGGAAGCATTACAGTGTGATCGGGAGCAGAGAACACCACAAGCAGGAGACGCAGAAACTTTCTTCGGCAAAGTCAGAATGTGGATGTGAGATTGGGTGGGGGTGTGGGGGAGGGGAGGGTGTCCCCAGTATATAAATGACTTGCTGTTGTGTGATTGAGGCTGTGTGAGTGTTACTCACTGCTCAGTGGATTGTGTGCAAAACGCTGCTGTTTGCCAACAAAGATATTGACTACATTTGGCACAGTCTACTTGTGAAGTATTTTGAGACATTTTGCTGTAAAATACAAGCTGCCAGTGTAGAAAACGTACTGACCTCCAGAAACCTGTTGAATAGAGAATCCAACTTGTCCAGGTAGCGTTTCATCACCTTGGGAATGGCTTTCAGCCAACACTCCACAAAGGGCCGGACCCCCAGGATACTGGGCTCCAGGTAGACCATCCCACAGCGGGACACTGTGGCCGGAGAGGCCACCGCGAGGTCCTGCACCTCGAACATCATTGTCATCACCTTAACAGAAAAGGCTCCGTCATAACTCCCATCAGCAGCGATCCACAGCCACTCCCCCACACCTCTCTCTCCCTCTTCCCCCACCTTTCTCCCCACCCCGTGCTCTCAGCTCTCAGCTCTGATCCCACTGTCTCTGTACCTCAGACAGTTTCATGATCTCTCCTGAGCTCAGACACAGTTTCTTGTTGTCGTCCAACACTGTGTTCATATTCTCGATCCACACGGCATCCACCGGCCCATCAAACATGTACCACTTCTTCACCTGGTCCGTGGCCGCCGCTCCGGCTCGGATCAGACATGACAGGATGCCATCTGTCCTGCGTCAGGAAGTGCAAGACACGAGTTCACACTCACCCGCACCGCTCACACTCATATCCGCGCTTTCACACCAACTCCACTCACCCGCACCGCTCACACTCGGTCGCTCTGCTTACACTCACACCTGCTCTACTCACATCAGTTCTGCTCACACTCATTCACTCTATTCAAGCTCACACCTGCTCTGCTGATAGCTCCACTCACACCCACTCAGCACTGCTCACTCCCCCCAGCGCCGCTCACAGTGCTCACACTCACCTACAGATCACAGATCACATTACAGTACAGGGCTCAGTCTGTACAATATAATGAAGCAATGAATTGGCACAAACTAATGTACTAACCATTCATGAGTTAAAAGATCGAACTCTCCATACAGCTGCCCCATAGTGATGGACTTTGGGTTCAGAACAAAGACATTTACAGCCTCGTAATTGCCGCCGCTGACCGATGGCTGTCCTTTCAATGCTGTCATCGCCGCTGCAAGAACTTCATAGCACTAAGTGAGGAGAGGGAGTGGTGTGAATGCTCGTCAGACAGAGTTTGGAGAGTTAGAAACATGGGACCCGAATGGCACTGTTCCTGCCAGTTAATTAGATCCTTTAATCCTATTTTAATACCAACCTCTTCCTCTTCACGCCCTTCTGCCTACAGAATAAGTCCTGCAGGGTATCGCCTCACCCGAGAGGACCTGGGATTTATTCGCCCACAAAATTTCCAGTCAATTTACTTCACAGCATATTTTGCGAACGCCCTTTGAGACGTCTCATAAGACAACAACAAAATTATCTTATAGCGCTTTTCACGTCGGAGAGGACGTCCCAAGGCTCTGGACAGTCAGTGTTGTGGACCCGAGCTGGGGATGGGGTAAGAGGGCAGGTGGGGAAGGAGGGTGATCAAAAGCATGGTCGAAGAGGAGGGTCTTGACATGGGTCTTGAAGGAGGCGAGGGAGGGGTCGAGGCAGAGGGACTGCGGGATGGAGTTCCAGAGGATTGGGGCAGAATGGCTGAAGGCCCGCCTGCCAATGGTGGGGCGGGCAAGGCGGGGGACATGAAGCAGGCCGGAGCCCACTGATTGGAGGGAGCGGACGGGTTGGTAGGGAGTAAGGAGGTCGTAGAGGTAAAGGGGAGCGAGGCCATGGAGGGCTTTGAGAGCCAGGATCTTGAATTGTATCCTCTGTGTGATGGGAAGCCAGTGGAGTCGGGCGAGGACGGGGGTGATAGGGTCACAGAGCCTGGTGCAGGAGAGGACATGGGCTTCAGAGTTCTGGATGATCTGCAGCTTATGGAGGGAGGAGTTGGGCAGGCCAACAAGCAGGAGTTTGCATTGTCAAACCTGGATCTCCCATCTCCCACCTCCCTTTTCTGTCTAAGATCCTTGAGAGAGCCATCACCTCCCAGCTTCACTCTTTCCTCCTACTCCCTCCATGAGCTCCTCCAATCTGGTTTCTGTGCTTCCCACAGCACAGAAACTGCTCTGGTCAAGGTCACAAATGACATCCTGACCAATGTGACTAGGGCTCCCTCTGCCTCCTCGTCCTCCTCAAACCCTCCACCGCCTTTGATACTGTGGACCACTCAATCCTCCTCCACCGCCTCTCCTCCCACCTCATTCTTCAAGGTTCTGTCCTTGACTGGTTCAAGTCCTACCTTTCACATCGCCTCCACTTCGTCTCTGCAAACGGCTTCTCCTCCAGCCCCTGCATTGTCTCGTGCGGTGTTCCTCAGGGCTCTGTCGTCGGTCCCCTCCTCTTCACCCTCTACATGCTCCCCCTTGGTGGCATCATCCACAGACTTGGGGTAAATTTCCACATGTCATGCGGATGACATCCAATTCTACCTCTCTGCCTCCACCCTCAACTCCAGGACTACTAGCGTCCTGACCGACTGCCTGTCCGACATCAAGTCCTGGACGAGGGGCAACTTTCTCCAACTGAACGTCAGCAAGTCCTAGGCCCTCCTGATTGGCTCGCGCCAGCACCTCTGCTGCCGAAACCCTCACCCATGCATTCGTCACATCAAGGCTCGATTATGGAAACTCCCTTCTCATCGGCCTTCCCAACTCTTCCCTTCACAAGCTGCCGATCATCCAAAACTCTGCAGCTCGTGTACTTTCGCGCACCAGGCTCCATGACCCCATCCTCGCCAGATTCCATTGGCTCCCCATCCCCCAGAGGATCGAATTCAAGATCCTTGTCCTCACTTTCAAGGCCATCCATAGCCTTGCCTCCTTCTACCTATTTGACCTGCTGACTCCCTACCAACCTGCCCACTCTCTTCGTTCAGTGGGCTCAGCCTGCTCCTTATCTCCCACCTGACCCACCCTACCATCGGTGGCTGGGCTTTCAGCCTCCCTGCTCCCACATTCTGGAACTCCATCCCACAGTCCCTTCGCCTCATTCCTCCCTTGCCTCCTTCAAGGCTGGTCTCAAGACTCTCCTCTTTGATCATACCTTCAGTCACCCTACCACCTCTACCTTCCCTCAACCCTACCTCACCCCTACCCCATGCTCTGGTCCTGACCGCTGACTGTCCAGGGCCTTGGGATGTCCTCCTGATGTGAAAGGAGCTCTATAAATGGAATCTTGTTGTTGTTGTTGTTGTTGTATAAATGTAATTTTGTTGTTCTTCTTGTTGATGTTATGAATGAGTGTATGAGGGTTTCGGCGGTGTACCATGGTGACTTTCGTGAGTAGGAGATGGTTTGGGAAGTGAGGGGAGCAAGGGCATCGAGAGTGGTGGAGAGGGAGTTGTGGAGGACTGAGGAGGATGGGTCATTGCGGGAGGAAACCCAGAGAGGGGGGGGAGGGGAGTTCAGATAACTCCAAGGCACTGAAAGGAGGGGGGGAGATTTTTTTCCAGTGGTGATAGATGGAAGTGGGTTGGGTGGCGGTAGGTAGAAGGACACCATATCAAATGCAAGGATTATTATTATTATTATTATAGCTCCCCGGGGCTGTGCGTTCCACACTCGAGCTACCAATTGGGTAACCAAATGTCTTCTGATTCTTTTTGATCCTCTCTGGCTCTGATGTTCACCCTGTCACTTGTTCAGATCGTCCACCAGAGGGAGGAGTCGTCCAGCTTGACAATTATACATCACTTTAAATGCCTCAATCAGATCTGCAAATGATCTCTGCAGCTCTCATACAATCACAAACATCAACAGGGTCAAAGGAGGCCATTGGGTCCATTGAGTCTGCCCTGGTTCTCAGAGCGAGTTCATTTAATCCTCCCGCCTATCCTTCATATATCTGACTCCTTCTCTCTCGAAACCCACAATTGCTTTCACCACCTTAGTGGGCAGGGTAAGGCATTGGAGGTAGACCATCTCAACAACAAAAATTTGAATTGATCCAGCAGAAATCTCACCAGGCTCTGCGATTTTAGTTGGTTAAAAGGAGTTATTCCCAATGCAAACTCTGGAGTTTGCCTTGGCTCTTATCAACCTGTGCCTAATACTCTGAACTGTGGTAAGCAGGGTACATTCTTCTGGGGAGATAGAATGTATAACATTTCAAAAACTGGAATTGTATTGGTGGCATATGTGGAATTCTCAGTTTAGTTTGGATACTTGAGCACGGTGATGGGTTTCCGCATGTGAGACCCAAATAATCAAAAAAAATTACCCCTTCATTGCCCTATTTACCCTCTTTAATGCTTTATTACCCCCCTATTCCAATTTGTGTACAGCAATGTCCTATTCCCAGTGATGGAGGGAGTGACCAATTTTTGTTTGGGGGATTTGGGCCAGGACACCTGGCAAAAATCCCTTCGCTTTTTGAATAGCGCCATGGGATCTTTAACATCCACCTGAACAGGCAGACAAGACCTCGGTTTAACATCTCATCCCAAGGACAGCACATCTAACAATCCAACACCGCCCAAGCACTGCATTGGAGTGTCATCTTAGACTATGTGATTCCAAGTCCCAACGTGGGGCTTGAACCACAACCTTCTGACTCAGAGGTGAGAGCGCTATCATTGTGTCAGGCTGACACTATTTACTGTCCTATTTACACCGTCACTGCCATGGCCTCCCTTAGGTAAGTAGTGTCCTAGGCTCTCTCAGGTCGTATTGTGGGATCGCCCGATTAACGTGTCAGCCTAGGGCAGGCCTGTTAACAGGATACAAGGCAGAGCATTTCTGCAGCTAGTTTCTACCTTAGTCTTTCCAGAGCCAGATGGACCCACCAACATCAGTCCATGCCGAACCACCGTGGTCTCATACAGCTGAATGCACTTGGTCACGAAGGCTATGGGAGGGAAGAAGTGAGGCAGTTTTACCCAAAGCTGGTGTAGGAGAACTCTGCTGCCCCTCAGCGCTCACACGTGATACAAACATTTCACCATCACTCTCAACCACACCATCATCCACATAGCATTCTATTTACATTCGTTTTCATTACAATGGAACATAATCTAGGAACTCAGTGCTGAGTTGGTGACTGGTACGTTGCCTGTGTTATCTGTAATTAGTGACATCCAGAACATTTCACTCACTGGTACGACAGGCCAATTGCACACAACAGTGTGACCAAATTATTATTATTTGAATGAATTATTATCCCTGGAAAAGCGATCCGCCAATCAACTAACAAGCAGTTCCTACTTATTGCTTGGTAAACAGAGGCGTGTGGAGTAAGTAAACTTTTTTTCACGTTGGAGTGCCCAACATTTTGCCCTGCCGGGAATCAAACCCAGGTCTTCTCGCTTGTGAGGTGAGTGCTCTAACCACTGAGCTACAAGACTCCACAACAGGATGTATATGGGACAACTATGCAAGGTAACTGACCCAGGGCCAAGGCCCTACCTGTGCTACCCTTTGGGTGTGTTAGCCTGGCTCAGTTGGTAGCATTCTTGCCTCTGAGACAGATGGTTATGGGATCGAGTCCCCACGTCAGGAGTTCTATGTCATAGAATCATAGAATTATACAGCACAGCCATTCGGCCCATCATGTCTGCGCCAGCTCTCTGAAAAGAGCTATCCAAATCAATCCAACTTACTGCGATCTCCCCATCCTCTGCAAACTTGTCCTCCCCAAATAATTATCTACTTCTCTCTTAAAAGTTTCTTATCGAATCGGCTTTCACCACCCTTTCAGCTAATGCATTCCAGATCTGAACAGCTCACTGTGTGAAAATATTTGGCTTCACCTCCCCTCTGGTTCTTTTAACAACTACTTTAAATTGGTGCCCTCGGGTTACCAATCCAACCGCCAGTGGAAATAGTTCCTCCTTGTTCACCCTATCGAATTCCTTCATAATTTTGAAAACTTCTATTAAATCTCCTCTTAATCTTCTCTGCTCCAATAAGAATAATCCCAGCTTCTCCAGCCTCTCCTGATAACTGAAGTTCCTCATTCCTGGTACCATCCTGATAAATCTCCTTTGCACCGTCTCCAATGCCATGACATCCTTCGTAAATTTTGGTGCCAATACAGTCTCTAGCTGAGGCCTAACCACTGTTTTATAAAGGTTCATCAGAATTTCCTGACTTTTGTATTCTATGCCCCTATTTATAAAGCCTAGAATTCCATATGCTTTTTTTACAGCGTTACCTGTCCTGCCACCTTTACTATAAGATTTACTTTTATGAACCCCCAGGTCTCTCTGTACCTGCACTGCATTTAAGATTGTATTATCTAGCTTATATTGCCTCTCCTCATGCTTCCTTCCAATATGCATCCATTCGCATTTCTCCACATTAAGTTTCATCTGCCATGTGTCAGCCTATTTCACCAGTCTAAGCCTTCCTGCAGTCTGCTACTATCCTGCTCACCGTTTACTACTTTTCCTAGTTTAGTATCATTCGCAAACTTGGAAATTGTACTCCCTATACCCAAGTCCAGGTCATTTATATAGATCAAAAACAGCAGTGGTCCCTGGGGGACACCACTGCACACATCCCTCCGGTCAGAAAAACAACCGGTCACCACCATTCTCTGCTTTCTGTCTCCCAGACAGTTCTGTATCCGCTGCCACTGTCCCTTTAATACCGTGGGCTTCTATTTTGCTCACAAGTTTCTTATGTGGCACTTTGTCAAACACCTTTTGTAAATCCATAAAACTACATCAACTGCACTACCTTCATCCACCCTCTCCGTTACTTCATCAAAAACTCTATCATTTGTTAGACATGGTTTGCCTTTAACAAATCTGTGTTGGCTGTACTTTACTAACCCATATTTTCTAAGTGAAAATTTTATTTTGTCCTGCATTATAGTGTCTAGAAGTTTCCCCACTACTGACATTAGGCTGACTGGGCTGTAATAATAATATTCCTGAGTTTATCCTTCTGCCTGTTTTTGTACAGGGGAGTAATATTTGTAACTCTCCAGTCCTCTGGCACCATCCAAGGAGTATTGAAAGATTGTGGCCAGAGCCTCCGCTATTTCCACCCTGACTTCCCTCAGTAACCTAGGATGCCGACCATCATCTAGGATGCATCCCGTTCTAGGTGACTTCCTCCTAATGTGAAAGGTGTGTCAAATGTCAAGATTATTATCAACAAACAAAATTGGCAGTGATCAGAGCCAGACATTTGAGGGCATAGGGTTATAGGAAGTAAACACAAAACGTGTGAGAAAAACACGTCAGGGCGTATGAGCAGGATAAGGACAGTTACCCAAGTAAGTGTTCTGTACACAAATGCATGTAACATACAAAATAAAACAAGTGGGTTAGAAGGACAAATTCAGCTTAAAGATTATGATGTAGTACCCATTACAGAACAGAACGATTACAGAGACCTGGCTATAAGTCTCTCAGTCTGCTGGATTTCCACTTTTTCTTGCATTAGTGTAAGACTTTTGTTTTAGTTTTGATGCTGCTTCTTACCTCATTTGTCGATCATGGTTGTTGAACTACACAAGTGGAGCTTTTGTGTTTTAGGGGTATGTACTGGTTTTGCATTGCACCAAATTCTTATTTGATTACATTCCACTGTATGTCTGTGGGTTTACCTATTAACAGTTCAGCCCAGTTTACCGTAATTCATTTTATTCTCATCACTTCAAAGTTTGCCTTGCTTAAATTTAAAACTTTGATTTGCGAATCTCCCTTCTCCCTCTCAAAACTTATATCAAATTCAATCACTAAATATGGTCACTATTTGCAATATATGAGGTATACAGCAGCATCAAACTAAAACAAAAGTCTTACACTAATGCAAGAAAAAGTGGAAATCCAGCGGATTGTGTAGATGGGAGCAGGAAGATACAAAGGGACTTCGATAGATTCAGTGAGTGGGCAAAACTGTGGCAGATAAAATTCAATGTGGGGAAGTGTGAGGTCATCCACTCTAGCAAAACAATATAGCAAAAAAAGCAAAACAATATGTTACTCCACTAAGAACTGTGGAGTAACAAAGGGATTTGGGGGTTCAGGTACACAAGTTCACAGGTACAAAAAAAGTTACCAAAAAGGTTCATGGGTTGTTGGCCTTTATCTCAAGAGGGGTGGAATATAAAGGAGAGGAAATGATGCTTCAACTGTATAGAGCCTTGGTCAGACCCCATCTGGAGTACTGGGTTCAGTTTTGGGCACCACATCTCAGGAAGGATATATTACCTCTGGAGGGGGTGCAGTGCAGATTCACCAGAAAGATATCAGAACTTAAAGGGTTAAATCATGAGGACAAATTGTATAAAGTCGGTCTCTATTCCCTTAAGTTTAGAAGGCTGAGTGGTGATCTGATTGAGGTTTTTAAAATAATAAAGGGATTCAATAAGGTAGCTATAAAGAAACTATTTCTTCTGGTGTGGGAATCTACAATAAGGGGGCATAATCTGGCTGCGGATGCTGCTTCCATTCACATTTTCAAGGTGGATATTTGTTAGGTCAGGGCATTACGGGATATGGGGCAAGGGCAGGTACTGGATTTGAGATACAGATCAGCCATGATCTTATAAGATGGGGGGGAACTGGTTTGAGTGGCCGACTAGTCTACTCCTGTTTCTATGAGCAATGCTCCAGAAGGCAGCATGCATCTCAATCTCAGGCCACCCTTATATCCCCTACTCTACAAGAACAGGAAAAATTTAAAAGGAATGTCAAGTAGGAACAGTCGTGACCTCGTCAACAGTCACTTCTCAGGGCAGCTCATAACTTTTATATTTGAAGACCTGAGTTATGCAGTGTTACTGCAGAAGGGGGTCAAAGGTTATACAATATATTTGGAGTCCTATAGCTCAGTGGTTAGAGCACTCGCTTTGCAAGTGAGAGACCTGAGTTCAATTCCAGGCAGAGCGAAACCTTGGGCAAGTTTCCTTACTCCACACACAGCCCTAATAATAATCCCTCCAAAACCAAAACCAATAATAAATTGGTCATTTTCAATCTACGACTGTTTGTGGGACATTGCTGTGCGCAATTGGCTGCTGAGTTCGCCCACAAATATACAGTCAATTCTCTTTACAGTGTGTTCTGTGAAGCGCTTTGGGACATCCTCCCGACGTAAATCCAAGGATTATAATTATTATTATTATTATTGTGTATGATACATTGTATACTAACACTGTGCCTTCCACATCAGGAGGATGTCTCAAAGCACTTCACACTGCGAGCTGGAGGGAAGGTTCATGGGGAGGACCTCGATGAGGGAAGAGATGAGCCATAGTGACTCCGGGCGGGGCCTATCCTACCTACCACGAAGCAACCTGGTGCTCGTTGAGTGAAGGACATGGCTGGGCTGGTAGTGTTGAAGGAAGGCTCAGCGGTAGGGTACAGTGAGATTCTGGAGCGATTTAAAGGAGAAAACAAGATCTGCCAGTGCAGCTGGGCGAAGATCAGGTTGATAGGCTGGTACTGTAGAGGACACGGGCTGCAGAATTCTGAATAGTCTGCACCTTTGGTAGGGAGAATCTGGGGAGTCCGGCGAGCAGAAGGTTGGTGTATTCTAGCCTGCACATGCTAAAAGCGTGGATGAGGGGCTCGGCGGCCTGAGGGGAGAGGTAGTGGCAGAAGTGGGCAATGTTCAAGGAACACACCGAAGTTCCCCAATGGCTCCATGAGATGGAGTGGGTATTCCATGAATGTTGTTGCTGTCAGCTCTGAGGCGAGAAGGTACTGAAAGGAGCCAAGCAGGAGAGCCTCTCACCATTCTTGTAAATCTAGACTGCAAACTCACCATCAACATCCTTGAGATTTTTGGACAGGCATGTCTTGCGAATGGACTGTTCCAGAATGCCGTAGTCAATGGGTTCTTCCTTGATTTTGGGAAAGAGGTCTGACACAATACCATTGAAGAGCTTAAGGTCGTCTTGCAGGAACTTGGGAACATTCACGTCACAGATGGCTCTCAGACAGATCAACTCCTGTAACATAGCAGCCTCAGGTGAATTTTCCACATTCATTGCCTCTGTCTCACACAGTCTCATGGCCACATGGAAAAAGGCCTGGAATAGATACTGTCCCTGTCCCCCTCGATGCCATCCAACATATCATTGATAAACACATCGCATAAGCTGGGTTACAATAGACAGCCTTACCCTCCCTTCGAGAAGGATGGGCTCAGCGAGTCCACCGTCAACCCTTACACGGATCTTGGAGCTGGAATACACAATCCAGATAAAATCCACAATTGGCCATGTACTCCCATGGCTTCCAGTTTCATTATAACAATCCTTAATAATCCTTGCATTTGATGTAGCAGCTTATCACATCTTCTAGAGGTCTTAAAGTGCTTCACAAAATATACTGTAAAGTGATTTGACTGTATACTTTGTGGGCAAAACGCAGCAATCAATTGCGCACAGCAGTATTCCAAAGAGCGTCGTGGATTGAGTGACCAAATTATTTTTTTTAAATTTGAAGGAATTATTAGGCCCGGAAAAGCGATCCACCAATCGACTAACAACCGAGTTCCTACTTACTGCTGGAGTAAACAGAGGCGTGTGGGGTAAGGACACATGTCCAACGTTTCGGTCTTTTGGGAATCAAACCCAGGTCCTCACGCTTGCAAGGCGAGTGCTCTAACCAGTAAGCTATAGGACTCCATGAAGGTAAAGGCTTCATGAGATACCAGGTCAAATGACCACCATCAACCGGATGTCTAACACAACAACTACTTAAATTTATATACCATATTTCACTCAGGGTAGCATCTCAGAAAATTTAACACTCCGAATCCCAAAAGTGTGCAAATTAGAATGGCAGTTCAATGCATCCCACCTATCCATGGAAATTCCCTTTTCTGGAATGGGATATATTCTCTAGAGTACAGAAGAATTAGAGGAGATCTTATTGAAACATATATGATACTTAAAGGGCTGGATAAAGTAGACACTGAGGGTCTGTTTCCCATGGTAGGAGAATCTATTTTTAGTACCCATCTCAGTTTATTCTTATCTTATCAAATTTCTCTACCCTCTCCTCTGATACTGTGGCATTGGCTGTATCCTCTTCTTTTGTGAAGACAGATGCAAAATACTCATTCAGTACATCAGCCATGCCCCCTGCCTCCACAATTATTATTATTATTATTAAGAAGATTTCCTCTTTAGTCCCTAATTGGACCCATCCTACCTCTTGACTAACCTTTTATTCGTTATATGCTTATAAAATACCTTAGGGTTCCCTTTTGTTACCCATTTATCTTTTCTCATACAATCTCTTTGCCCCTCTTATTTTCTTTTTCAGTTCTCCTCTGTACTTTCTATATTCTATTTGATTATCTTCTGCATTTTGGACTTTTGGACCTGATTTATCATAAGCCTCCTTTTTCTGTTTTATTTTAACCCCAATTTCCTTATTCATCCAGGAACGTTTGGATGCCCTATCTTTCCTCTTTGTGGGAATGTATTTGTTCTGTCCCCGAACTATCTCCTTGAAGGCTTCCCATTGCTCGTTAGCTGTTTTACCTGCCAATCTTGCTTAACAGTCCAGTTGTCAGTATTTACTATACCTATATATAGTATTATATAGAGTCTATAAATAGTATTATATGGAGGCTATATAATACAGCCCTTCCCTCTCTATTATCCTCTTTATTCTATTACACGCCTGCCTTGTTGCTCTAGTGTAGATGACAGTGTTGATATATTCCATCTGCTGCTCAGTGGTTAGAGCACTCGCCTTGCAAGCGAGACACCTGGGTTCAATTTCAGGCAGGGCGAAACCTTTGGCAAGTTTCCTTACTCCACACGCCTGATAATAATCCCGCCAAAAACAAAAACAATAATAAATTGGTCATTATCAATCCACGACTGTCTGTGGGACACTGCTGTGTGCAATTGGCTGCCACATTTCACCCACAAATATACGGTCAATTCACTAGAAGATGTGAAAATCGCTATATCAAATGCAAGGATTATTATTATTATTTTCTTACCTCGTCCATCAGAGGATTTTCTCTCTTCAGGTTACCTGCTGCCGAGATCACAGTTTTCACAGCTCGCATCCCAAAGTCATAGTGGTCCTGGGCACAGAACACAGTGTGAGCAGAAATATTCCCAGCTTCCCATTCTTAGGGAATAGGATTAGGGGTGGATTCACAGATGATAATCTCAGGATTCCAGCATAACATATTGATAAACATCATTGAAAAAGGAATTGGTCAAATATTTGAAAAGGAAAATCCACAATAACAGGGCAGAGAGCGGGAGTAATTGGAGAGCACTTTCAAATGGTGTCAGCACAATGGAGCAAATTGCTTCCTTCTAGGACACAGAATCATATTATTTAACACAGTATCCCGTACCTGTGAGAATGCTAATGCTTGTAACAATCAATTCCCCTGAGGGTGTCAGACCCGTATCAGTCCTGTGTCTCCTTTCCGTTGTCATTTTACTCTGCTAACTTTGATTTGTCTTTCTCACTCCCAGCTCATGCGTATAAATGTCCCCTCGCTGCCCGATTCCCTTCTCTACCAGAACATTGGTGTCATATTCTGTCCCTCCTGAACAGCACCCTTGTTCCCCAGAAATGACCCCATGTCCCAGGAAAACTCTCCCACTAAAGCACCCCTCAAGCCACGTGTCGACCCCATGAATTCCTGCTTATTGGAACTTACAGTGTGAGCGGCATTGACTCCAATGGGCTATTGATTTGTAGTCTGGTGCTCTACCAATGTGCCTTATCCCTTCTGTTGAACTTTTATTTACCTGTGAGCTGAGTTGTTCAGAGGAAAGCTTAAAAGTTGTGGTGATTTTCTTTGCCAGGACCTTGGCGTTGTTGAAACCGAAGGAATAGAGTGAGATCTCTGCGATCATGGCATAGTCGGGCACCATCATGGCTACAGGTCTAAACAACGCCTGGGACAAACCACAGTCATCAGCCATCTCAGTCGAAAGCAAGGAGGTACGGGAACCATAGCACTGTGCTCAGCTGTGAGACCCAGTGTGAGACAATACAAGCCCTGGGCCGGCCATGACAAGGGGCGTGTCACCCAGTGTGTGTGTGTGTCACTCAGTATCTGTGTGTTGTGTGTGTGGGGGGAGGGTGGGGCTGCCTGTGTATGTGGGGGGGGGGGGGGGGTGCTGTCTGTGTGTGTGGGGGTAGAGGCTGCCACACTTACAGGTTACCCACCAAGGAACTTGCTCTTACCTTCAGATTATCGGGCAGCTCCGTACGGCCAGCATAGCCTGGGTTCATAGTAATAAATACAGCGCAGGAAGCAACCAGGGCTATCTCAATTCCCTCAAACATGAATCGATCAACCTGTAAGGAGCAAGAGCATTAACCAGAGGCTGGCAACAGAGACCAAAGTGACCTGGGATTTAGATAATAATAATCCTTGCAATTGATATAGTGCCTTATCACATCATTGAGACATCTCAAAGCACTTCACAGAAAATACTGTAAAGTGGAATGACTATCTTTTGTGGGTGAAATATAGTAGCCAATTGGGCACATCAGTTTCCCACAAACAGAATGACCAAATTATTACCCCCGAAAATGATCAATCGACTAACAACCGAGTTCCTATTCCTTTTCCCCCTCGCTTTGCATCAAGTTTCCTCTTAAATACATGGATGCTCTTTTACTTTTCATTCTCACCATTCCTGCATGTAGAAGTGGCTCCTAAACGCCATATTAGATCTCCTGCTGGCTAGCTGATATTTATTCCTGGTAATGGAGTATGCAGTCCACGCAGTCTCTCTCTCGTTCTCTTGCTTTCTTTCTAGAAGCCCCCTGTGTCTCTAGGTAATCCCTTGGCGCTATTAGAAAAAAGAAGGGAGTTCCTTCTGGTGTTCTGGCTAACAATCCCCCAAATGAAATCAGTCACTGACTCCATGGTTCTTTGTGGAACAATGCTGTGTGTAAATTGGCTGCAATGTTCTCCCTCCCTCCATCTCTTCCTCAGTTATGTTCAGTCACTCACCCTCTGCTGCTGAGCTTTCTGGATTGTAGTAATCTGCTGTGCCACCACTGACAAGACCTCAACATCTATACGGTTAAACTCATCGAAACAGGCCCAGGCCCCAGAGCTGAGGAAGAAGCAGAAATCCACAGTATATATACTGATGTCTGTCAGCTTGTTTGACATATACAATATATAATAATGACAACAACGTGCATTTATATAGCCCAGGGGTTCCAGTCAAATACTGCCTGCCTGCTCGCATCGTGCAATCAGGCCAGAATGTCTTTGGTGCTGAGGGTCCCAAGTATTCTTAATCTAGCTTTACCTATGACCCAAAGCCCTAACGGGTAGGGTGGTCCTAGAAGGACAAACAGCAGGAAAGCTTGCCAGACAGCACTCTCAATGGCAAGTTATGCAGTATTAGCTGGTTAAGATTCCAGCAATTACCCTAATGCCAACTCTGGGGTTACCCAGTCATGGTTCCTGCCTACCTGTGCCTAATACCCTCTAGAATTACTTAAACAGAGTGCATCCCTCCAGGGAGAGAGTGCACATTCTATCCAATACACAGAAATTTCTATGTGTAGGTAGGATACTCTTAAGCCTGATAGACCAAAAAAACAGATTATGGATATATAAGGAAATATTTTGGCTGTGAGGTGATTTGAGGACATGAATTTCAGAATATAGCTAGGAGCATGAAAGGGAAAATTAGGAAAAACATATCCCAGAGGAAGGATAAAGGAGTCAATTGTAGGAGTATTTAATCCTGCATTTGGAATAGTGCCTATCAGGTCAGTGGGACGTGAAACACTATATACACTATAAAGTGCAGTGACTGTGTCTTTTGCTGGTGAAAGCAACAGCCAATTTTTTCAAAGGAACGTCCCACAAACAGGCATGGAATGATTATTCGCCAGAACAACAGGAAAAATACCCTTCTCTTTTCAAATTGTGTCATGAGATCATTAATGTCTATCTAAATCACCAGATGGGTCGTCAAATTAATTCTCGCATTGTTGGAGATGCATTTAATTAATGCGACTGACGGCACCTCCAACAATGCAACGCTCCCACAATTGCATTGGAATGTTATCATAGAATCATAGAATTATACAGCACAGAAGGAGGCCATTTGGCTGATCATGTCTGTGCCGGCTCTTTTCAAATCAATCCCACTGACCTGTTCTCTCCCCATAGCCCTTGTCCTCCCCAAATAATTGCCCTCCCTGCAAACTTGTCCTCCCCTAATAATTATCTACTTCTCTCTTAAGAGTTGTTGTCGAATTGGCTTCCACCGCTCTTTCAGGCAATGCATTCCAGATCCAAACAACTCACTGTGTGAAAACATTTCTCCTCACCTCCCCTCTGTTTCTTTTAAGAACTATTTTGGGTTACTGACCCACCTCCAGTCGAAATAGTCTCTCCTTGTTCACCCTATCAAATCCTCTCATAATTCTGAAAACTTCTATTAAGTCTCCTCTTAACCTTCTCTGCTCCAACGAGAATAATCCCAGCTTCTCCAGCCTCTCCTGATAACTGAAGTCCCTCATTCCTGGTACCATCGTGGTAAATCTCCTTTGCACCCTCTCCAATGCCTTGAGATCCTTCCTAAAATGTGATGCCCGGAACTGAACACAGTCTCCAGCTGAGGCCTAACCAGTGTTTTATAAAGGTTCATCATAACTTCCTGACTTTTGTATTCTATGCCCCTGTTTATAAAGCCCAGGTCTCGCTGTTCTTTCACCCCCTTTAAGATTGTACCATCAGCTTATATTGCCTCTCCTCATTCTTCCTCCCAAAATCCATCACTTTGCATTTCTCCATATTAAACTTCATCTGCCACGTGTCTGCCCATTTTACCAGTCCGTCTATATTCTCTTGCTGTCTGATACTATCCTTCTCAGTGTTTACTACTTTTCCTAGCTTAAACTCTGAGACTTTGAGCTCCAAATCCTGACATAGGACTTAGAATCTAAACATTCTGGCTCAGAGGTATGCTACCAACTGAGCCAGGCCGACACTACACTTTCCAGTAAAATCTTGTGAAGCACTTTAAAATACAATATAATTTATCATTATTAATAATTAAGAGGTGAGGGAGTGAGTTGGAGGGATTCTGGATGGAGTTCCAGAGCGGGGCAAACTGGAAGCATTGAGACATTTCAATGATGTAATAAAATGCTTTGTCAAACGAAGGATTATTTATTTTAGTTTTCATCAGGGTACGGATGATTTGTCAGGGGTGACTGGTAGAGTAGAGGGGAATGGTGTATTTGAAAAAGAATTGGACAAGCACGTATGGGGACAGAGGTATTAGTCTCCTGTGACCACAGTGCTTGTCAGTATGACTGTCACTCAGAGACATATGGCCCAGCGCTGTGGTGGTCACACAGGAGACTGCTTTGCTTCCTGTTGTGAGTGTGTCTGTTTTACACTCAGTATTGTCTCAACAACAACAATTGCATTTATATAGCATCCCTCACACAGGGTAGCATCCCAGAGCACTTTAATGCTTCAGCATCATAATGGAGAGCTATACAATAAATTATATATCACATCGGGAGGACATCCCAGCAAGAGGTGTCCTGAAATGACCTCCAAACTCTTACCTGGCCAAACCTTTGAAAAATTTCCCCATTGCCAGGAAGTCCAGCTGGTCAGAGCAGTTGAAGACCACAGTTTGTATGGCAAGTGCTTTCCCCAAGTCTTTAGTGGTTTCTGTTTTCCCAGTCCCCGCAGGGCCAGCAGGAGCACCCCCAAATTTCAGGTGCAGAGCACCAGTCAGTGTTAAGTAGCACCTGGAATCAAGAGAGAAAAACTAGAAACATTCAACACCAGGTTGAAAGGCTTCTCCAAGGCCTCTGGAGTAGCTAAGGAGTGAGTGGTTGAGCCATTCAGATCCAATGGTCCACATTAAGATTTCACAATTGGAATCTGATGTTGTTTGTTGCCTAGGTGAGATCTGTTATGAATGAAGTGTGGCTCATTTCCAGCCAATATCCGGCTCCTTTTTCTTGGCTCTCTTTGCATTCAGTACATTATCTGCACCAGTTATATTTGAGGGTTACCTTCTTGCCAGACTGTAGAGCTTCAATCTCTAATCTTTCCTGACTGCTTGTCATTCACTCTGGAATCAGTCATCTTAAGATTTTCTAAAGTGCAGCTTGTTGTGAGGGGATATGGAGCCTGAGCGGGATATCCGGGTCTGGGGGTACAGCCTCAGCAGGAGCTTTGAAGCTCTGTATTCTACTATCTGTAGCTTGGCCACTGACATAGATGCTTTTTCCAAGCATCCCTCCACTAGCATTCATTGGGGGATGCAGTTTGTGATGTGTTAATCGTAATAATCCTTGCATTTGATATAGCGCCTTATCATGTCGTTGAGATGTCTCAAAAGGTCTTCACAGAATATATTATAAAGTGTATTCTGTGGGAGAAACGCGGCAGCCAACAGCACACAGCAATGTCACACAAACAGTTGTGGATTGAATGACCAAATTTCTTCCTTCCTACCTACCTATCGTTTTATCTTTTAATTTGGGAGTATTATTATTCGTGGGAAGCGATCCACCGATCAACTAACAATCGGGTTCCTATTTACTGTTAGGTAAACAGAGGTGTGTGGAGTAAGAAAACTTCGCCCTTTCCAGGAATCAAACCCAGGTCCTCTCGCTTGCGAGGCGAGAGTGCTAACCACTCTGCTATGGAACTCCAAATTACTCTTAATTCAGTCTCTATAGAATAGCAATTGATATGAATTGGGAGGAATCCTAAAACATTTCTGTCATCAATTGGTATTTCTGTCCTCACAACATCTGCATTATGGAAATTCTGATGTCAAATAGACTCAAAGGTGGTGGATAAAAGGAGTGCAATGCACCAAAGTGCAGTGGTTAACAAGGTCTCTGCACTGGCTAATGGAGGAATAGGTTCAAACTCATTCTTGTTTAAATGGATATATTAAGAATGAGAATGATTACACTTTTGGTTTCCTCTTATTAGCCCAGGAAAACAGAGGAAAAACAAATCCAAAGAGATAGCTGGTACATTGACTCATATAAATGCTCATATCAATGACTCATATCAATGACTCATATCAATGCAGGCTTCAGGCTGAAGAGTGAGATACCTGGGTTCAATTCCAGGCAGTGTGAAACCTTGGGCAAGTTTCCTTATTCCACACGCCCAATAATAATCCTTCCAAAAACAAAAAACAATAATACATTGGTCATTTTCAATCCACGACTGTTTGTGGGACATTGCTCTGCGCAATTGGCTGCTCGTTTCGCCCACAAATATACGGTCAATTTACTTTACAGTCTATTCTGTGAAGCACTTTGAGACGTCGAGAAGACGTGAAAAGTGCTATATCAAATGCAAGGATCATTATTATTGTTATTATTAAGAAGAGAAGAGTTTATTAGAGATGTGATAAAATACTAGAGATTTAGCCAGATAAAATGTTTAGGCTCTTATTGGTGAAGGGACAATTATTGTTGAGTTGCATCAGATCTTACCTTCTATAGTGGATTCAGAGTATGAGGGGAAATTGCATAAACACCTCCTTTTTCAAAATAACAGGACACCCACCTGCCAGGGATATTTTTCATAGAATAGGGGCCATTCGGCCCACCGTGTCTGTGCCGGCTCTTTAAAAAGAACTATACAAATCAATCCCACACCCCAGAACCCTGCAAACTTGTCCTCCCCAAATAATTATCCATTTCTCTCTTAAAGGTTGTTATCGAATCAGCTTCCACCACCCTTTCAGGCAATGCATTCCAGGTCCGAACAACTCGCTGCATGAAAACATTTCTCCTCACCTCCGCTCTGTTTCTTTTAACAACTATTTTAAATCGGTGCCCATTAAATGCAGTGGAAATAGTTTCTCTTTGTTCATCCTATCAAATCCCTTCATAATTTTCATAATTTTGAAAACATCTAATTACTGAATGTAGTTTCTGATTAGTATGCAAAAATATGACAATTAGTGACTTACTGGGGAAGCAAGTCCCTGCATACCTTAGCTATCAAACAATTCCAGGATAACCTTAGAGTAGGTCAGCCTCCTATGAATGAGGACATAATGATGGCTCAGATATGAGAATGTCCATTCACGAGTAAATGAGCCATGAGTGTTATCTTGTATTTCAGCCACCAATGGGTAAGCAAACTGCACCATGATAAGAGGACTCTTATTTAATTGTATTTATTTATTTTAAACACTAAACTCTCTGTTTAGTGACCTATTGAATCAGAGATACAGTGACTTGCTCTGTACCTTTGAATATCTACTTCCTATAAGTCCAGTTTGGGCCTGTGTTGGCTGCTCATGCTGCCAAAAAGCATGATTGACATTAATGACAATGAGGGCCGTTAAAGTAAGAAGCTCCTCAGCACATTGTGGTCCTTGGACAAATAGAGAAGATCCAGAGCAGACGACTCAGGCTAACCACACCAGGTGATCCAACTGAACGCTCAGGAATATCTCATGCAAGAACCACTGCTGTGACAACTTAAAAATTATTTAAAGGATTTAGATGTAAAAAATGATGTGAATGACAAATATCTTGAGGAGACCAGCTTCATGAAGAAAAACATAATTAAAACCCTGAGCTCCCAAAGTAAGTGTGCTGCTACTAGCGGTAAATCATGTGGTGTTAACTAAAGCTAGTACACATTGGCTCTCCTCTGCACTTTTCCACACTGAGTACTGTGATAACATGATGCAGATAACGTACAGGTTGAGGTGAGGGGGGCGCTGACGGGAGCCAGTCAGGGGAGCCTCGGTCGTATTGACGTTCAACTGAAGAAAGTTAGCTCTCATCCAGGACTTGATGTCTGACAGACATTCTGTCAGCGCAGCAGTAATTCTAGAGTCAAGGGTGGAGGCAGAGAAGTAGAGATGGGTGTCATCCGCAAGCGAGACGACCTGAGTTTGATTCGCAGGCAGGACAAAGCCTTAGGCCTCAATCCACAACTGTTTGTGGGACACTACTGTGTGCAATTGGCTGCTGCATTTCACCCACAAATATACCTTCAATTCACTTTACAGTACGAAGGGCTTTGAGACGTCCAGAAGACATGAAAAGCGCTATGTCAAATGCAAGGATTAGTCTTATTATTATTATGTAAAAGGACAAACACGCACAGGAAGAACAATGGTGAATGGGCATTTGAGAGACCACTGTTTCATTTCCTTGTTTCCTTGTAATTCCGCTCGCAGCACTCCATTCTGGGTCCCTCCAACTCGCTTCCTCCCTCACCTTATTCAATGTATGTATGTAATAACATTTGTATAGCGCCTTTCACGTTGGGAGGACGTCCCAAAGCACTGGACAGTCAGTGTTTCGGACCTGAGCTGTGGGTCAGGATTGGGGAGGGTGGAGGTCAGAGGGAGAAGCAGGGTGACTGAAAGCACAGTTGAAGAGGAGCATCTTGAGATGGGTCTTGAAGGAGGCAAGGGAGGGGCGAGGCGGAGGGACTGCGGGATGGAGTTCCAGAGGGTAGGGGCAGAGTGGCAGAAGGCCTGCCTGCCATTCGTGGAATGGGTGAGGCGGGAACATGAAACAGGTTGAAGACGCTGAGCGGAGGGAACGGGCAGTATGGTAGGGAGAAGCAAAGCATACAATTTGGTGGATTATGGATTCCATCCAAATCACTTAAATTTCCTGAGAGATATCTCTGCAAAGTTTCTCCAAAAGTTATCAAACAAAAATTCCAATGTAAAATTAACCCACATTCATCCTGCCCTTCCCTGGTGACCGTTTCATCGTCCCACAGGACCAGAAGGACAACATTTCACCTATTTACAAAACGCAAAATACTGCAGATGCTGGAAATCTGAAACAAAAACAGAAGTTGCTGGGAATACTCAGCAGGTCAGGCAGCATCTATGGAGAAAGGAAAGTGAGTCAGCGTTTCGGGTTGATGACCCATGATTAGAACTGGGTCATCTATTTCTCTATTCTTAACCTTGTATCATTCCACATTGCACTGACATTTTTAGGCTAGCTACTTTATTGGTCCACATATCCTGTGTAATACCTGATTTCTTCTGATCCTTCACCTCTGTTAATGCTGCTTAGTTTTGTACTTGCACCCCTCTGTATGCAGTTCACCTACAAATACACAGTTACCCCACCTCAAAGCAAAATCCCATGAAGAGCCTTGAGATGCCTTGATGACAGCATTTGATATAGTATGTCGATAAGGCATATATTCATTATTATTAATAATCCTCAATCATTGCATTTGATATTATACCCTTTACATCAAAGCGCTGTAGAGTTTAGAGACTATGTATAGTTGGCAAATGTGGCAACTGATTTACACAGACCATCATCCCACAAACAAACATGAAGTGAATGACCAATATTACCGTTAGCCAGGACACTGGGATAGAGAAACTCTTTTCTCTCTTCCAATAGTGAATTGGGATCTTTTAACTCCTATACAACACACACAGGACGGACACACACACATACCCAGATACACACACAGACATACACATGTACAAACAGACACATATACAGTACATACACACACACACATAGGCATTTAGATACAAACACACAAACACACATATATATATATACAAACACACACAAACAGAAATAAACACACATGCACAGACACACCACAGACATATATACAAATGCAAACACACTTATACACACACACACAGGTAGGTCAGCGAGATTTGGAGGAGACTACCAAAATGGTGGTGCAATACAAGCAATTTTATTCGGCCAACAAGTACAAAGTTAACCCACACAAAGATTAAAACGGCATTACCAGGATCCTCTGGGAAGCCAGTTGACCCTGTTATTCCTTCATTTGCCTCACTTCAACCTTCTTGTGCTAAGCGCACAGGTCTTATACATCAATTCTCAATCTGTTTTACCCATAAATAGTTAAGGCATGACCCAATACACGAAGTTCAAGCGTCAGACATTTTGTTATCAGCAATTCCTCTTTATCTATTTGTAACTAGATTCTAACCAACTCGGAGTAATTGTATTTGGTGTTTTTACCTTGATTGTTTTCTGACAATATCTCTGCTTAACCTTAACATTCCCTTCAACCCCTTAATTGCTGGTAGCTTCTTTAATCTAATTTTATTTAAATATCTGCAGAATAACACAAGACCAAATTTCAGCATAGATAAGAAACCAGTCAGAGAGATTAGGCTTGACGAGATCCGTCCCCCTCCTCACCATTAACTACTTTTTTTAGCTTAGTATCGTCTGCAAATTTGGAAATTGTGTTCCCTATATCCAGGTCCAGATCGTTAATATAGATCAGAAAGAGCAGTGGTCCCAATACCGACCCCTGAGGGACACCATTACACACCTCCCTCCAGTCAGAAAAGCAACCGTTTACTACCACTCTCTGCTTTCTGTCTCCCAGCCAGTCCTGGGTCCATGTTGCCACAGTCCCTTTAATACCGTGGGCTCTAAGTGAGAATTTATATTGTCCCGGATTATAGTCTCCAGAAGTTTCCCTCCTACTCATGTTAGACTGACTGGCCTGTAGTTCTCAGGTTTATCCTTCTGCCCCTTTTTGTACAGGGGCGTAACATTTGCAACCTTCCAGTCCTTTGGCACCACTCCAGTGTCCAAAGAGGATTGAAAGATTGTGGCCAGAGTCTCCGCTATTTCCACCCTTGCTTCCCTCAGTAACCTAGGATGCATCCCATCCGGACCAGGTGACTTATCTATGGTGAGCACCAACAGCCTTTTTAGTACCTCCCATCCGTTGATTTTTATTTTATCCAATTTCTGTTCACACGCCTGCGATATTGTGGCATTGGTTGCATCGTCTTCTTTCGTGAAGACAGTTGCAAAGTACTTATTTAGTACATCAGTCATGCCCTCTGCCTCAACAAGAAGATTTCCACTGGGGTCGCTAATTGACTACCGTTGACTAACCTTTTACTCTTGATGTGCTTATAAAATACCTTAGCATTCCCTTTTATGTTTCCTGCTAATCTTTTCTAGTACAATCTCTTCGCCCCTCTTATTTCCCTTTTCACTTCTCCTCTGTACTTCCTATGTTCTATTTGATTATCCTGTGTGTTTTGGATCTGACATTATTCATAAGCCTCCTGTTTCTGTTTTATTTTAATCCCAATTTCCTTATCCTTATTATCACTACTCTATTGGTTTTGCATCTCTCCGAAATCTGCTTGCAGATTTGCTCATCTATCTCCTTCCCACTATTTGGAGGTCTATAGTAAATACCTAACAGAGTAACAGCTTTTTTTCTGCTCCTTCCCTCTAACCAAATAGATTCAGCTTTTGGACCTTCTAACGTATCATCCTTTTCCAGGACCGTGACCGTGTCCCTAATGAGTATAACCACCCCTCCTCCTTTTTTCCTTTCCCTATCCTTCCTGAATAGGTTGTAGCCAGGAATATTCAGCTCCCATTCCTGTCCTTGCTTGAACCAAATCTCCGTAATTGCCACCACATCATAGCCCCATGTGGCAAATTGAGCCACAGCTCACCAAGCTTATTGGTTACCCTCCGTGCACTTACACACATGCATTCCAAGACCGGCTTAATCCGCTCTATATTTCTCCCGCGTCTCTTTACATTTGTTGCTGGACTATTCCTTGTTTCATTTCTATTTGTCTCCCCTCGTCCACTATGTACCTCGTTTCCCCTCCCTGATGCTACATTCTGATCCCCATCCCCCCTTAAAATCAGTTTAAACGCTACCCCATAGCATTTGTTATCCTTGTTGCAATGACATTGGTCCCAGCCCTGCTCAGGTGTAACCCATCTCTTGTGTACAGGTCCCATCTGCCCCAGAAGTGGTCCCAGTGGTTTAGAAACCTGAAGCCCTTCTTCCTGCAACATTTCTCCAGCCAGGCATTCATGTGTTTGATCCTCCTGGTTTGGTAATCACTTTCATAAGGCATTGGGAGTAATCCCGAGATCACCACCATTGAGATCCTGCTCTTTAGCTTCTTCCCAAGCTTCTGATATTCTCCCTGTAGGGTCTCAGGCCTTTTATCCCGACATGGACCACAACTTCCAGAATTTCCCTTTTCTCCTGTAGTATATTTTGCACCCGTTCCGTGGCGTCATGCACCCTGGCCCCAGGGAGGCAGCATACCATGCGCGAGTCCCATCTGTTATGGCAGAAACGCCTGTCTATCCCTTTAACTGTTGTATCCCCGATAACAACAGCGTTGGCATTTTTCCCCTTGTCCCCAAGAACATCCATTATCTTTTGACTCTTCTCGTCAGAGGCTTCCTCACCGGTATCCAGTACTGAGAACTGGTTTGAGTGCCACACTCTTAGGGGATTTCTGTACTGCCTGTTCTTCTTTTGCTTCACATCGGATAGTAACCCACTCACCTCTTTTCTGAGTCCTCTGTGTAGCTGGGGTGACCACCTCATGATCTCTCCGTCACTGTGGGGTGACCACTTCCTGAAAAGTTCGATCCATAAATTCTTCAGCCTCCTATAGCCTATGTAGTGACTGTAGCCTCTCCTCAAGCTCAGCGACCCTGAGCACAAGCAGCCAGAGGCACTTCTTATACATGTGTTTGTCCAGAACACATGAACCATCCTGGAGTTCCCATATGGCACACAGTATGCATGGAATGGCTGCCCTGCCAGGTTTTCATACATGTTTTGTAATATATCTCAACAGTTTCGGGGTAAATAGGTAAAAACAAGTAATTTCACACCATTTATTCCCTTGCTCACACTCCTTATATACTAAACCCCTACTCAACACGTACTGCCACAGGAATGTGACCTTTTGTGCAGGCTCTTGGGGGTTTTGTTTCTCCTTTACAGGTTCTCACCTGCACTGAATTCCCCCTCTGCACCGAATTCCCACTCTCACCTAATTCCCAAACAGAATTCTCACTCTGTTCCTCCTCACTCCGTTCCCTCCTCATGCTCCTGGGCTCTCTACTCACATTGAAGAGGTAAGTGGAGAAGTACACAGATCCTTACTTTAGTGACTGTAGGTGGTTTATGGCTCTCATCCTTGTCCACAAAATTGTTCTCTTGAAAGTATAAATAGCAGTTGAATTTAATTAGGCCTAGTGTCTGTAACCAGCATGATGGCGGTTGTTCTTTGTATAAGTGGCAAGAGCATGGAACAGCAAACATTATGTGGCTGATGGCTGAAAGCTTCTTTCTCCTTCAGTGTATTGGTCCAATGGCCAAAGTTAAACCCAGTAGTATTTAGAGAATGGCAAATGAGGAACAAACGAAGGAGAGATAGAAAATAAGGAAAACTGTGATACCGAATGGTGTAAAAGGAAGACACAATGTACCTGTCTGTGAGTGGGGTTATCACCAGCCGGCCACTGTTCCCCAAGTACTCGTACCCATAAAGAAACTCAGCGTTCACAGCACACACGTACAGGTCATTCCGTGTCCAGTAGTACCTGAAAGGGAGATCACCATTTCAATCCCAAACAAGTCTGGATTCATCCACAGATGCTTCACTGATGCCCTCCACCATTGAGGGTCGCACTTTCAGCCACTACACCCCAAAACTTTGAAGCACTCTCCTTCAATCCCTCTGCCTTGCCCCCTCTCTCCCCTTTTTCAAGTCCCGCCTTAAAACCTTCCTTTTCGACCACGTTTACGGTCACCTCCACCCCCTTCCCGGCTCGGAGTCAGGCTCACAGTTGTTAAGCGCTCTGAGATGCTGCCCTGCATGGAGGGCGCTATATAAGCGCAAGTTGTTGTTGTTATTGAACATTTATCATGTGATTTTCATCAAGAGGTGCCATGCCTAAAATTTATCATGTGACAATCCTAAATTTTGATTGTAACAATTCTCTTAAAAACAAAAACGACACAAGGGACAATAATAATAATCCTTAGATTTTATAAAGCACCTGATCATGCCAGGAGAATGTAAGGGATGTAGGGATATGGGATATGGTACATAGGTAGTTCGGGACACATGTCAAGCGACTGCCAGGATGGTGGACAGCAGATGGACCTTGGTCTTTTTTCATCCAATATTTGTTATGTCCTTATGTTTAATGTCTCAAAGCATTTCACATGATATACTGTATACAATGCAGTGACAATGTTTTTTGGACAAACACAGCGAACACTGTCCCACAAACAACCATGAACCAAAGATACTGTTATAACCTTGGAAAGGGATGATGTGCTAGAGGGATCAAAGAAGGGATCCATTTGGTTAGAGTTAAGGAGCAGAAGAGGAGCTGTTACGCTGATGGGTGTATACTATAGACTGCCAAATAGTGGGAAGGAGATGGAGGAGCAAATCTGCAAGCAAATTTCAGAAAAATGTAGTAACAATACATAGTGATAATGGGAACTTCAATTATCCAAACAAAGACTGCAAAGAAAACAGTGTAAAGGGCACAGAGGGGGATGAATTCCTAAAATGTGTATAGGAGAACTTTCCTGATTGGTATGTTTCCAGCCCAATGAGGAAGGAAGCAGTGCTGGATCTAGTGATCAAGTAGAGCCGGTTTCAGTTGGAGAGAATCTGGATAACAATGATCACAATATCATTAGGTCTAGAGTAGTTATGGAAAGGAAGAAGGAACAATCAAAGGTGAAGATACCCAACTCGAAAAGGCTGTTTTCAGTGAGCTGAAAAGATGCCCAGGTGGATTGGAAATAAAGAAGGATGGGTAAAATGTTAAACGAGCAATGGGAGGCTTTCAAGGAGAACATAGTTAGGGTACAGACCATCCTATTCTCACAAGGGGAAAAAGTAGGGCATCCAAAACCGGAGCTCCCTCGATGACTAAGGAAATTGGGATTAAAATTAAACAGGAAAAGGAGGCTTATGATAAATGTCTGGTTAAAAATACATTGGATAATCAATCAGAATACAGAAAGTGCAGAGAACTAAAAAAGGAAATAAGAGGGGCAAAGTGGGTGTATGAGAAAATATTAGTGAGTAACATAAAAGGGAAAATTGAAATATTCTATAAACACATAAAGAGTAAAACGATGGTCAAAGCAAGGGTGGGACCGATTAGCAACCAAAAGGAAAACTTGTGGAAGCAGAGGGCATAGCTGAGGTACTGAATGAGTATTTTGCATCTGTCTTCACAAAAGAGGATGCTGCCAATGTCATAATAAAGGAGGAGGGTGTAGGGAAATTGGATTGGAGTCCTGTAGCTCAGTGGTTAGAGCACTCGCTTTGCAAGTGAGAGACCAGAGTTCAATTCCAGGCAGAGGGCGAAACCTTGGGCAAGTTTCCTTACTCCACACACCTAATAATAATCCCTCCAAAACAATACAATAATAAATTGGTAATTTTCAATCCATGATTGTTTGTGGGACATTGCTGTGCGCAATTGGCTGCCGCGTTCACCCACAAATATACAGTCAATTCACTTTACAGTATATTCTGTGAAGCGCTTTGGGACGTCCTCCCGACGTGAAAAGCGCAATATCAAATGCAAGGATTATTATTATTATAAGATAAAAATAGAGACGGTAATAATAATAATCCTTGCATTTGATCTAGCGCTTTTCACGTCTTCTAGACGTCCCAAAGCGCTTCACAGAATATACTGTAAAGTGAATTGACTGTATATTTGTGGGCGAACGCGGCAGCCAATTGCGCACAGCAATGTCCCACAAACAGTCGTGGATTGAAAATGACCAATTTATTATTGGTTTTGGAGGGATTATTATTAGGCGTGTGGAGTAAGAAAACTTGCCCAAGGTTTCGCCCCCTGCCTGGAATTGAACTCAGGGCTCTCGCTTGCAAAGCGAGTGCTCTAACCACTGAGCTACAGGACTCCACAATACATTCTAGATTGCCGACGGAAGTTAGGGTGGAAATAGCAGAAGCTCTGGCCACAATCTTTCAATCCTCCTTGCATACAGGAGCAGTGCCTGAGGGTTGCAAATGTTACCCCCTTGTTCAAAAAGGGGGAGAGGGATGAAGCTGGTAACAACTACAGGCCAGTCGGCCTAAGGTCGGTGGTGGGGAAACATCTGGAGACCAGAATCATAGAATTATACAACAGAAAAGGAGGTTATTATAATAATCCTTGCATTTGATATAGCGCTTTTCACGTCTTCTAGATTTGTATATTTGTGGGCGAAACTTGAACAGGAACAATGTGCAGGGCTATGGGATAAGAGCGAAGGAAGAGGGACTAATTGGGGTAGGAGCGTAAGTAAGTAAGCCCACCTTGTATATGCTTATATATTAAAAGAGCTAGCCAAATCAATTCCACTCCCCCATTCTCTCCCCATAGCTCTGCAAACTTATCCTCTTCAAATAATTATCTACTTCTCTCTTAAAAAATATTAAAACTGCTTCCACCATCGTTTCAGGCAATGCATTCCAGGTCCTATATCAGTGCAGTTGATGTAGTATATATGGACTTTAGGAAGGCATTTGATAAGGTGCCACATAGTTAGCAAAATTGAAGCCCACGGAATAAAAGGGCCAAACTTCCCTGGGAGACAGAAAGCAGAGGGTAGAATGGTTTTTTTTAAAGTCCATTGCTCTTTTTGATATATGTGAATGGCTTAGGTATAGAGAACAAAATTTTAAAGTTTGCAGATTACACAAAACTTGAATGTGGTAAACAGTGAGGAGGATGGTAGCAGGCTGCAGGATGGTGAAATAAGCAGACACACGGCAGATGAAGTTTAATGCAGAGATGTGTGAGGTCATGTATTTTAGGAAGGAAGAATGAGGCAAAGCAATATACAATAAATGGTTCAGTTTTAAAGGGGGCACAGGAACAGAGAGATCTGGAGGTTCACATACAACAACAAAATTACATTTGTAAGGAGCCTTTCACGTCGGGAGGATGTCCCAAGGCGCTGGACAGACAGAGTTACGGACCCGGGTGGGGGAGGGTGTAGGGCAGAGAGGGAAGCAGGGAGATCAAAAGCACGGTCGAAGAGGAGGGTCTTGAGATGGGACTTGAAGGAGGCAATGGCAGGGGCAAGGCAGAGGGACTGCAGGATGGAGTTCCAGAGGGTGGGGGCAGAGTGGCGGAAAGCCTGCCTGCCAAAAGTGGTTTAGGAGGTCGTAGAGGTAGAGGGGAGCAAGTCCATGGAGGGTTTTGAATGTGAGGACCAGGATCTTGAACTGTATCCTCTGTGTGATGAACATACACGTTGAAGGTGGCAGGACAGGTTGATAGAGCTGTTAAAAAAGCATCTGGGATCCTTGGCTTTATAAGTAGAGCATAGAGTACAAAAGCAAGGAAGTTCTGCTAACCTTTTATAAATCACTGGTTAGGCCTTAGCTAGGATGTCCAATTCTGGGCACCACACATTAGGAAGGATATCAAGGCCTTGGTGAGGGTGCAGAGTAGACTTACCAGAATGGTACCAGGGATGAGGGACTTTAGTTATGTGGAGAAACAAGAGAAGATGGAATTGTTCCCCTTAGAGCAGAAAAGGTTAAGTGGAGATTTAATAGAGTGTTCAAAATAATGAGGGGTTTGATAGAGTAGATAGGGAGAAACTTTTCCACTGGCAGGTGGGTCAGTAACCAGGGCACATAGATTTAAGATAATTGGCAAAAGAACCAGAGGGGAGATGAGAATTTTTTTTTTTTTTTTTTTTAAACACAGAGACTTGTTTCGGTCTGGGATGCACTGCCTGAAAAGGTGATGGAAACAGATTCATAACAACTTTCAAAAGGGAATTAGATAAGTACTTGAAAAGGAAAAAATTGCAAGGATATGGGGAAAGAGCCAGGTTGTGGAACTGATTGGGTAGCCAAAGAGGTGCACAGGCGCGATGGGCCGAATGACCTCCTTCTGTGAATGATCAATTTTACTTGGGGAGTGTTCATCAGGACACTGGGAGAAACTCGCTTCACTTTTCAAGTAGTGCTGTGTGTCAACTTGGTTCAGTGATAGCACTCTCACCTCTGAGTCAGAAGGGTGTGGATTCAAGCCCTCATTTTGGGATTGAGAATTTATATATTCTATGCCAGGAGGGTTCCCATCTCTTGGCTGCTGAGGACCGGATGTCCTATTTGAGAAATATCCACATGCCACAAAAGCAATAGTTTTGTGTTTCACTTCCAGAAACACTGTATGTCTCAATGATGTGATAAAGCAAGGATTATTAGTAATATAACAACATTCACACAGAGCCCTTTTCATGTTGGAACATCTCAAAGTGCTCAACAATGCTGGCTGGGCACTCGAGCTAGGGGTGAAAGCCGAGGGAGGTGGAGGTGGGAAAAGATGACTGTAAGCGCGGTCAAAGTGATAAGTCTTGACGTGCCTTCAAAGAGAGATGGGCAAGAGGAAGTCGCAGGGACTCCAGGAATGGAGTTCCAGGGAATGGGGGCAAAATGGCGATAGGGGGACAGGTGTGGTGGTGGACTTGATGAAGGAGGGGTAGTTTGTGCCACGGGGGTGGTGGTGGTGGTGGGGGAGGGCTGAAGGATGGAGAGGAGTTTCTCACTGGGGAAAGAGTGAGCTTTCCGTGAGGAAACTGCCCAGCCTTGGCTTAATGTCGAATCCAAAAGATGGTTCAAACCTCCACCTCCACAGTTTAATGAGCGATGGACCAAAGCCAAGCTTGATTGAGTCAGCGCTTGTGTACTGGAATGTCTGGGGAAAGCAGAGCACCTGTCCTAAACAAGGCAGAGAGCTTTGTAATCACAAGGATTGGAACCATGAGGCTGTAGTGGAAGTTAGGAAGTGTTACAGGAATAAGAGGGTCATAATATAGGGCACCATAATATAATAATTATACATTATTGATAGTATTGGGCAACCTTCATTTTAAAAAAAATGAAAGAAGTAATGTGGGAGCTGAGCATCAAGCAATGGCAGAGAGGTTTAATAGATATTTACAGGGTAGGGTGGGGGGTGGGTATCAGTGGAGAGGTGGGGTATTAGTAATGTAGAATATTACAAGGGAATTCAGTGTAGCGTCTCCCCCGAACAGGTTGTTGAGTTGAGTTATAGCAATCACATGACCATTGACATTTGGTCAGAAAGCAAACTGTGTTGTGCCAGTGGGGAAAGCATAGTGGAGCCCGGGAAGCAGACTGAGAGACAGTTGGAGGACAAACAAGCTGCTGAGGTTCTGCACTGGCTCTGTGAGCATCCGTGTGAGGAGACATTGGCAGGAGCCAAGCAGGTGAGCCTCTGATTTGTCGATATTCAACTGGAGAAAGTTAAGAGCTCATCTGGTACAGGCAGGCAATCAGTAAGGACAGAAGTCAGCTTGTAGTCAAGAATGGAGGTAGAGATAGAGTTGGTGTTATCGACATACATGTGGAAGTGAATTCCATATCTATGGATGACGTCGCTGATTGAGTCATCAGGGTAGAGAATGATTAGCCTGGGCGGCTACTAAAGCAGGATCAATTATGGCATTGAAAAATGTGAAGGACAAACACGTCCAGGAGAAGAGAATCAGAGGGCATAGAGATAGAGCAGGACTTGGGATTAGGATGAACAGCTTCTTACAAGGAGCAAACACTGTCATGAAAAAATGGGCTGAATGGTTTTCCACTGGGTCATACATATCTATCATTCTATCATATATATCATATTTACATTTGTATCGTGCCTTTCACGTCGAGAGGATGTCCCAAGGTGCTGGACAATCAGGAATTTGGACCCAAGCAGGGGATTGTGATCAGGAGAGGTGGAGGGCAAGAAGGGTAGGGGTAAGTGGTAAGGGTAGGGGTAAGAGCGGTCGAAGAGGAACGTCTTGAGACATGCCTTGAAAGAGACATGGGAGGGAGCAAGGCAAAGAGACTGGGATGGAGTTCAAAAGGGTGAGGGCAGAGAGGCTGAAGGCCTGACCTCCGATGGTGGGGCAGGGTGGGCAGAGGACATGGAGCAGACCACTGCCTGCTGAGCGGAGGGAGTGGATAGGTTGATATGGCGTTAGCAGGTCACAGAGATAAGGAGCAAGGCCGTGGAGTGCCTTCAAGGCTAGGATGAGGATTTTGAACTCTATCCTCTGGGAGATGGGGATCCAATGAAGCCATGCGAAGATGGGGCTGATAGGGTCACAGAGCCTGGAGAGGACATGAGCTGCAGAGTTCTGAATGATCTGCAGCTTGTGGAGGAAAGAGCTGGGAAGGCTGACAAACAGGGAGTTAACGTAGTTGAGCTTGGATGTCGTGAAATCATGGACGAGGGTGTCGGTGGACTAAGGGTGGTGGAGCCGGGCAATGCTGTGGACGTGGGGGCAGGCAGGTCATGGCACAGATGTGGGTAGAAAGGACAACTGAGGGTCAAGTAAGAGGAGAGGACTGAGGACAGAGCCCTCAGGAACGCCAATCGAAGTGGTGTGGGGGCTCGAGGAGAAAACATTCATGGAGACAAAGCATCCTTACATGTGGTGTAGATATGTGTCACATGTGGTGAATGCCATCAGTCTGCAAGTATTGTCACAAGTGGTGTTTTTGTCATCAATGCTCCAAGACCCTACACTGTAATGCTCTCAGCTCTGAGTCAGAAAATTATGAGTTCAAATCACACATTGGTACTTGAACTCAAATTGTCTAATGTGAAGCTGGCGGAGCACTGCACTGCATTGTCAGAGGTGATGTACTTCAGATGAGTTGGTAAACCGAAGTCCCATCTGCCTGTTCAGTTAAGAACATAAGAATCTGCTGGCGAAAGATGACCACGGTCCATCTAGTTCGCCTTCCACCATCCTGGCAGTCGCTTGACATGTTGTATCCCAAACTATACACTGTATCCCGAGATGTTATTTTCTAACAGAAATCTATCTAAGATAAAACAGCTTATAATAATAATCATTGCATTTGTTATAGAGCCTCATCATGTCTTCGAGACATCTCAAAGCGCTTCACAGAATATACTGCAAAGTGAATTGACTATATTCTGTGAGCAAAATGTGTCAGCCAATTGTGCACAGCAGTGTCCCACAAACAGTCGTGGATTGAATGATGAATTTATTATTATTTTTTGAAGGAATTATTATCCCTTATCATGGTCTACATTATCAATTCCCTTCAGAATCTTAAAGACTGTAATCATATCGACCCTCAAACTTCTCTTCTCCAGTGTGAACATGTCCAATTAATCTAATCTCTCCTCGTGGTCCAGTCCCTCCATCCCCTCAATCATTTTAGTTGCCTTCCTCTGTATCCTCTCAATTGCTGCAATATCTTTTTTATACTGTGGTGACCAGAACTGCACCCAGTTTTCCAAGTGTGGTTGCACCAGTGATTTATGAAGTGGCAGGATTACCCCACTACTTTAGCCCAATATTGCCCTTTTAATACAGCCCAGCATCTGGTTTGCCTTACTCACTGCTCCCGAACACTGTTAGGATAACTGGCATAATAATCTTTACATTTGATTTTGTGCCTTATCACATCTTCTAGACGTCTCAAAGCACTTCGCAGAATATACTGTAAAGTGAATTGGCTGTATGTTTTGTGGGCAAAACTCAGCAGTCAATTGTGCACAGCAGTGTCCCACAAACAGTTGTGGATTGAAGTGACCAATTTATTATTACTTTTTTTTGGAAGGAATTATTACCACCGTAAAAGCAATCTGCCAATCAACTGACAACCAGGTGCCTACTTACTGCTAGGTGAACAGAGGTCTATGGAGTAAGGAATCTTGCCCAACATTTTGCCCTGCTGGGAATCAAACCCAGGTCTCTCATTTGCAAGGCGAGAGCTCTAACTACTGAGCTATGGACTCCACGCCATACTTAAGTATGCATTTACACAACTGAACGTGGTGCTATTGGAAAAGAGAAGGGAGTTTCTCCCGGAGTCCTGGCCAACAATCCCCAAAATACAATTGGTTACTCACTCCATAGCTGTTTGTGGGATGTTGTTGTGCACAAATTGAATGCCATGTTTGTCCACAAATACAGTCACTCCATTTCACAGAAAATCCTGTGAAGCACTTTGAGACATCCTTCCGATGGGATAACTTGCTATATCAAATGCAAGCATTAGTATTATAAATAGGTGTGATGTATAAGTAGGTGCAGTATAAATAGGTGTTGTATAAATAGGTGTGGTGGAGGGGTAAGTAGGTGTCACTTGTGATAAATGTTTGTGTCACACTTTGTGTAAATACATGTTAAGTATGGCGTATTATACCAGGTATCAATAATAATCATTCCATTTGATAATGCAACTTATCACGGCATTGAATGTAAAGTGGAGTGACTGTATTTCTAGAGATCTTGTCTCTCATGGTTTGTACCGGAGTTGACTGATCCACTCAAAATCATTGATGCTCTGCACTCGTTCATCCATCAGTTTAGACACAACATCCTTGGCATGTACTTCAATCACAATCAGCGCTGACAGCACTGCCCTCTGCATCCTGGTCAGCTTTCCTCGTACCAGGGCCACCAGGTCGTTCAGCTAATGTATAACAGGAAACGGAATAATCAGCCAACAATTTCACCGAAAATTTCCCATCCAACAATCTAGTTCTACCTCAGTCATCCCACCTGTAGGTTCCTCATCCTAGCAATGTATTATCTCCCTCTTTACAGTGTGCTTCTATATCCATTATAAAGGTGCTTCATAAAGGGCTATATGACTCCCTAACCCGTTGACAAACCCTGATTACTTCCTATACACTTCAGTCCTCTTGCCTCGCATAATAAATGGCAGCCACCAATCACCAAAGTGACTCACAAAAATCATGCATTTGATTCAGAGCCTTTCACATCACATAGTTTCAACATAGGGGGGGGAGGGGGGTGTAATTGAGGGATTGGGAGCTGGGGGGAGTAGCCAAGGGGGTGTGTTGCCAAGGGGGTTGTGGGGGTGGGGGGGGGGGGGGGTGACCAAGGGGGTTGGGATAGGGTAACCGAGTGGTTGTGGGGTAGCCGGGTGGGGGTTAAGCGAATGGGGGCGGGGGTAGGCAAGGGGGGATGGGTCGCTGAGGTGGGGAGGATAGCTGAGGGCTCAAGTGGAAGTGTGCCCCAAAATAAGTGAAATGGAATGAAAAACCTTGAGGAAAGAACAGAAAATGCTGAAGGGAAAGACTGTGAGTAGTTCAGTTGCTGACCTGAGTGCTGAGGTGTGGATAGAGCTTAGAGGCCACCTTGCCCACTCCCAGTGCTTTAGATACCTCAATGGTCCAGTTAATCTGACAGCCAGCAATGACAACCTGTCCAGGCCAGCTCAGGACCCACTCTGTACGAGGAATCTGTAAAAACAAGAGAGATTTACTTACATAGTGTCAGTCTCTAGTCCAATTCCTGAGCCAGGCGGGTCTGCAGCTCATCGGCAGGACTTGCAGGCAGGGATTCTTCTGTTAATTCTGTGAGTCAAAGCTCTGGATAGGGTAGTCCTAGCTGGACATGCAGTGGGAAAGCTTGTCAGACACTGCATATAGTGGAAAACTATGCTGTTTTACAACAACAACATTCCATTTATAGAGCTCCTTTCACGTCGGGAGGACGTCCCAAGGCGCTGGACAATTGGGTCGGGACCCGAGCAAGGGGGAAATGGTCAGGGTGAGGGGAGGGAAGGGAGGGAGGGAGCGAGGAGGGGATAGAGAGTCGAGAGGGGAGCTGAAGGCACGGTCGAAGAGAAAGGTCTTGAGTTCCCATAGTTCCCATAGTCCAGCCTTGAGGTGATAAAGGCGTGGGCCAGAGTTTCAGCAGCGTGAGGGGTGAGGTAGTGCGTAGTCTTGCGATATTCCGGAGGTGATGGAAGGCGGTGCTAGTTGTGGCGCGGATATGAGGAAGAAAGGACATCTCAGGGTCGAACAGAAGTTTAGCAAGTTAAACTCCAGCAGTTACATTCTGGGCTTTGCAGGCCTTGCCTCTTGCGAACCTGTGCCTTACTCTACAGAATCGAGTGAGAAGGGTGTGTCCCTTCAGGAAGAGAATGCACTTTCCATTTCACACAGGGAATTTGCCTTGTGTGGCATATACATGTGAATGACTGGTTTGGATACTATTAAACATGGTGGTCACCTTCTCAGGCTCAGAGATAGGAAATGGTGTTCCATCGGGATCCCTGTGGATTGTTCACCATAGACATATTCAGGTATAGGAGGCGTGGTGTCAACGTTTGCAGATGACACCATACTGAGGCTGGGTGGTGAACAGTGAAGGGGCTTGCGGTAATTCACTTTGGGAGCAACAATAAAGAAGCCGATTACAGTCAATATATATGGTAAGAACCTAAGAGGAGCAAAGAAATCTGGAAATTCAGATCCCCAAATCTGTAAAAGTAGCGACACAGGTAAATAGGATTATTAAAAAGGTTCATAGGGCTTCAGGCTTGATTTCCAGAGGGATTGAATATAAAAGTGAGGAGGTGATGTTGAATTTGTACAAAACCTTAGTTAGACCACATTTGGAGTGTTGTGTCCACTTCTAGTTTCCAAACTACAAGAATATTGCAGCGATGGAAATAGTACAGTGTAGGTTTACAAGGATAATCCCAGGGCTGGCAGTTTGTCACCTCCCACTTTGATTACTCCAACGCACTCGTCGCAGGTCTCCCCAGCTCCACCATTCAAAAGATACAGCTCATTCAAAACTCTGTCGCCTGCATACTTACCCGGACCAAACTCTGTAGCCACATCTCACCAGCTCTGGCCAGACTCCACTGGCTCCCCATCACTGAACGTATCGACTTCAAGATCCTCACACTCATGTTCAAATCTATTCACTCCATGGCACCTTCCTACATCTCCAACCTCCTCACTCCCCAATCCACCACCCGGCACCTCCGCTGACCGGCTCCTGCTCGTCCCTCGTACCCACCATCAGAGGTCATACTTCCAGCCACTGCACACCAAAATTCTGGAACACTCTCCCTCAATAATAAATAATAATAAATAATCCTTGCATTTGATATTGCGCTTTTCACGTCGGGAGGACGTCCCAAAGCGCTTCACAGAACACACTGTAAAGTGAATTGACTGTATATTTGTGGGCGAACGCGGCAGCCAATTGCGCACAGCAATGTCCCACAAACAGTCGTAGATTGAAAATGACCAATTTATTATTGTTTCTGTTTTTTTGGAGGGATTATTATTAGGCGTGTGGAGTAAGGAAACTTGCCCAAGGTTTCGCCCTGCCTGGAATTGAACTCAGGTCTCTCACTTGCAAAGCGAGTGCTCCACAGCTCCTGCTCGTCCCTCGTATCCACCATCAATCCCTCCGCCTTGTCCCCGCTCTCCCTTCTTTCAAGTCCCACCTGAAACCTTTCCTCTTCATCTGTGCTGTAAGGTCACCTCCCCTTTCTCCCTGGCTTGGAGTCAGGCTCCGCCACTGTTAAGCGCTCTGAGACACTACACTGCGTGGAGGGCGCTACACAAATGCAAGTTGTTGTTACTGCTATTAGGATAGATCAGTAATGGGGAAACTTCTAGAGGCAATAATTTGGGACAAAATAAATTTTCACTTAGAAAAATATGGTTAATAAAGGAGAGCCAAAACAGATTTGTTAAAGGCAAATCGTATCTAACAAATCTGATAGTTTTTTTGATGAAATAACAGAGAGGGTGGATGAAGGTAGTGCAATTGATGCAGTTTATATGGATTTTCAAAAGGTGTTTGATAAAGTGCCGCATAAGAGACTTGTAAGCAAAATAGAATCCCACGGTATTAAAGGGACAGTGGCAGCGGATACAGAACTGCCTGGGAGACAGAAAGCAGAGAGTGGTGGTGAATGGTTGTTTTTCTGACTGGAGGGAAGTGTCCAGTGGTGTCCCTCAGGGGTTGGTATTGGGACCATTACTGTTTTTGATTATGTAAATGACCTGGACTTGGGTATAGGGAGTACAATTTCCAAGTTTGCAAATGATACCAAACTAGGAAAAGTAATGGACAGAGCTGGGACCAATGTTCTCGCAGGGAGGTTAACTAGTGCTGTGGGGAAGGGTTTAAAATAATTTTGAGGGGGGAAGGGAATCAGAATGTAGTATTAGAGAGGACAAACACATTACATAGAGGGCTGGGAGAGACAAATAGCAATGTAACAAGGAGTAGTCCAGAAAAAGGGGGAATTAAACGGGGGAGAAATGCAGAGCAGGCGCAGTTGGTCTTGGAGTACATGTGCGTAAATGCACGGAGTGTGACAGATAAGCTTGGGGAGCTGCAGGCTCAAGTTGCCACATGGGGTTATGATATAGTGGCAAATACGGAGACCTGGCTCAACAACAACAACAACAACAACAAGATTCCATTTATAGAGCGCCTTTCACGTCAGGAGGACGTCCCAAGGCGCTGCACAGTTGGGTCATGACCCGAGCAGGGGGGAAATGGTCAGGGTGAGGGGAGGGAAGGGAGGGAGAGAGGAGGGGGAAATGGTCAGGGTGAGGGGAGGGAAGGGAGGGAGCGAGGAGGAGGAAGAGAGTCGAGAGGGGAGCTGAAGGCTCGGTCAAAGAGAAAGGTTTTGAGACCGGCCTTGAAGGAGGAAAGGGAGGAAGCAAGGCGAAGGCACTGGGGGATGGAGTTCCAGAGCCTCGGGGCTGAGAGGCTGAAGGCCCGACCACCGATAGTAGGGCGGTTGGGGCGGGGGACGTGGAGCAGACCGGAGCCAGAGGAGCGGAGGGTACGGGCAGGTAGGTAGGGGGATAGTAGGTTGGAGAGGTAGGAGGGAGCAAGGCCGTGAATGGCCTTGTAGGTGAGGATGAGGATCTTGAAATCAATCCTCTGGGGGATGGGGAGCCAGTGGAGGCGAGCGAGGGTAGGAGTGATGTGGTCCCGAAGCCTGGTGCGGGACAGTACACGAGCTGCAGAGTTCTGAATGACCTGCAGCTTGTGGAGGGAGGTGGCGGGAAGGCCGGCGAGGAGAGAGTTCCCATAGTCCAGCCTTGAGGTGACAAAGGCGTGAACCAGGGTTTCAGCAGCGTGAGGGGTGAGGTAGTGCCGTAATCTGGCGATATTCCGGAGGTGATGGAAGGCGGTGCCAGTTGTGGTGCGGATGTGAGGGAGAAAGGACAGCTCAGGGTCGAACAAAACGCCGAGGTTCCTGACTGGCTTTGAGAGGTGGAGAGTGCAGCCTTGGATGCTGATGGTGTCAGCGCCTGAGGTGCGGAGGCGCTGACGTGAGCCAATCAGGAGGGCCTCGGTTTTTCGCACGTTGAGCTGAAGAAAGTTGTCTCTCGTCCAGGACTCGATGTCGGACAGGCAGGCTGTCAGGACATCGGTGGTCGTGGAGTTGAGAGTAGAGGAGGAAAGGTAGAGTTGGGTGTCATCCGCATACATGTGGAAGTTAACCCCATGTTTGCGGATGATGTCACCGAGGGGGAGCATATAGAGGGTGAAGAGGAGGGGACCGAGGACAGAGCCCTGAGGGACACCACATGAGACAGTACGGGGGGTGGAGGAGAAGCCATTCGTTGAGACGAAGTGAAGACGGTGGGAAAGGTAAGAGCTAAACCATTCAAGGACAGTGCCTTGAAGGTTGAGGTGGGAGGACAAGCGGTGGAGTAGGATAGCGTGGTCGACCGTATCGAATGCTGCCGATAGGTCGAGGAGGACGAGGAGACAGAGGGAGCCCTGGTCACAGATAGTCAGGATATCATTGGTGACCTTGACCAGGGCAGTTTCTGTGCTATGAGCAGCACGGAAACCTGACTGAAGGGGTTCAAAAAGAGAATGGGTGGAGAGGAAAGAGCGCAGTTGGGAGGCGACAACTCTTTCCAAGACCTTGGAGAGAAAGGGGAGGTTGGAGATGGGCCGGTAGCTTGATAGCTGCGACGCATCAAGGGAGGGTTTTTTCAGGGTGGGCGTGATGATGGCAGTTTTTAATGGAATGGGGACAGAGCCAGAGGAGAGGGACAGGTTTATGATGTCAGTGATGTGTGGGGCAAGAAAATGGAGCTGGGAGATAAGGAGTGGAGTGGGGATGGGGTCAAGGGAGCAGGTGGTTGGTTTTAGGGATAGGATGAGTTCAGTGACAGAGGGTGGGGAAACGGGTACGAAGGTGTGTAGGGGAGGATGGGTAGGAGTCGGAGTGTGGGAGGGAAGGGGTGGGTGGTGGGTGGAAGTTGGAGGGGAAGTGACCGCGGAGCGGATTCCCTTGATCTTGGATTCAAGGAAATCCAGCATCTCCTCGCAGTGAAGGTTGGAGGAGATGACCTGCGCGGGGTGGCGGGGGGGACGGAGGAGTCGGGATGTGGTGGAAACAAGGGCAGGAATGGGAGCTGAATATTCCTGGTTACAATGTGTTCAGGAGGGA